GGCTTAGGCTTAGGCTTAGGAATTCGCAAACGATCATAGAAAGAAATACGTAAATATTTCAAAACATAATTCATAATTCATAAAACTTAAAATCATTGATAAAAATGCATTCGATATTATTTTATTTTAATTGTTATTATTAATATTATTAAATTTTAATTTTATTATTAAAAAAAAAAGAACTGTGAGAAGCATTTGGACTTTTTTGGTTATCGGTCAGACTATAAAGGCGAGATCGAGCGGAAAATATTTAATATTCGCGATTTTTTGCATTTTTCGCGAAATCGTTGCCACAAATTCCCTCGAAATCTCCGAGGAATATATTTTATATCGATTTTTAGCAATCAATTATAGCTATTAATTTTTAATTAATTTTTGTAATTAATTATTAATTGCAAAAATTTTAAAAATAACCATTATTCGTATAACTCAACGTGGTGATAAGCAAATTTTTAATTTGCTAACATTTCTTAATTTTTATTCTTCTAAAATAAAATAATTAAAATAATTATAGAAATTATTGTTGCTTTATGATTAAAAAAAATATTTACCTGAGATATATCGTCAATATCCATAATGAAATGAAATTCGTTCCTTTTTTTTTTCTTATCAAAAATATATACGTGAAAATAAGTGGAAACACGTCACAAACGTCTAAAATATTTATAAAAATATTTATAAAAAATTTAGTTGAATAATTAAATTTAAATTCTTTTGTAGTGAAATACAACGAAAGACGTTTTAAGAAAAATGATAAAAGACACATAAACAAGGCAAACGTTGAGCAATTTAACTCATTGATAACAGCTGTTTACTATAAAATAATCGATGCAAAACAAATAAAATGTTTTTTTTAAAGGTGAAAAAAAAAATTATAAAAATTATACAGTTAAAAACGAAAACAGGTTTTAGTGTTTTTTTTTTTCGTACAATGACCTTTGAAACGTCGGAGAAATTGGTACTCGAATTCGCGCTATAATTCACCTTTCCAAAAGGAGACTGATCTTTGAACAACAGGTCTTTCTTGATGCATGCGACATGCAATAATTTATGAAAAATGTACAATCGAAACGGAGATAGACTTTAGAGCGAGAAAAAATCTCTTCTCTAGGAAAAATCATCGTTCAAATGATTGAAAATAATTTCGGCAAGAAGAAATACAAAAGAATTTGCAGAGATGCAAAGCTATAAAACCAGCTTCATTCTTCTTCTAACAGCTCTCATCATTGCTAGTTTCGCAGACTCTATGGGCACTGCGATGAAGCACACATTTCCAAGCCGTTCGATGCGATACCACACCTGAAATTTATGGATAATGCGCCTTAAATATTCAAGATCTCTCCTCACTGTACCAGTTGCTCGTTGCTTTTGACGTCGTCCATCAAAGGATTTAGTAAGCAGACAGAAGTGCGTCCATTCCTATAGTGATGGAAAATGAGAGCAGGAAATATTACTTATAGGATAGGACAAAAGGGAACAGTTAGGGTTAATGAAGCATTTAAAGGATCATATTGCAGTTTCAGTTCTGAGCAAACTTAAGGAATTGAACGGGGTTCACAAAGATGCTTCAGCGAAGCAAAAGAGGATTTGGCTAGCGGCTAGCGCATGGCGTTTTAAGTGATTCTATAAGCCAATTTCGATGGATTTCTATAATTTGTTTGATTCAATCGTACATGTTTGAATCTTTTTGTCGATCCTTTTCCCATTTATGTTCTCTTTCAAATTCTTGCAAATCTATTCACTTTAGAGAAATTTTCTTCGCCAAAGCCATTTACCGAAAAAGTGAAAGGGAATAAGGGTACTTTGTACCTCCAAATATACCTTTAGTATATCCCCTAATACTGATATATTTGCTTTAAAATGTACAGTTATTAGGAAAATAATTTAATAAATATACGGCTGCAAATAATGAAACGATCCTGAACGGATGGCGGCTATTGATACGCTGGTTCGGAAAAATTGCTTTTTGAGAAATTTGCAAAATTAGATTGTTGCATAATTAGTGGGAAATTTGTGTGGAAGGGAGGAGGAGGGGGGGGATTTATTTTGGCTTAGTGTTTTACAAATGATTTTCCTATATTATTTCAGCGAAACCCGAGATAGTTTATAGATTAGACGAATTTCAAATTTTGACGTTTAGTTTTCCTTTATCGATTTATTATTTAAATTTTTCGCTTTTTTTTCTGGTTTTACTTGTTTGCGCTAATTTGTCGGATTAGAGAAATTTAATTTTGCTATTAGCGAAAGAAGTAGGAAGATGGATCGACAGCGTTGGTGGAATTTTTTGAAAGAATAAAATTACACTCAGTGAAAATAGAACCTTCTGGCGCTCTAAAACGTAATATTTATATATTATAGTAGATTTTTATATATATACAATAGTAAATGAGGGTAGAATGGCTCAGTGGGTCATTGCTAAATTGGGGGCGCCAATGATGAGGTTCGATTCCCCGCAGGAGCAAATCTATACAAAAATCCGGGTGATGCTGGCGACTCACCTGTATTTATATCGCCAAGAGATTCCCTGGCATATATGTCCAATGCGGAGCAAGTTTAATCAGTGATGGTAAGGACTCTTAAAAAAAATATAGTAATTGATTATCACTGCAGATATATATTTAAAAAATTATAGGATTTATCACCGAATTTATCGAAAAGGATTTATCACCGAATTTTCTATTATTATAATTTTTGCACTTATTAATTTCATAATGTTTATAGCTAATAGTTTTGCACACACTTGTAACATTTTCTATTTTTAAACACTCCATTCAACAACGTATCCATTCTTTTTTCCCGCATTTTGCTTTTGTGTACTTGCTCGCCAATGGTATTTTTTTTAGACCACGTATAATCATTTTAAGAGATCTATGTATCTCGAAAATAACTTCTTCTGCACCTGCTTCGTCTCCAAACTCCATTATATTCTTGGAATGCTTCATCAGTCCAGACTGCACTCTTTTGCCATAGCATATTTGCAATATAAGCATGAACTTTCTTAAACTTTTATCTTAAATCGTTAGACATCGTTGATTGGCAACTTCCTCATATTGATCTGTCGTTTTTGTGAGCCCTCGATTCTATCAACTGGAACTTTGTTAAAAATAAATTAAGATAAATAAACAAAAAAGATTATTGATTATTGGAAGATTATTGAAAAAAGATTATTGATTTATACCTCCTTCGGCGATACCCCAAGCGACAAGTTTTTTTTTATTTTTTCGCCTAATTTTTAATTTTTATATTTTATCATTTTCTTTATATCAAAAATCAGAGTTGCTACTGTGGACCCACCTATAACTCTATCCTCAAATGTCTCTATGGTGGAAGGGTCTCAGGTTTCCTTGATACGACATCTGCATAACGTCTTTCGACTCGCAAGATATTCCCAACCCGGTGGTACGTGCGATAAGTGTACGATTCGAGCGTAAAATGATTCCAAGGCTCGTGAACAAAATGTGCTAGCAAACTAAGGTAATTTCTTGATATCCTTCAGGGAAAACAACTGTCAACATAGGCAGGCGACGTGCATGAAACGTCAGAACGCTTTAAGACGTTGCAAGCCAAGCGATCACTGTCCACACTCTTTTTCGTATGTATATTGCCTGCTTGTTGGAAATCCGTCTTCCTCAGTTCGAGTCTCGAGTAATTACCAAACATGGCCCCTGCTGAGGTACTGGCATTGTGATGTTTCGGATGACTCGGGGCGAAATGACGGAGCGAATCGTTTGAAAAAGCTTATTTCTCTGTGATTGAGTGGAAACATGTAAGCGACCATATGACTTATGCTGCTTTAAAGGAAAGTTCTGCAGTATCTCGGTCATCAGTGTATATGCTCCAATTTTGTCTGCAGATGATCGTGATAAGGATAAGTTCTATCTTCTGTGCGGAACTTCAGTTGCGAATATCAACACCAAAACATGATATGGCCATAATCTGGGGAGAGTGGAATGCGCTTGTAGGTCATAATAATATAATAATGCTATCTTGATGAACTCGGCAATTGGCTAATTTGGCATCGAGGTCCGATGCGCCAGTGAGAGCTGTGAGGGCCAAAGTGCGCCTTCCTTATGCCGAGGAGAATGAAGTTTTTGTTATAATACATGTTTCTGGCATAATAGAAAACATCTAGTCACGTGAAACTGAACGTCTCGGACAACCACCATCCCAACCAAATTAGTTATATTTTAATCACTTGCCGTTAAAGGAGTTCCCCGTCAGGTTTTTGTTCCTACCTCGGCATGGAAACGACAGCTTCATGGATCTGACCATGTTATGCTTCGAGCTGACATCCGCGTAGAAATGCCAATCATGAGCTGTGCAAATCAGTCCAGAGCACCGTATCATAGATCTTGAACAGCGCTTGACGGTTAAGATGAAACGTATATAATGCTGAACAAAGTGTTAACGATATGTCAATAGCAGCGAGAATCAGATTTAGGGTCAATAAAAAGAAAATCTTTTCGTTTCATTTGGATGAAGTTATTGGATATAGCAATGAGCTCTGTGTGGTCTAAATGGATGCCACCAATAATTCAGATCATATGGGGAAGGGCGATGTTAAACAATGGATGGGAGAAGGTAAAACGTGAAAAACATTACATGTTGTATAAAGATGTGCAATAATTAGAGTTGTAAGTTGTAAATATTACAAAATTCCATGGCAAGCCGTTTTAGATGTAATTTGATGCATTTTCTTTCTTAGAGCTTAAATGATTAAAAACGATTAACTGTTTCTACTGGTATACCATATTAACTGTTTCTACTGGTTTCTGGTTTAGCTGGTTCTGCTGAATATTAAGGTTTCTGCAAGCATACATATTCAGCGAAATTGATTGAATCACTAATTTTTCTGCCTTATAAGTCCATTTACTTATCGCTATGGTGATTTGGGGATTATTAGGCCAGTGTGATCGCTAATTTATAATTTACAGATTTATCAAGATACAGATTTTTGTATTCTGCTTTAAATCTTACTTTGATTCAAGGTGACGATAACGATGCGTAAAAGGTTTGTGATGAATTAACTTGCTCATCTCATTATTTGCGAGCGATTAGAACATTTTTTTGCATTAAATTAAAATTTTAAATTTTTGTTTTATTCCTGCTAAAATTGCTAAATTTTTTTTTCTTTTAGTGGAACAAAACGAAAACGGGAAGAGGATGAAATACCATCATTAAATGAAGAAGAAGATAGTCGCAGTGGATTAACAATGATTCCTGTTCCAAAGGGTTATTTTCTGTTGTTTCGTAATAAAGAAGAGATTAACCTCGAATTTTTATTTTTTTTCATGTGGCTGAATTTTTTTAGGAAGAGAAAAAGATCCTGAATTTTCTGCTCCCAAGAGCCAAAAGCTATCTGACTTGGATGAAGAGACAGCTAACAGAGAAGGAAGAGAAGGAGAGGTGATTAGTGACTTTTCTTTGCTGTTTTCTATCTGGTAAATTTTCCTCTTTGTAACGTGGAACTTTTTAATCTGAAATTTGTCCTATATTTTCTAATCTGCAGAGTTAGTTGTTTGCATTTTTTTATTTCAGGATTCCTATATAGAACAAACGCATTATATAATTATCCCCTCATATGCCTCATGGTTCGACTATAATTCTATACATCATATTGAACAACGTTCGCTTCCTGAATTTTTCAATGGTCGCAATAAAAGTAAAACGCCAAGCGTGTATGTTTTAAAAATTTTGCTAGAATTTTCTGATATTTAAAGTATATTACGGGATTATTATTATCATTATATGACTGGCTAAAGAATCTGATTTTAAATTTAGCTCATTTTGTGGTAATTTTTCTTTTTCTCAGATATATGGCTTATCGGAACTTCATGATTGATTCTTATCGAATAACTCCATTCGAATATCTTTCTGCCACTGCATGCCGACGTAACTTAGGAGGAGATGTTTGTGCAATAATGCGGTATTTCATTTGTAGAATTTAAATAAAAATATACTAAGTTTGATTAGGATATATTAGTTTCCTCTTTTTAAAAATAGCTACGAAGCTGATAAGCTGATATTTGCAGCTTTAGTGACGATTTCATTTTAATTAAGTTGAATATTTAAGAGTACATTCATTTCTTGAACAGTGGGGGCTTATCAATTACCAAGTAGATTCGGATGCGCGACCAGCTCCTGTTGCTGCCCCATGTACTTCACATTTTATGGTTCTTGCTGATACTCCAATGGGTTTGCAACCACTTCAGCCATTGCTTCCACCTCCAACACAGGTTTGAAAATTTAGTGCGAATGTGCACAGACTTATTTTGATGTTCTTAATAATTTTTTACTTTAAAACAATGTGACTCTAAACTCTGATGAGAGAGAATATTTCATTTTTTTAGTTTAATTTTGTGTATTTAAATGTATCGTTTATTAGATTGAAGAAAAGAAGGAGAAAGAAGAGGATATGGCCAAAGATGATTGTTCGGCAGCAGCAAAATTTGAACGATTTGGTAATGTGGGATTAAAAACAGATCAATATGCTAAACATTTAAATGTGATGAAGGTGTTGCTTTATTGCTTTATTTTTTCTATAAGATTTTTCATCTTTCTTTTATAAATTAATCGCTTTTTGTGAGTCATATTTTATGTTCCTGTTTCCTATCATTTTTTTATGTTCTAAGTAATTTTAAACTTTTTAAAATTTTTTCAAGTTTGTGTAACTACAGGCGCGAGGCGCTGCTCCAAATCGGGATTGGACAGATCAAGAAACGCTTCTTTTGCTTGAAGGTCTAGAAATGTTTAAGGATGATTGGAACAAAGTAAGTTCTTTGAAAGGAAAACTCGTTTTGAGGGTAAAAAACATTTTATAAAAACATTTAAGTTTTAATTTCAGGTTTCAGATCATGTGGGGACGCGAACGCAAGATGAATGTATTATGAAGTTTCTGCAACTACCTATTATGGATCCTTACTTAGAAGAAGGTGGACCAGAAGCCGAAATACTTGGTTTCAATTTCTTTAATTTTATATTTATTGAATAATGTCATCAAATTTTTAATTTTCATTTTTCGATTCGCTATTTTCAGGTCCTTTAGCTTATCAGCCAATACCATTTAGTCAGAGTGGCAATCCGATTATGTCTACTGTCGCATTTCTCGCTTCTGTCGTTGATCCAAGAGTTGCAGCTAGTGCAGCCAAAGCTGCTATTGGTAAAGCTACTTTTTTATGCTAAATATGAATTCGAATAGTTCCGCATATTCATCGTTACATTTTTTTAGAAGAATTCTCAAAAATGAAGGATGAGGTGCCACCATTGGTGGTTGAAGCGCATATACGTAATGTTGAGGCAATATCCAAAGACCGTATCGAGGCTGATGCAGGTTTGAGTACCTCTGGAATCGCTTTAGATGAAAAAGGTCAGTACGTGCTATAGATGTTTCATGACTTTATTTATTCTCATTTTCACATTAATTTTAAATTTTAGATAAATTGAAAGGCACTGATACGACTTATCGTGATGAACGTTTTTGTGCAGCAGAGAACGATGAAACTATAAGAACGGCTGTTGACGACGAAAAGAATGGAAAGGAAATCTTAAAATCGTCTACTGCTGAAACGATTCAAACAGCAGCTGCTGCTGCCCTTGGTGCAGCGGCTGTTAAAGCTAAAGTAAAATATAAAATTTTTTTGGTGAATATGCCTTTAATTTGAAGCTCGTCCAAAATTTCAGCACTTGGCATCGATTGAAGAAAGGCGAATAAAATCCTTGGTAGCACAGTTAGTTGAAACTCAGATGAAAAAGCTTGAAATGAAATTGAGGCACTTTGAAGAACTTGAGGCAATCATGGATAAGGAGCGAGAAGCCGTTAGTCTTTTTTCCAAGGATAGGTGAAATTTTTTGAACTTCCCAGTTTGTTTTAATAATTTTTTTTTTTTTTCAGCTTGAGTATCAGCGTGAGCAAGTGATATTGGAAAGACAAGCTTTTCATATGGAACAGCTTCGCTATCTTGAATCAAGAGTTAGGCACGAAGCCAATTTAAGACTCGTATCGTCTGGTTTGTTGCTCTTTTTTTTTCAAAATATATAAAAAGTTTTCAAGTTTTTACATTTAATGTAGGGAGAGAGAGAGAGATTTTTTGAAAAATTTGTTGCTGTTTGCAAACGGTTGTGAAATTTTATATTTCTTTATGCTGCTGGTTTTAAAGGCCAGTAAAGGCGGCTTTAGTAGTAACTGTCGTGGAACTGTCGCAGTTTTTTGAGCATATGCCATAATATTTTAAAATGGCGCAAATAGGCATATTTGGTAAAAACGACAGTAATAGAATGTATCAGTTAAAATTGAAAACTGAAAATTAAAATTTATTTTATCGATGAATGTTTAGGTCAACTCCCTGCGACACTTCCTCCAGGGTTCGAAATAGCCACAGCTCCTCCACCTCAGCAGCAAGTTCAGGTTGCAATACCTCCAGCTTCAAATGTAACTGCAGCAACAAACAACCAAGCCAATGTAGCTCCTGGTTTGCAAGAAATTGGTATTTAAAGCTCTTTTTGTCCTTTATTATGTTATGATGTTGCAGAAAAAATTTGAAAAAAAAGAATTTCTAAAAAATTTATTTTAAAGAACAAAAAGAAACGCGAGAACAGCCGCAAACCGTCCCAGCTGCTACATCTTTGCCTCAGCCATCTGCGCCACTACCACAGCAGCAGCTTCAAGCTCCACCCCAAACTATTGCTTCACAACAGCAGCCTCTTATAGTGCCGGCCCATCCACCCCAGGTGACGCAGGTACCGCAACAGTATCAGCCAGCACCGCAGCCACCTCCTCAGCCTCAACCACAGCAACCACAACAACCTTATCCGCCTCAAACAGCCTATGCTCCTCAACAACAATATCCGCAGTATCCACAGAATACACCTCCGCAACAATATTCGCAAGGTTTGAATTGATTTCAGAATTATCAGTTCATTTTTTAGAATTTATATTTACCTTCATTCTTCCTTTATTAATTCTTGAAAAATGAAAAAGATAATGAATTATAGGCTATCAAGCGGCGCACCCCCAAAGTCATTCGGGACAGCCTCCTAATTGTGCTGCATACTCACAACAGGATCCTCAAGGTTTTTGAAGATTTTTCATTTAGATTTTTCATCATCGACTTTCCAAAAACTTTATTTTATTTCGGTTGGTTTTCAAGTAAAATTTTTTGGATTTCTCTTTCTGTTTTTGTTCGAGATACTAAAGTTATTCAAAGATTAATTTCTTTAATGTTGCTTTAGTCTATTTTCAGGTCGTTCGCTTTTTCAGCAGTTTTTGCTTTTTGTTTTCTTCTATCATATTTAAAAAATCACATTTAGGTTATCAAGCTGGTCATCCTCAAGGATATTATGGTCAACCTCCTAATCGTCCACCTTATCCACAGCAGTATGCTCAACGTCCACAATATCAGCAGTCACCAATGCAGGCTTGTTTATTAGTAATTTCCGAATTAATTACCACCGAGAATCGGGGGTTGGGTTTGAATCTAGCGATCCGGCGGCGCACCACTCTTCGTTCGGCGTCACTGTCGCCTAACGGGGAGATGAAAAGAAGAGTGGTTGTGTGTCTTTGCTCAGTTCAGAGTGCAGATATTAACCTGGACTCTCTTGAAACCTAAGGACTCTCTGGCATATTCTAGTGCGACAGGCCAGTGGGTCAAGTCTAATCAGTAATGGTGAGTATTCTTAAAAAAAAATTTCGAACAACTTTGATTTGCTTATATTTATAGAGAAATTGTGCCTGATTGCACTTATCCATTTTTCTTGCTCAGCTTTTGTATATATAAATTCTTGGCAGATTTTGGTGATTTTCTCGGAATTTTTTTTATTTGTCTATTTGGAAATTTTTTATTGAAAATTTGAAAGGAAATTTATGGAAATTTAATATTCAATCTCATTTAAGGCGTATAGTCAACCTGTCCGAGCAAATTTTGCACCAGCTGGAAGCGCTCCTCCAAATCCTAACTATAGTTATTCTCAGCCATATCCTCCTCAAGGAAATCAGGTACTCAGATTAGCATTGTCAAAAGGATTGTTCAAATATTTTATTCAAATATTCAAATAATAAATATTTTATTCAAATATTTTTGAAGTTTGAAAAAACAAATATGGTTATAGTATGCTGTACCTCCCACTGGATATGGTCATAGTCAGCCTCAGCAAGTTCCTCCGACATCTATGCAGCAACAAATGGACTCCTCGGATGCTGCGACACCTCCAATGCATCAAGGAACTCCATCTGGCCCATAGACGGCATTGTAAGAATGAATGTGATCATAAATTTGTTTTTTGCAAAGTTGTTATTTTTCTTTTCAAACAGATTTGAAAAATTCGTTAAAATTCTCTTGATTTTCTTATCATCTCATTTTGTTTTTCGTTTCTGTTTGTTTTAGCATGGTGATGAATTTCTTTGTGCATATTTATTGGTATTCGATTTTTGAATTGGGGATTCTAGGAGCTTCATCAGACAGTTTTGATATTTACTCATAAGAGACACTGATGGAGCATTAAAAGTTTGTTGACGAAAGCAGTGGTTTTTGCAGACTTCTTTGTGAACGCAAGTGTAGAAATGATGTAAGCAAAGGTATATTACTATGTCGTATAGTGATAAAATTTTTTAAATTTGCAAATTTTGTATACAAATAATAGATTATAATAAAGGAAAATCGTATTGTCCTTATATATTCATATTCAGGATAAGATAATATTTATTGGAAATGAAACATTCGCTGAAGGGGTATTTGTGGGGATCTCCGGGAAGGAAGTATACACGCTGCAAGCATACAAACCATTTTATTCTGCTGAAATGGATGTAATTTCAAAGTCCATTTTACGAAAAAAAAAGTATTTTTGTATATTCCGAGTTGTAAAATTGTTTGAGGCATGTATCGCGTTAATCGCTTGATATCATGGATTTCTTTGATCCAAAAATTCGCAAAGTAACGCAACTGAATTATATTTTTGATTTAAATGATCTAAGAAAGTATATGTGGAAGTAGAACGGCTCAATGAGTTGGTGCTCTCATGAATTGGATCATCGGAGCTAGTAGGTTACTTCTGACAAGAATGAATCTTCCACAAATTCGGATTATACCGACGTCTCGTTTGTACTTCTATCACCAAGCGACTCCTTGAGAAGAGTTGTTTCATTCAATAATCCAATACGGCGATACGGAGCAATAATGGCGACCATTTATTCTTAATTAGTTATTAGAAGAAAATGAAACAGTGACTGTGAAAAGAGTGGTCCTATATTATGCGGTCGCGGCTGATGTTATTCTATTTATCATTTAAGAGGCTGCGGTCTATCAGAATGGAAGGAAGTAATCAGCTAGTAACACTTGTTCTCCATCATCACTTGCATCATCATTTTTATTCGACATTTATTGTTTGCTAAGAGGCACGAACTGAACTTATGATCTTTGGATCTAAATCGCCGCAACGTACGTCAATTTTTACGTACGTCAACCGTATAGACGTTATATTTCCTAGAAAAAGTGATTTAAGCTAAGTTGAATTGAAATGTAAACTATGATAGTTGTAGAAAAATTGTTTATTTAAAAAAATTTTAACTCGTTTTTTCATCGAATTTCTGGATTATTTCCTCTTTTTTTTTCGAAAAAGTTTAGTCAACATTAGTGATTGTTCCGCTGGATTTTTCGGCAAATTTAGCCAGAGGACCAATTGGTGACAGAAGGACGAAGTTGAATTACCAGTATCATTCGGACTTTTGAAAGTTTACTTATGTCGCACATAGAATACAATCCCAGCATTAGTCGGTCGCTTCACAACTCACTATTTTGTCATATTTCGCTTTCCCTAATGAATTTATGATTTATGGCTTTGGTATTGCTCGCTCAAACATTCCATTCCATTCGACTTTTTAGTTCATAAAAAAATTCTCTTCGATTATATTTTAGAACTTGATAAATGGCTTCGAATCCTGAAGATGATGATGAAATCGCAAGAATATTGCAAACCGAGATTGATGGTCATGAGGAGGACAGATTTGAGTCACCGCAGGACACGTTGAGGCATTTTATAATTTGTTGGCAGAATGAAGTTAATGCACCACGTTTGTTGGTACACAAGTAAGTAATCTCATTTGCTTGAATTTGGTAAAATTGGTGTCCTTCAGTAGGAATTGCCATTGTTTGAAGTAGTATGCTAAATTTAAAAATTGTAAAAATTTCTACATAAAATGGAAACGTGTTAAATTGGTAAACTTTCCTTATACTTACCTTAGACGTGTATCAACGAGTTAAAATCTCTTTAAAAGAAAATGTTTTAAAATATTTTTTATTAAGAAAATTTGGATATGTAAAGTAGAATCATTGCGTTTTATCGCAGTTTCAGTAATTCAGTTTCAAAATCCCAGGACAGAAGCGCTCAATATTGTGATTGATCAAATTGAGGGAATGGAAGAAAACATCCAAAATGTTTCTGATAGAAGGTCTCTTAAGGTGTCAATGCACGAATTAGAGGTGCAAAGAATCAATTTCGTAGTGAAAGATTACGTACGATTAAGATTAAAAAAGGTTTGTTGGTATCGTTCTGAATTTTGATTATTATAGCGACGTTTCCGTTTCCGATATCATCCGTCTTAATCGAGAACATATCGTTGATTAGTAATAATTTCGAAATAAAATAATTTTTTATCATTAAATTTTCAAATCATTATTTGAAGGTCTTTGCGATGGCTCTTTCTTGATTTTATATTATTTTATTTTTATCATATCAGTTCAGTTATCATATTGTTTTTTTTTGTTTCAGATTGAGGAGCATACAGCCGCATATTTGTCCGAAGATAGTATGCGGAAACGAAATAATCGACCTCCTTTACTTAGTAAACAAGAAAGGGATTTCGCTGAAAGGTCTGATTTTTTTTCCTTTTTATTTCTTTTACTACAGTAATTACCAGCTTTGTTGAAAAAACTTATCAACTGATAATTTTATTCTGGAAAATTTTAAAAATTCTTAGCTATTTTTTTAGATTAGAGAAGAAAGCGCTTATTTTTATTATTACAATTTATAAAATTATTTTATAATAATTTATGAATCTTAAAGATATGCACAGTTATCGGCCAAGCTTATGGCCAATTGTGTACTCAGTCGTTTGCCTGAAAAACTTCAAACATATCCTGTAGCAAGAAAAGCTTGGGAAAAAGAAAGCGTATTTGTTCAAGTTCTCAAAAACGACACATATAGTATTCCCATAACTGACCCCGCTGATCCACTGTCGGAGATTTTGATCGATCTACCTAAAGATTCCATTCATCTGTTACCTTTTGTAAGTATTGTCGATCAATTGGAGGATGGTAGGGTAATGCTATTGTAAATGTGATAATTTAACATATTTTTTTTCAATTTTGAGATATAAGAAAAATGTTAAAAAAACGCTCACTATTTTGCTGGTTAGGTTCGCTTCGCTGATTTATTGGATCATACAAATTGGACCACGTAGGGGGGGGGGGGGGGGTAGGCCATTTGATGATAGGTAAACACGCTTTTGGCAAAAAAATATGTTAAATTAATACCGATTGTCCACTAATTTTTTTTCTCTCCTGTGCTTTATTTGATTTATTTATTTTCAGAAGGAACCAAATAGGATATTTAATGCTCTCCGAAAAATTTACCTAAAACTATAGTATTGTTGAATTGCTTGTTTGAACTTATTCGCCCATCCGCTATTTTTTTGCGTTGGCTTAACCGAATATTCGGTGAAATTTGACTGAATTCATAGGCGCGTAAACTAAAAGAGATACATAAATAAATGATGCAGAATATTATTACAATCAGATATCGTCAGAACGTTCCCGGATACGTCATGCATATCATGGAAAGTTTCTATATGGAGTCTCTTGGTTATCGGTCAGACAAAGAAGTGAGATTCGATGAGCTAAGTTTTATCTCTTAGGACTTCATGAGAACGTGCCTTTCTTATAATCCTTGTGAAACTCAAGATTCAATTGTAATTTGAATAAAACAAATGGAAAAAAATAGAAAAAAATTAAAAAGGACTATAAATATCAAATATTAGTAATAGCAAAACAATTATTATTGAAATTAACTAAAATTATCAGCTAAACCAAATTATCAGTTATCATCAGATATTGCGAACAATTTTTAGTTTCTTAAAACTAACCGCTGAAGTTGCAGTAATGAATAGCGCGAATAAAAAATTTGTCTAGTTGGATTCTATAGGAGGATTTCAAGAATTCTAGTCCACTAGGTTACTCGATCAATTACTGATAATTACTTAATTATTGCTCAGAACCTATGCAATCTAATTTAAATTATCACGTTATTTGTGCGGATTTTTTACTTAATCTCTAACATTTGCTTAAAATAATCTTCCAGAAATTTTTAGATTTTTGAAAATAGCTAACAAAGACCTTGTTAAAAACATGTATAGAGGGCACCGACTGTAGTTGTCCGTATATAAATCTGATTTTATTCATAAAGGTTGTGAAGCGGTAGTTTTACTGGAACATATCGATACTGAAAATCTGGCTATTAAATTATTCGTCTTAAAATAATTGTAAAATTTTTTGCATTTGAGCTCCTTTAATATTTTGCAATAGTGAAGTCCTCTATAGAATATTGAATTTTCTATAGAATTTTCGTTTATCTAAAAATAAAATAGGGTAGATCAGTTTGCCTTCTACGCCATTGGCAACATTAACAGGTTCTTTTCTTTTTCTTTTCCTAGTCCATTAATTCCTCTCCAGTTTACTTTTCTGTTTTTTTTTTGATGCGTCGGTGCGTTGTTAAAGTCGTTTTGTTATCTTATCATTTAATTCCCTTTACTGATTCGCTATTTGGAACTGCAATGAATTTTGATGCATCTCTCTGAACTGACGAAAATTGCCTTATCAACATCTTCTTTCATTTTTTAATTCATCATTAATACTTTTGGCCATAATTTTTGATAAGGCAGATTCGAATCTATTTTTACGCTCCCATAATGACCCTTTTGCTTTCTATTTGATGCATAAATATTGTACAAAAGTTAAGTTAAAAAATATTTTAAATATTTATTGATATATTTTGACCCATATTTATATTGATTTGAAAAGTAGTTTAGTATTGTTTGATTCGTTTTAATGTTTTAATGCTTGCATATGATTTGAATTTTTTTGTTGTATTTATACGCAATTATTGTCAAAAATGCAATTATGCAATTATAAATTAATTTATGTGAAAATATATTAATGACTAATTCATGAACTTATGGACCGAAAGACTAACTCATTTATAATCGTACCATTTAGTTCAAATTCCTCCTGATTGTGTGATTTTGTTAAAAGATATTTATTGTGAAATTCTTTAAAAAGATTTTAGAATTTCAGAATGTTATTTAATGCCTTTATTTTGAAAGAAATGTATACTGTTCAATCATATTTAATATTGCTTTATTAAAAATAATGTTTTTTTCCTGTATATTTTCGCAATGCATGAATCAATGCCATTATTACTGAAATTTAATAAATGTCTACATATTCATTTTCATTAATATTTATATAATTGCACGAATGATATTGTGGCTATTGCAGAATGCTTCAAAGTCTTCGAATAGCTCGTGTAGATTACTGTTTACTCCACTAGATATTTTTATTCTTAATTATTCTTTCCTCGATAAAAATTATTCAAATGAGATCGATCAATAATCGACCAATAACTGATTGATATTCTTTAAAGTTCAATTCGAATAACGAGTCTTCCCGGCTGACGCACCATGTACAAAAAAAGGTATATAGCATTACAAAATTTTCATTGGGAGCACGGCGATCTCCTTCCAATATTCTACCTTTACAAAAATTCATTTTAGGAATCCGCTCCACTATCTTTTTTCTGTATAGATTTAACTTTCCTGCCACGCTGGATTTTTATTTCTTAATAATATTACAAACTCTGCGACCAGCGTTCTACTTCTTACTTTTCTCGTTGCGAATCTCAAACTTTGGTAATTAAACCTTTATTAGTAAAGAGGCAAATATATACAAGAAAATAAAGCGAAGTAATTGCCCTACTACAAAGAAATAAAACAGTAAAAAAAATCAAATATAAAATCAAATATAAAAGGATGTAAATGACAATCGCTCACCGACTCCTCTCCCTCGCTCGTTTCCCCTAATAGAAGCATAAAATGACCAAAAATGATCTCTTGGGAGCTTATATTTAATTTAAGATGGGTGGGAATCCGGATGACTTGCTCATATTTACAGCTTTTTGGCCATTCGGCGACAGGTACCATAAATCTTGTAAAAGATGTTAATTAAATTAATATGGCGTTTTTCGCCATGGTTCAGTGAGGAACCATTATCGGATAAAAGGATAAGGCACAATCAATCCATCATTCAAATTGAGCGACAAAATAGCGAAAATCGAAAACCTATAGCGACGTAATAGCGACAGTTGACCTATTACATTTTTTTATATTATGCAATTGGTTTTGATATTATCCATATTGCTTAAAAGAGGCCTCGTTTCCTTTGAACTCTGCACTGAGGGTTTAGCCAAAAAAATCGGTTTCATACGAGTTATTGGAAAATTTAAGGTACAAAGCAAATTCGGTTGTTTCCCTCCACATTATCCTTAATAATTAACTCGAACTCAAACGGTGGTCGAATGGCTTAGTGGTTGTTGCTCAGACTGGAGTGCCCATGCTGAGGTTCTATTCCCCATTGGGATAAACTTGTTGGAAAAATTCGAGTGATGCTGGCGACTCATATCTACCACTATTGACAATCAATGTCTTACTTGGAATATTCGTTCAACATAGAGAGCCAGCGAAACGGACTTAGCTAGTAATGGTGATGACCCTTCAAAAAGAAAGTATAATAGAGATATGGAAAAATTTTGGCTTAAACCATTTTCGTTATAATGCACTAATGTTCTAAAGTGAATGCTATTGTCCTATATACGAAACCACTGCTTTCGAATTTCTCGGATATTCCCTATAATCAATTATATTTTATTGATTTTTTTACCAATCACCTGGCCAAGCCTCGAAATAAACGTTGGCCTTCGTTTCAGCCTCAGTCTAAATATTGACCTAATCTCAAACCTTGGATAGAGCTTTGTTCAAGCCCAGGGGGTGGGCCAAAGCTCAAATCCGAGAAAAAGGGCAATTCCAAGCTCAAGCCAAGGCCTAAAATTTTATAAGTTTACATGGAAACAATTACAAAACAAATTAGCATGTTTCCTGGTTTTCTTTAGATACTATGCCAAAAAATAATCATCAAGAATAATGCTATTGAAGAAAGTCGTCATCAATATCATTTTTTCTATGTTCCAATAAATATGCTGATATTTTAGAGATTGGTATCTTTTCAAAATTACGGTAAAATTACTCACAAAATTACGGTAAAATTATACAGTAAAATTCATAAAGCTTTTAAAATTCAAAAAGGGAAAAGATTTTAACAAAGCTTTCCACGTCATAAGCAGTCAACAATATGCAAATCGCACAAAATTGTTTTTCTTCTTTCTTTGTTCACGCATCTGTTAGCTACTTTGTAAAGCTATCTTATTTGCATACCAAAAAAAAGGAAAACCATGAGAAAATTTTCTTTTGAATAAAAATAAATTTTTATGTAATTTTTGATCTACCAATGTTCTGGAGGAACCACCCAGCAAAGGAGAATCGGTCAGTGTTGGACCAACAATATCAAGAATCGCCTTCGCCTTGCTTCATCACCCTTTTTTAATTAACTATTCGCTTTGAATATATTCGCTTTTACTTCGAACCTATTAAATACCTATTTTTCATTTATTATAGTATAGTATTTGTTTTATTAAATATTTCAATTCATGGTCGCTAGAATACATTCTTTTTCCGACATAATTTTTGGTGCCACGAGCCGGGAACATGAAGACAAGCTTAACGAAAAGCGCGCAACCTGCAATAACAAAACTAACTAAACTCCTGAGTGAAATACCAAATTTGGATTTATCGCCACCGAATCAGGAGCTGCCGCTGGAAGAATTATGTCAACTATACGAGACCAAAAAAAGAATAATCGAAGAAAAGCTAAGACGCTTCGAAATATACACTGGCTACTTGGAATCAGTCAAAATGGTTGACTATATCAATAGAACAATCACTCCACAAAAAAAGGAGGAAAACGAAAAATATGCCTAAATGGTCGACAATGAAAAGGGTATTTTAAACTTAACAACTGACAGTAAAGAAGCTGTTATACTAGACTTATATAAAAAGGATTTCGAATCAATAACCGAACAATTTAAGAATACACACATTCGCAAACAATTCCAGATATACAAAAATTAAATTATCTGCTTAAGAGGAGAAGCATTAAAAGCTGTGAGAGGTTATGATATCGCACCGGAAAATTACCAAGTCATACAAAGAGTTTTGACTGAAAAATTTGGAGAGATTTCCACTAAATCTTTCTATAAAGAATTATATACTCTCAAAAGGTACGATCAAAACTGGAAAATGATAGTCGAATCAATCGAAAGAATTCTTCGTCAACTAGAAGCTATCGGCGAAAATCTTGAACACTCAAGTATTGAAAAACTCATTGAAAACAAGCTACCAGGATGGATTCTAGACAAAGTATTTCAATAAAAGGATGATAACGTGACCTGGTCAACAACAAAATTTCGATAGTTTCTCGGGAAATTTGTGAAGAGAAACGATCAAGTAACTAGAAGTCAAGCTTCAAATACCAGTGGTGAACGACAATTAACCAAATTCAAATTCAAACGTTGGCAACAATCAGTCAACCTAGTTCAGATAAGCTTAAAGTTATTTCAAATTTGTCGATAAAAAAAAGACTAAATATAAGACCTTGTTCGTTTCATAACAAAAATCATTGGGATAATGATTGTGAAACTTATCCTACTTTAAAGCAAAGATTAGAACATTTAAGGCCTGTCGAAAATGCCTTAAAGGAGGATACATAGAGACCGATTATAAAAAAATCTGTGAAATGTATGTTTTTATTGTAAAAAATCACATAACAGCGCGCTCTGTCTGTGACGACAGACGACAATTTAATCAAGCAGGACATAATCCCATATCAGAAAGGGACGTCAAATTAGATGATGAAACGGCTATCATCAACACAATCACCGAAAGGGAGAATGAAATTTTACTTTTATGTAAAGAAGTTACTGTCTTTAATCCAGAAAATTCAAAATGCTGTAAAGTTCTAGTGTTTTTTGATATTGGTTCATAATTAAGCTTTGTATCCAGAGAACTAGCAAGCCGTTTGGAACTTGAAGAAACGGAACTAACGGAATTATAACCACCTTTGGAACTAGACATCAAACGGTACTTCCCACAATGAAGATAGTAAATGGAATAAGAAATAAAGACAAGGAGGTAATAGTTTAGGAGGTAATAGTAAAGTGAATGTGGTAGAATATTTAACGAGTGAACTTCATGTAGCAGATATATCATCTACACTGGACGTGAATTATCCGTTAGAAACTCTAGCTTTTTACCGGAAAAAAACAAATATGTTAATTGGAGCCGACTACTTCTTTAAATTTACACAACTAGAGAAAATTCAATAAATGAAATCAGGATTTTCTCTACTTCAAACTAAATTGGGTCTTATGATTTGCGAAAGTGGACATATCAAAGAAATTAATCAAATTACCCATAAATCGAAATGTATTTCTAGTATCTCAGATAGATCAATTCTGGAAATTGGAATGCATAGGAATACATAGGAATACATGAGCAACCTTGTGACGAACGAGCGCTAAAAAAATTCAAAAAGAATATTATCCAGATTAAAAGAACATATCAAGCACGTTGACCATGGAAGGAATCTACATCTAATTTAAGTAAAAATTATGGAATGTGCTATGGCCGACTAAAAAACTTGATTGGACGATTTCACTTCCGAATGATGAGGAAAGTAATCACGGCTGATATAGAAAAGACATTTTTGCAAATAGAATTACATCCCGAAGACAGGAATTGCACCAGATTTCTTTGGTTGAAGGATATAAAGAAAGGGGTTACTGAAGAAAATCTACAATGCTATCGTTTTAAGAGTCCCATTTGGAGTTATATCAACTTCCTTTTTATTATCAGCTACTATTAATTATCATCTGGAATCTAATGGTAATAAAAGTGCTTTAGAAGTAAGAAGGAATCTTTATGTTGACAACGATTTGATATCCGCAGAAAACAAGGAGAAAACTTTAGAGAAATATTTTGAATTGAAAACTATTTTTGAGGAAGCCTCAATGAATATTAGAGAATTTCTTTCAAACGATGTCAGATTCAATAAAATTATACCTGATCACGATCGAGCAAGCCTCAATGCCAGAAAGATTTTGAGGATTATGTGGTCCCCTAAATTAGACACCATATTCTGAAACAATGGACGAGCAATGAATTAATTAAAAGAAAAAATTATTCTTAAAAGAATTACGAAATTATTCCCAAAATTATTCTTCAATTTGTTGCTTTATATTATGATTCTCTAGGATTTATAGTTCCTGTAATTGTAAGGTATAAATTATTTCTTCAAATTTTATGGAAGAAAAATAATTCGTGGGATTAAATTATAAGTTATAAAGATCAACAAATTTGAGAGTCTTTTATTAACGACAAGACGACACATGTAGGATACCAGCCTCGATTTATAACTAATCTTACAAGCCATATGAACTTTCACATATTTACTGATGCTACGTACGCAACAGCAATATACACATATCGAGAAGGAATGCGCAAAAGGGAACCATTTTTAGTTTATGCTAAATCCCGTATTGCACCCATCAAAGGAATTACCATACCGCGATTGGAACTGCTTGCTATTCTCATTGGAGTATGAGCAGGACGATTTATACTCAATCAATTATGCTTAAAAGACGCAAAGGTGATATTATGGTCTGGTTCCAAGTGTGCGTTCTATTGGATAAAGAACTATTCTAAATTACATCCAAAGAAAGGCAAAATTTAATATCCGTTACATACCTGGGAATGGAAACCCAGTGGAAGTGGATGGTATGGACCATCATGGTTAAAAAAGGAATGCAAGCGGTCACAATGTGAGTTTCAAGCACAAGAGCATGAAGAGCATGAAGAAATGGAGAAAATTCAATGGGCTGATGTAAAATTGATGCAACAAGTGCCCAAGTATCAACAATTTACGTTCATAGACGCAAGCCGATTCAGTAAATGGTTTAAATTAATAAGAGTTCCATTTTAGCATTCAGATTTATCAAACGCATAAGTAAAAATAGATTCGAGTGGTTAAACTCGATCTCAGATGACCTCTCATATATAAACAATATACAATGAAGGAAGTAGACACAGCTCATATACAGTGAAGGAAGTAGACACAGCTCGACAAACCTTAATTAGACAAGCACAATTTGAAGGTATCAATGACAATGAAATAACTAAATGGAATCTTTATTATGATGAAAATGAAAAACTATGGAAATCGATGAGTCGATTGGAGAACTCAGAAGAATTAACCGAAAACAATATTATCACCTAATTTATTTACCAAGGCACAATATAATAACCGAACTTCTTATAATGTGCTATCATGAAAATTTACTCATATTGGTGTTGCGCATACGTTATCAACAATGAGAAATGCATATTGGATCCCAAACGGTAGAACATAAGTCAAACGTGTTTTAAATCAATGTATGGCCTGCAAACGTTGGAGTTCTGAACCATTCAAACTACCTGCTATGGCAAACCTGCCACAATCACGAGTTCGATGTTCAAAAACATTCGAATCAATTGGATTGGATTACTTAGGTCCTGTCACTATAAAACTAGAAAATGGTTCAGGAAAACGGTGGATTGCTCTTTTCATGTTTTACCACTAGAATGGTTCATCTAAAAATAGTAAAAAATCTCTCTGCTGAAGCCTTCTTACATTTAGAAGATTTATTTCTTAACGAGGATGTCCTAAATTGATTTTAAGTGATAATGCTGCTCAGTTTCAACTAGTTTTTAAAACTATGGAATGGAATACCAATTTCCTAGCAACAAGGAGAATGAATTGGAAATCCATAATTCCTAGAACACCATGGGAAGGAGGCGTTTATGAAAGAATAATTGGATTAACGAAGCAAGCAATAAAAAAGGCCATAGGTGGAAAACTTCTATAGGAAAGAGAACTAATAACTTTGACAGTGAAAATAGAAGGTATACTGAGCACTCGTCCATTAACCTATAGAAACTTTGATGACTACTCAGCCTTATGTCCTACTGATTTTATTTCACCTAAAGTTTCATTAATCTTACCTATTGAAGACGATAACATGAAGGATGAAGAATTTTTCCCATATAAACTAAATTTATATAGGCATATAGAAACTAAATACTAGAGAAAAGCTTATTAAATATTGGTCAAATACCCTTAAGACCTTGGATGTATTCTGGGAAATATGGAGATCAAAGTACTTAAATAGTCTTAGGGAAATTTCATCCTCTAAAAGAATAAAAATCAGATCTCCGCGCAAAAATGAGTTAATTTTACTCAATGGACCTGGAACATCACGAAATATGTGGAAGTTATCCAGAATAAATGAACTTCATAAAGGAAAGGATAGGAAAGTGCGGATCGCTACAATAGAATTACTAAATGGTAAAGTATTAAAACGTTCGGTAAGTGTACTTTATCCATTCGAAATTAACGATGGAATTGAACCAGAAAGTGAAACAACTACAGAAAATTCTAATTTGAAATCAACGAGAAAGAAATTCGAAACACAAGAACCAATTGCAATGCGTACTCGAGAGTCGACGAAAAGAATGTCTAAAGTGAACATATTAAGCTTATCAATTCAAGCTTATTATTAATGATGGCTATATTACCACAAGTTCAAGTAAATAGTCATATTATAAAGAAAACTTGTAAAACGACAACTGGTATTCCTTTTAATCTTCCTAACAGATGGAATTGTGAAGAAATACTGCAACAAAATCTCACTTTGGCCAAGATAGTGTATATGATCTCATATGAGAATTCCAGCAATACGATGCAATAATATTGCACTAAGGAATTTAGTCATTCTTTTTCCTTAAATCCATAAAATGCTACCCACGCCTTCTGCCGACTCATTTTACTTCTTTATTCGACTTTCTCACCTTATCATAAAGTTTGGCGAAGTATAACGAAATCTATTCCAGAACCTATTGAACAAAAGAATCAACTTGAAAAAAATTAGAATTACATTTAAAGCGAGAAAAGAAAAAAATACAAAGTTATATTTAAAAATAAAATTAATAAAACAAGAAATTTTTTATTATTTTGGAAAATTTTCGTTAACAAAATGAATTTTCTAAAATTTTTCATTATAAACGGCTTTCTTTAGTAATTTCGAAACAAACTGAAACAAACTGAAATTGAAACTAAATTTATTTTTATGTCTTTGAGATCTTATTTTAGACCATTTAATCTATTGAAATTTAGTGAGAGATTAAAAAAGAAAAATCACGACTCAGATGGTTAGCCTTACCAAATATATAAGTCTTAATCATATCAATTACTTGCCGAGCCATATGATGGTTGGCATTAAAAGCGAGGAAGACCTAGACTGATATAGGAAAGATTTTGAACGTATAGGGAAACCAACGATATATTAACTTAGACGATGGAAAGAGGAATGGTTACTATTACTACTAAAGATGGCCTCGGACCGAGCAGCTTGGAGAGTTTAACCTTGTAGCCAGTGAAACCAGCCTAATCAGTAATGGTGAGAGCTAGAAGGTCTTTTATAGAGTTCAAATTTTCCATATCTACTGATATGCCTTATATTCAGTTTTTTTATTTAAGATATCGCCAGTAAAATTTAATTTTTGATATTTTCAACTACATCGCTGTTAGCTTTCCTATTTCAAGGTACTTAATGTATATACAGTTTTAGATTGGTAAGTTTTAAAACTTGAACTCTAAAAGTTATACATTTCGAAAGCATCAGAATAAATAATAAATAAATCATTTTTGAAAAATGAAATGCTAATACAAGATGGCGACGGAAAAAAATTTTTTGTCAGTGCACGCATATATATATATATATATATATATCTAAACAGGAAGTTTATCTCATGGAAAATATTCCCACAAAGATAAATTTGTATAAGATTTAAGAAATAAAACAAATGTATCATGGAGACCCATTTATAGATGTTATTTAAACTCTCTAACAAGGGGTGGTATGAATTATCAAAGCAATCGAGAGAATAATTTAAAATATGGCTAATAAGAGGAATCTGGCCAGTGAAACTAGAAGATATCAGGAAACGATCTCTTAGGAAAAAGGAGTTGAAAAAAAACCAGTTAATTTTAAGCATAAGCGATTTAGAAACGCCTTAACCTTAATCTTAATCTGATGAGAAATCAAAATAATATAACGAAGTCTAAAGGGGTTAAGTGAGATCTAAAAATTTATAGCACGCGGGTTGAGGTAAAGTATTTCGGTGATGAAAATGGTTCCAGAGGAGAAAAACTAAATTTACAGAAGATAGCTGATAGTATTTAAGGGAGATTGAGAAAAATATAAGAAAGTTCTGATCAGTTCCAAATGAAAAAAGAATTTTTCCAGACATATGAAATGATCCACAGATATGAAATTGAAATGATCCACAGATATGAAGACAGTAATGGATCTAAAGATACATTAATAAAAAAAAGACATAAAAGCAATATACAATTAACGCTTAGACGTTTGTTTCGGTTTCTTTTTCCTCTCCTCGTTGCATCGTTCACAATACCACTTACCTTTAGGAGGTTCTTTTAATCCGATACATTGAAAATGGAACCACTCAATGGGGCACTGTTTGTTATCACACATTATCATTTCACCATACGAGACCTTAAATGATGCAATAATAATGAAAATTTTGCGAAGACAAATTCGAAAAACCTAGAAATCGGAGAATATTTTTTATATTTACAGTCTGATCTGTCTACAAAAAGGGCTTATGAGACCGGCCAAATAGCATCGGCTAGGAGAAAATGGATGACCCCATTTTTCAAACATTTTTCGAAATTTCCATTGCTCTTTACCTGATGGCAAAAGCAATATGTGGGTTCATTCGGATCAATTGGCATCTCTATAATTGGCGCATTCTCCAAGTATGGTTTCAAATCTGCTGAAATCGCAAATAAATAGCCTCAAAAAAATGGAATTAGAATTCGTTAAGCTGTAATCACAGGAGGCTTAAGCTGTGGCTAATCGAACCAGGAAAAATTTGCCAAGAAGTCATTTGGCGAGAGAAGTAAAATGGAATCACCAGCATAACCTGGGCTTTTGAAAGGGAAGTTCCAAACAGGAAAAATTAGCATCAAATAATCACAACGCATTGAGCTATTCTACCAGAGTTCTTTAAACTATAATATAATACAAATTATTATTACCCAATTATGAGGAATATGCTTCAGTTGACTTCCAATGAATAAATTTCTCAAATAAAAATAGTGGAAAGATGCATGAAAAAAATCTTACATGAACTGGCATTATTCTTTTCTGAATTTTTCTCATTCTTTGGTTTCTTTTTTTCTTTACGTGTTGATCCCTTTTTGCGTTTCCGATCATTTTTCTCATCTACAACAAATAAACAATGAATGTTACGATTACTGAAAGACGAGAAAAGAAAGGAAAAATGCCAAATTCGCACACATTAACTGACACACAGAGCATAACACGAATACGTTAACAAATACATGCGATCAACAATTAGACCAAACGCACGAACACATTTCCCCTGTAAATATTATTTCAGATTATTTTTTTCCTAAGAGTTACAGCTTAGTTGTTGCCCAGATTACTTGAACTGTTTGGACTAAAGTGGGGTCTTTCATGAAAAACCCGAGCAGAGCTGCGAACCCACCTGTATTTATATCCTCAAGTAAGCCCTAAGCCCGACAAAAATTTTTCATCATAACAACGAATGGAATAAATGCTTAAATAGAAAAGGTAAACGCTAACCACCTATTTTCAGCATCCTTCCTATGATCCCATATCATATCCCTCCATATAAATGTCAAAAACAAAATTATAATGAAGCTTTTTAAAAGCAAAAAAAAGATAATTGAATCAATTTTCCACAGTAAACGAATAGTTTATTACTTATTATTTCCCTTACTACAAAAAAAAAATTTAAAAAAAAAGATTTACTTTCTGCTTTCATCTTGTTAGCAGCTTCTATAAATTTGCTCTTTATAGAAGCCTGCCGTTTTGCTGATTCACTGTCCAATTTTCTAATATACTTATCCACTAATTCATAAAGCTCGGTCGCATATTTAATTTTCTTATCTGAGAATTTTTCAATTTCATCGAACGTCCTCTGATAATAAATAAATAAATTAAATTAAATAAATAAGTTGCAAAAGACTTTCATGAAAATTATTAGTGGAACAAATTGATAACTTAAAATATTTCATATTTTAATGTTTCATTTAGTGAACAAATTTTCAAATTATTCGTGATCCAATTAAATAAATAAAAATTTCATTATGGATTTTTGCTATATCATTACCGATACTTTAAATAAACACGCACGAATATAATTTTTATGGCAAAATTATGATAAATACTTATAAATAATTTGCAAAATTCCACAGTTTCATCATAATGTCAAGTTTTTAGAATTTTCATAAACTCTCTTATCTGTACCATTATCAATTAAAAATCATGAAAAAAAATAAAATCGACATAACGGCGAAAAAAATTTTCGCCGATTTGGTCAATCCTATCATCAATTAAAAATCGCTAAAAATATAAAATCGACACAATAGCGAAAAAAATTTTCACCATTTTGGTTAACCAATATTAATTTAATAAACTTAAAAGAATTATTGCAAAAATATAAAAATAAAATAAGAAAGAAAACAAACCATAATTTCCTTATGAAAATTAATCATAACATCTTTTGATTGTGACTTGTGTGTCTTAACGAATTCTTTCATTTTTTCATCACATTTTAATGCTTTTTTATGACATTCAATATCAAGTTTACGTATTTCATTTAAATGTTTATGCATTTCGACAGGGAAATTCGACAATGTTTCAGCAAACTCCTCGAGAAATGACGCCATATCTAAGATAATATGAAATTTATTAATTTATTTAAGACCTCTTTTGGACAAAAGCATTTCGATTTGCTGACGAACTACGATGAAACGTTTGGATGATTTTTCTTGCCAGAAGGTCACATGCTAGTAAATATTTATATAATAAATATTTATATTTTTTACAAAATATAATAAATATTTTTGGAGTTCAATAAAAATTCAGAAGATAAAAATAGCGCAGCGATATTTCGTTTCGGACAGCTGAAATTTTACCAAAATTTTTATTTTTACTTTATATTATATTATATTTTTAGTATGCAAATTAAAATCGCAAACTCAGTCGAAGTACAGCAAAATTTTAGAAGTGAAAAGTAAAATTCAAACCAAAAATTCTTAAAATACAAAAAAATTAACGAAACAATCTATGATGAATGTTCGCGAAACTATTTCAAAGATGAATACAGTGGTTTGTTATTCTAAAGCGTCACCATTGACAATCTTTGCCCAGTAAAAGCATATTTATCTTTCAAAAATACCAACGCTATCGGCGACTCGTTTGTAGTTTCTACGACCATTTAACTCTCTCTCATCCTCAGGAATTTCTTTGGTCCAAAAAGCCAGCGGAATAGGCCAAATAGGATGATATGTAAAGATTTGAAAAATGAAATATATAAAAAAAGAATTTCAAAAAAATATTAAATATTGAAATATTAATATTATTAAATATTAAATATTAACATAAATACTAAAAACATTAAATATAATATTAAAATAAAAATATTAAAATATTAATATTAATAAAATATTAAATATTATTAAGGAAAGAGAGGAATTAAACGGAAAAAGCAATAAGTTTCCCAAGTCTTTTTTTTCCACAAAAATCTAAAATCGTTTACGAAAAACTGCGATAAAACTTAAAAACGACCGAGTTTATTCTAAAATACTGTCGAGAAATAAAAATAAAAAAAGATGGTCTAAAGAAAAGTGAGGAATTCAGCCGAAGCCGATTTATAGTATACATTTGCGGGAAAAATAATTTTTTATTAAAATAGAGCTAAAATTTATCTTTTTTAAAAAAAAAAAAAGATAATTTTATTGTGGTGAATAGAATCGTAATGAAACCATTGGTTATCGATGGTTTCATTTCTGTGGATTATTTCGTTCATCGCAGCGAATTGAAATATTTCTTCTTATCGCACGCTCATAGCGATCATTGCGTTGGACTTAGTGTAATTCTTTTTCTTTTATTTTTTTAATGAATAAAATTAAAAAATTTGAAAATTGAATTTAAATAAATATTACGAATTTAAATGAATGAAACGATGCCAATATTCGTAATTTCTCTTTTTTTGTTTAGGAATAACAAAATTCATCAAATGATTCTCTCGTTGTTTTCTTTAATTTTTTGTAGAAAAATTGTTTAATGTTGGATAGATAGCGAATGATCTTTGATCAATGCATGGAATTATATTTAATCGATTAAAAAATCATCATTTATTTTTTAGGGGTATTTTTAAAAATTACGATAGTCTGCATTTTAGTAGTCTTTAGAACCAGTCAAACCAGTAATGGTGTGAGCTGTTCGAAGAAGAAAAAAAATAGATGAGCAGAAATTTATATGAGCTTCATATAAAATTAAATTAATTATTCGAATCAACCCAAAAGAAAAGGAAATGAACGAAGATATACGTGAAATTCACCTAGGAAACTTAATGGATTTTAAGTAATTTTTGAAATATAAAAAGTTTAAATTTCTTAAAATATGGGTTCTTTTTTTTTTAATAATCAGATGAAATTTTTGAAATGAAATGAAAATATTTTAGTCGAAATGGTGTTTCGCTAAAATTTATTGCTCTCCAATAACGGCGAAAATCTTGCCGATTATTTGGGCTCATTCGCCGTATGGTTGTGTTTCGTTCGATATGATTAAACCTCTCGAATTAAACGTTCCTCATCAAATGGATGGTTTTTCTGTAACATTAATTGAAGCAAATCATGTTCCTGGTTCGGTGATGTTTCTTTTCGAAGGACCAAAAATCAGTGATGGCGTTGTACTTTGTACGGGTGATTTTCGTGCAGATTTTCATTTTTATACAAATATTTATTCAATGAATATTTTACAAGAAGTAAAATTTTTCATTTTTTTTCTTCTATCTTTTTATAAAACAACAATTTTTAAAAAAAAAATTTTTTTTGAAAAATCAATTTGAATTATTTTTGGTTTGTTTATTTTTGCTAATGGTGAGAAATTTCAAGACGTTAGAATCCGATAAATTATCGAAATTCATCCATTCATTTCTTCATCATCTTAAAGTTTTACGGTTTTACGTGAACGTCTATGATTTTTTTCTTTTGTAGAAAGTAATTGGTACTCTTTATTTGGATAACACTTATTTGAATGTAAATATTACTGAATTTCCAACGAGAGAAGAATCATTAGAAAAAACCGTGAATTTAATCAAATCTTCGAATCCAAATCAGTTATTTGCAATATCGGTCAATAATATAGGGCGTGAAAAATTTATCCATGAATTAGCAAAGAGTCTTCAGGTGCATTTTTCATCTTTTTTAATTATTTCTATTTTTCGTGATTTTTCGCAAGGAATATCATGCTTTATAAAAAAACACAAAATAATACAAAAAAGGCTTCTTCTAGCATCTCACATCATTACTGGTTTATCTTAAGACTACATATCGTTGCGCCACTTGTTTGCGTAATTAGAAAATCTAATATGTCAATAGCACTATTAATATATTTTTGAGTAATCGCAGTATAATTTTGTTTCGTTTAAGTTTCATTAGGTTTGGAGTTTATTTCTATTTAATTCCAAATTGTGGCCTTTGGAATTTTTCCTTCCTAAAAGTTTTAGGGTATTTATTGTATTTAGAAAAGTCACAAAATAATTTAGTTCATTTATAGCGGTTACTAAAAATTTGATAAATTGATGTGCTTTCTATAAAGTATATGATTTTTTATAGGCCTTAAAGCACTGTTAAAGGAATCTAAATCTTATTTTTGCTCTATAAAAGTAGGTTGTTGGTGGTAAAAACCCGGTAGTGAGGATAGCGCAGTTCATTAAAATGCAAATCTGGCAAATTATTTCATATTTGCATTCTTCAGTTACTCTGATGCTACATATAGAATATATTTCCTTTCTTCATGTTTAGTAAGGTGTTAAGGATTTTTTTCTGTGTCTATAAATTTTTTGGATATCTATGTCATCTGTACAGTTTTTGACTCTCGGCAAGCGGTGCATCTTCAGTTAATTTAATTTTATGGAGGAGAAGATGCAACCCTTGGCTATGTCAGTGTTATTTCGAAAGAATGTTGGACCGCTCTGCGCATATACTTACACTGATGTTTTAATAAGCTGGATAATCTTTTCTAGAATATTCTATAGCATAGTTTTATATGAACCATCAGCGCTATCAGATCTGTTGGATGAAATGCAACAACCAGATAAATACGACAAATGGCGGATTGCTGTTCTTTTTTTTTCAGTATGCTGCAATACTTCTATGTAATCTGGTGAGCGAATCCATGGCTTGATTACCTAAATCGAATTTGGTCACCTTGCTGCTTGTAGGTTTATTCAGTGGAAGAGATGTGAAAATTCTTTCATTGGTACTTAATAGGCTAATTTCTCGATAATTCACCAGAATTGTAAGCAGAGCTACCTTGCTGTAATTATTTGGTTTTAGTTTTTATTCCCGTACCAGTGAATAAATCTCTTGAACAGTTGTATTTGCTAGATAGCATTTGAAAAATTTCGATTATTTTTTTCAAGGATTTTATTGGGCGAAAGCTTTTAGATTATTTATTACTTGTGGGCATTCACAATTGCAGTCATATGGTTCGGAATGCGATTCAATTATATTATGTTATGTAATAGTCGAGTTTTTATATCGGTCTTGAGCTTGATTTTCACCGCTTTTATGCATGATCTATCATCTATTCTAATTCTGGCAAAAGGAGCATCGTAATTCAAAAATTAGAAGTATAATTATTATCATATTCAGCCTCTGTTTCTGAATGAATTTTATTCTATTTTTTTCTAGTTTTGTTTTTTATTGGTATTAAAAATTTGATTTCATTGCTAGAATGACTGCAGAATGGTAAAACATGTTTGACATTATGGTCCGAGATAGCCGTTAATATATCATCTTATATTCCATCTTTATTTATTGAAGAGGGTTATAACTGATTTGCCACTAATTTTTTAAATCATCTCAAATATTTTTTCATTTTAATTTGCTTCACTTTTTTATTTTATTTAATAAGATCGTCCAGAGCGATAGCCATATATTTATATTTGATACATTATTGCACTGCGTGAATTACGTCAACAAAAAAATGAAAAAAAAATGAAAAATAAGATTAGGTACAGTTGGGTTGAGGATATAATATATTTTTGCTTAATATTCATTCAGTTTATTTTTAAAGCTACATATTGATAATGCAAAGAGATCATTAGACAATTTAATCCAGTAGTATATTATGAATCAATAAAAAAAAAAGAAATTTTATAAAACTGTTCTGCAATTCTTTTGCTAATAGAAATGACGTAGAGCGATTACTGATTTATATCAAAATTTTTTATAAGTTTTATAATAAGCTCGTCATAATAATATTTTAATTCTACAAAATTAAGGTAAATTTTGGTTTTTTCAATTTAGGAAAATATTTATGTTCCCCCCCTTCGCCAACAAATAGCAGAATTATTGGGGCTTCATGAATATCTAAAAACTGATCCAAGGAACATCCGAATTCGAACGTGTCACAAAAGGTTTGTCAATTATTTTATGTCATATTTGCATATGAAAGCGCGATGTAAGTTTTGTCATATATATTTTTAAAGGAATTCGTTAATATTTTTTGTTCTTTAATAAGTTCGTTTTTTTCTTAATTTGATTTTATTACCAGTATAGCTTACATAGTTATAAGATATATCTTAATCCATAATCTGGAATTATATAATTCACTCTTATTTAGAGATTATATCACTTTAATGTTCACTGGATATTCCATCATTAGTCCTTCAATGGCATTCCACTTAAATTCTGAAATTGCACGGTAAAATTTTGCTTGAATTTTTTTTGGTGCTTTATGGTTATAAATAGTGATGTATTATAAGATAGATAGGATATTTCTGACCATCTTATGTAAATTTTTAAATTTTTGATTCTCGATTTTTGTGAGATTTTATCAATGAGTGACTGCATAAAAACGAAAAATGTAAAGGTACGCATACATTATTCAGAAATATTTTATCTTTCTTCAATCACCAAATTCTTACTTTTTTCATTAACTTAATTTTACCAAATTTTTCATTAAATTCGATCAATTTTTACTAAATAATTCTCAATCTTTTAATATCACTAAGTGTCGGCTAAAACTGTCGTTTAGCATATCTGGAAATTAATTTATTTATAGGTTAAAACTCGAAATTTCACGTAGAAATCTATAAAAAAACACGGTAATGTTGAATTAATTCTTTCAGAAATAAACTGATTAAAATAGGATATTCGGATCACAGCAGTCCGAATGAAATTCGTGATTTTTTGCGACTGCTAAGGTTTAAAAAGGTTGTGGGTACAGTGAACTGCATTCAGCCATCTTTGAACCTCGAACTTTTGTCATTATCATTAACTATTAATAATGATTCAATAACTACAAGTGGAGATTGCGATAAGGAAGATATATCTCCATTCAGTATGAAGGATTTTGTAGGGTTGTGCCATTTTTTCGCTATTCTGTTTATCCGTTTATCAGTTTATTTCTTCTATTTCTTATTTCTAATGTCGAAAATATTATCTTTTCAATAATCGAATTTTTAATTTCTCAGAAATTTAGAAAATTTCAAAAGGATCACCAAATGCCCTTAAGTGAAGCTGAAATGAAAAACTTATCTCAAGCGCATCCTATCGATCGCTTTGAAGAGGAAATGGTGAAAATACTTGGAGAAGTGGGACCAGTTGAGCGAAATTCGGATGAAGTATCAAATCGAGAAGCAATGGATTTTATTGATAGCATACTAAGTTTCAATGAAATGACGGAAAATATTTATAAAGAAATAGGAAAACATCGTCGCATAATTCCATGCAGCAAGGTTAAAAAAAACGAGCATCTGAACGAGCATCTGAATGAATTCGAAAAATGTTTTGATATTAACAAGGAATTAGCTGAATTTTCGAAAGTTCAAGGCATTGTATATAAGAGAAAATCACAAGCATGTGAATTTTCACAAATAGGTTTCATTTCATTTTTTTAAAGGAATTTTTCTGATTCTAAAAAATGGAAACGAAGATATATATACTGTGGTGTAAATTATGGGTAAATGTACTAATAAAAAAAATTGTTTGTTGAAGGAAAAGGCATTTTTTTTATAATAAAATCACCGAATTCCGAGATACGTTACATTGTTTTACATTTAGATACGGAATTAGTCGATGATATGGTGATATTTGACGCATACAATGGTCCAGTAAAAATTACTCCATGTATACGAAAAGCTTCTTCGAACTTATCACAATTAAAGAAGAATACGCAAAGAGGAAGCAAAATTTCACATTAGGTTCGTTTTTTTTTCAGTTTCAATTTTTTTTATGCAATGCTGGTAAAACCCATTTCGTGGACGCGTTGAAGAGGAAAGATAGTTTAGAAAGACAGTTTTTAGACATAAGTTTTTCTTATTGTGTCCCTATAAGGTTTGTTGCATTCTACATATCTTAAAACCATTCGAATCATGCTTGCCTTGCCTTCATATTATTTTCGCCAAATCACCATTATTTTTTTTCACAACTGCATTCAGCCATCTTTGAACCTCGAACTTTGTCATTATCATTAACTATTAATCCGTCCCTCGCATTTTCTTTTCCGTTTTATATTTTTTATATTCCTTTTAATAGTCACTTAAATATCTGTATGATTTCATAATTTTTAGCAACGGCCATTGGAAAAGTGCATTGCCACCAACGTAGAGGAGACATTATGGGAACATAATCGATAATAGATTGGTGGTATTAAGGTATTAGATCTGAGAAACAGGCTAAAGTGGTACATTTTGCAGATGTACGACCAGGTTTGGGGATTTTAAGTGGATGCTTTTTGGTGCTTGGTTTAGTTTTCACAGAAATATGTTTTAATCTAAAACGAATGGTCACAGTGCTATAATGGGTCGGGCTTTCGAAGACTGAAGCAATTTTATCATTTTCTTCCGGATATATACATCTTTTTTTCATTCAACATTGCTTTTTCTCATAGCATTCACTTCTTCCATTTTTACTGATTGCACTGCTGACAACCCTTCATCGGAAAATCATTCTGCGATATATAGATGGGTCTTAAGCACCACTTGGATTGCATTCTTAATTTATTTATAATAACCAAATAGGAAAAACGCCATGTGTTTGCGGTCACAATAAATAAACAAATAAAAACAAGTAAATTAAAATAAGACATCTTAAAAGGAACCTGATGGGACAAGCTGGCAGCATCAGCTTTAAAATAAACCAATTAAAATGTGGAGAGAAACTTATGTTCATTCTGTCGAAGGATTGGTTACAAGCTTGGCTAATGTTGTAATTAGCCAAACATAAGTTCCATTTCACAATTAGGAAGGAATGAAAACAACCTCAATTTTTTCTAGCAGTATTTCTGACGAAAAAATTATGCGATAAAGTTGCAATTAGGTTCACCCTCATCAAAGAACGGGAAGAAATTATGTATTGCTCGACCATCGTTATTTTATAAAATTTCTTTTCTCATCCACACCCTATGTGGTCATCCTCAATCTCGAGTAGTCTGCTAGAATTCTGGGAGATTGAGGTTTCTCTTCCTAGGAATGCGCTCTTCTGTCTAAAGATCTCTGATGCTATCCCTGAAGTCACTTTTCAAATTTGAAAATATATATGGCTTATTATTTAGGCGCAATTTGAAAATTTTGTTATTTTGTTGTGATGGACGATCGCGATTTATTTTAGTAGTGTGGAGTTTTATTGGTGTTTATAGTGGTGCGACGAGGACAACGACGACGATCATTTCTTAGTAGCAAAGCGGTGATGACGGTTGTTTGCAAAGCATCAAAACTAATTTTTTTCTTTTTTTTTTCATCAAATAATTGTTTCTTTTAACAAATAAAATTTAATAAAAGAATTAATGTACTTTCTTTCCAAAAAATGTTTTCTTTCAATAAACTATCTTTTTTTTACAGATTTTCGAATTTCCTAAAAGTCAGTATTATTGCTTTTACTATTTTATCTTTATTCATTTTATATACTTAACTAACGAATTGGAATTTATAAAAATAATTTTAATAAACAACTGTTAATTTTATCAATTTAATTTATTATTTGCTTACATTTTAGGATCGTTTTTTTTTTTAATAAGATAAATAAGACTATTGCGGACAATGAAACCGACAATTAGAATGGCTGTGTGTACTTTAAATAACCGATAACAATTCAATAGAAGAAAATGATGTGGTGCGTCGCTCAATATAAATAGCGGTGTATGTGTCGAAGAGAGCAAAGAGAAAAATCATTAAATGCATTGTAGCCGTGAAGAGTGGTGTAATTCGCATTGTTGTTGTTTGAGCGTTTCGATTATTAGTTTAGGAATAAGGGGGGGAATTTTCGTAAAAATTAGCGAAATTTTTTTAGAAAAATTTTTTTTTTTAAGTGATAAAAATATTTGCAAAAAATAAACGTAAGTTAGTCGAGAGAAATATTTCGTAAATTCAATTCGTTTTTTATTATTTTTTTATTTTTTTCTTTTTTCATTAAAATTTTTTTTTTTGCAAATAAAAAATAATTTCATGGTGAAATTTGAGATAATTCGATTTCAATAAGCTTCTTTGATAAGCATTAAAAAAAAGAAAGGAAAAAACATTTTAATCAAAAATATTTTCGTTCTTTTGTTGAGTTTTTTTTTTTTTTTATTTTATCTTTCAACACTAAAATCACAGCGTGTTTTTTTTCGATGAATTTTCTGTGGAGAATGGAAAGAATTAGTTGAAATTAGCGGCGATTTTCGAATAGTCAGCCACGTTGTCGAGGAATGGTAATTCAGTGCGTAAGGCGGTTGTCGAGCGGGCGAGCGAGCGAGCGAGAGAAATAAAATTTCAATTGTTATAGGAGAACTCTCTTGAGGAATTATCTGGCAAGGAGTGAGTTGAACGATAGGATTTTCTCGAGAAGAAGCAAATAAATCGGTGGGGCAGCATTTGGTCATTTTTGGCCGAAATGATTTTTCAAATACGAGACGACCGCCCTATGAAAATATTACAGCAGCGTAGTTAACACTGTGGATTAAAAGGAACATATTTCGATGATTAATTGCGATTATCCGTAGTGGGTGGTTAAAGTGATTTCAGTAAAGTAATTTTATAGAATAATTGTTTGGTGATAATATTTGAACATTGTTTGGCACCGTAATTGTTGCACCGGTTTTCTCTTTCATTTCTTTTATTTGATTCGCTTAGTTTCGTTTTTTTTTGCAACGAGGATAAAATGTGATATAATCCATAGAGAATGGAAATAGTAGGAATTATTACACAGTTGGTGAAAAGAGTGGCAACGCGTGTAAGAGATTTATCTCCCCAAGTAGCGTGCACCATTTTATGATTTTAGCAATTTGGCAATGTTTGATAAGTCATCTTAAAGGATGAAAAGATAAGAGTGATAGTAATTCCACTTTTTGTTTTTCGCTTAGAATTATTAAATGTTGAAAAAGTTTGTTTAAGAAGAGAACGTCGCATTAGATTAATTTAGATTAAATGAATATTTATAAATATAAATCGAAATTAGTAAAGTGCTTGCTAATATTCATTAGGATTTGCATTATTCAAATAATTTCTTCGCTATAAATTCGCTAATTTTTTGTTTATTCTAAGACTTTTATATTTGTTTTTTTGCATAATTAAAATGAAAACGTGTTCAAATGTTATTTCTATGAAATAAAATTTTATTTTATTGGATTTCATTGCCATTGATCGCAAAATTTTTTCATACATTGAGGATAGATTTTTCTTTTTTTCATTAAAATAAAATATTTATTCTTCGTTCGTTTCTCTTTATTGCTTCTAGTGGTGAAATTTTCGTTGAATATTCGCATGAACTAGCTAACTGCATTCGTTATTTATTGAATCGCTCGTTTTTTCCCTTTTTTTTACTTTTTATTATTTTCGGCAATTGATTATTGACTGTATAGTATTTTATGATGGTGCATTAATCACTTAATGTCGGCTCTTCCGCCAGAGAATTATCGATGGAAATGTTGAAAGGTTTGTAAATTCGATTCGATTAGCAACCATTCGAAAATTTTTATTTAATTATCTAAGAAGCTAGAAAAAGAACGATAGTCAATGGTTAATAAATGGTTATTATGGAAATATTCTAATGGTTGTGAAATCGTGGAATGTGTTTGAAATGCTTAAAAATCGAATAGCTATGTAATTTTATCCGATTCTCCATCGATTAAATTGAAGCATTTTCGGATAGTCTTTTTTTATTGCTGTCGAATCGCTCGGAAATACAATTTGTTTGATGAAATCAGTGGAGATTCGTTTTATAAATATTGCATAAATATTATTATTTTACCTGAGAAGAAATTAGCTTGTTGATTGGCTTTTTTTAATGTTTATGCTTTATTATTTTCATTTTTCATTTGTCGTTCATTCGTTCGTTCGTTCGTTCGAAGTTCCTTTTGTTTTATTTTCCCTATAAGAAATTAAATATTACCATTTAATGTTGTTTATTATGGTTAAAAGGGTTTTATTTGCGATGATTTCAAAACAGTTCATTTTGTGAGGTTTCTTTTTTCATTTTTCAGGTTCGGAAGAGGTCTAAAGAAAGCAAGCAAGATGAGTCAGCAGCCTCAGAACGGACACACTATTGTTGGTTTTTATTTTTTGTCTTAAATTGAAAGGTCTGATTTGTCAAAGTCAAATTTTAAAGCATTTGAAATCAAAAATTTCTTAGCATGAAATTTGAATAAAAAAAATATTTCTATAAAAATCTTATTGAAATTTTGATATTTTCTTCAAATATGGCAATAGGTTGGTAATAAAGTATGTAAATTAAATGAATTAATATGAGCTGCATCTGTGAATTTTTCACTAGAATTTCCGTCATAGCGCTTGTGCACTTAGCAGACATTATGAAGGGATGCTTCAAATGCTTGATTAATTTGTTTGTTTGTGTGATTCATACCATACAAATACTCTAGAAAATTGTGATTTATCTGATTTGCCAAAGTCAGAAAATTTTCGATTGGAAAATCATAAAATTTTAGGAGTCTGAATCTTGGTGCTGAAGGTGATAATCTGAGTGTAGTACCACTCAGCTGTACTATTTGCTATAAAAATTCTTTAGAAAAGAAAAAACAAACACACTATTTTCATTTTCTAGTTGCTGAGTATGACTAGTTATTCTTATTTTTCAAACTTTTTTCTTAACTGTCTTTTATTATTTGATTTCATTTTCTCAAAATTTCGAATGAAAGTTTCAATGAAGCATTCGATTACATCTAGGAATTTCATTATGGATTCTTACGAAAAATGGTAAATAATTTCATTTAGGTTGATATTTATAAAAGTGTAATTAATGATGTGATCAATCAAGTTAGAGAGTCTTTTCTTGACGAAAATATTGACATCGATGTTTTACAGCAACTTAAGAAGGTAAGTTTGTGATCATAATTGATGGTTAGCTGAATATTATCCAATTTTTCGCCATATATATCCAAATAGTACCAAGTGTGGCGAGAAACTTTGCATGATATTTACCAATCAACTACAGTTTATTATGGTTAAATATTCATTTAGATTTGATAAGAATTCTTCAAATTTAGGGAGAATTGAAAAAAATTATTCCAAACGGCTTGTAAAATTAAAAGTAACGAGAAAGTAAAATCGGATAAAAAAGCAGTCAGTGCAGATAAACCACAGTTATTTTTGATATGTCATTTGGTTAAAATGTATAATTTTCAGGAATGGGAAGAAAAACTTATAAACAGTGGTAGTATTGATTGGGAGGGAACGAGGCAAATACAGCCACCTCCGATACGTCAGGCTAAGCCTCAGGTTGTAGGAACCACCCAGTCAGTTCCCTCCACTAATACTGCAGTGCGGATTTTACAAAGCGGACAGGTGTGTTGTTGGGTTTTTTATTTTACTTTGCAGTAAAAAGCTCTTTTATTTTTTTGTCAGAATTCCCTGTTAAAACTAATTTTTGCTCATTTGAGTTATATTCAGTATGTTGAATCAAGTAAAATTTGAGCTTGAAAATTTTCAGTCATTATTAGTTCAGCAGCCGAGTTCTTCTCAAGTGCCTCAAGCAACTGTTGTAATGCAGACTACCAGCCAGTCTGTTCAAAGGCCAGTCCAACAAGTTCAGTATATTAATACTAATAATCTTCCTATTACTGCAGCAGATGCCAGTACTTTCCAGCAAGTAGTGCAGGTAAATTTGGAATGTGATCTAAGCTGTTTTTCGAAATTTTATTTGCACTATTATGTTTCTATGCCTTTATTGTGGATAATATGCGGAAATTTAGCGTCAGCAGATGGGCCAACCGACACAGACTATATCTGCTATTCAGCCAAATATGATCGCTTTTCACGCAGGTCCGCCTAAGTTCGTGCAACAAGCCAATCCTCCACAATATTTAATGCACAGTATGGTTTTAATTGTTTTTTTTATCTCGGAACGTTTATTTAAATAAACTTTTTTTCAGCTAATGGCGGGTTAATGATCGTCCACCCTAATGGGCAGCAGCTACCAGTCACACTGGGCACAGGTGCTGTGCTACAGCACGGTCGAGTGCATCCAAGTCAGATTAACTTGAAAATGGAATCAGGTTTATCGCAACTTGACGGGTCTTCTCACTTTTCTGATATAGCTGGACCATCGAAATCATCCAAACAAAATGTGTTTTTAAAAACGAGGAGTGGTACGTCGACTTTTGTTATTTTTTTTATTAAATAATAAATGAGTTAAAGTTAATTTGAAGAATATGTTATTCAATAAAAATGTAGGTGTCGTGAAGTTGCAACAGACTGATGGAGCCGGTCGAATAAGTGATTCCTCTTCGGATGAAGATGACATCGATGAAGATGAAGATGATGATCCTTTAAGACGGATCGCTGATCGAATCGGTGATGATAGAAGCGTCAGTGATGAAGAACAAGTACCTTCATTTTATGTTATTTTCCACTTACTAAGGGAAAGAAACGAATGTCAGCTTTTTGGGTTTAGAGGATAAAAGAGAAAAAAATTTTATGAAATTCAAGAAATTGGCGATTCTTAACAATCAATCTTATTTTTTCTGTTAAAATATTATTCCAACAGATTGTGGAAGAAGATCCATTAAATTCCGGGGACGACCAAAGTGATGATGATGATGTAGACAAATTATTTGAAGCTGAGAATTTAGTTATGTGCCAGTTTGAAAAGGTATTGCCTTAAATTCGAATATTTGTATTTGCTGCCATTGCTTAAAGTTGCTTTTCGATTTTTTCTTATTGTTTTTTCTCTTAAATTTTTTGTTCTTTTGTTTGCTGCCAATTTAGAATGCTTGTACTTTTCGTGGCTGTGATAATAATCCAACATCAACGCTCTTGATGCTGTCTTTTGCATTGTTATAATTCGTGATAAGTGTGCACTTCGAAATTTAATAAATCCTTAAGGGAATAGTGAGGATAAATAATAAGTGACTATACTTGGGATCAAAATGAGAATTAAAGCAGTAGAAAGATCGAAAAGGATGTTAATAGTGGATCATGGCAGAACAGTGCAGGAGACTTTGGTTGTTGATTGAAGGCTTTTGATTTAACGGATGTCCTTCACAAAGATTTTTGGGTTTTTGAGGTAAAAGAGTTTCATAATGCGCCTTTATTTTCAGGAATTTGATCGGTTTTAGAGATATTGGTGGATTATGCTAAAAAGTGGAGTTTATATGTTATCTAAAAAAAGTCCAACCTTCCACAACCTTTTAGGGCTTATGAGCAGTATCAATTATCGGTCTAGAAGTAGAAAAATCTCAATCTTCAATTAAAAATGGAATATAAGCCTTTTAAATTCAGCAATCATTCTTAATCTCTTAGAGTGGAGTCTATTGTTCTGCACAGCACTCATAAATCGAATACACAAAAAGTTTACGAAAATATTCTCATCGATAAATACAAATCCTAAAGCGCAGCTAATTATAATTCACAATTCGAATTAGTTTTTGGAGTAAACTTTCCAATCGTGTAACTTATCCACTATCTCTGCTTAGTCTTGAGAAAAAATTTGTTCACTTTCGCACTCATTTAAATGTTACGCTAAATAGGTTGTTTATAAAGATCAGATTTAAATTTTATGAAGAGAAAAATATGGTCAGTATGTATTTTGTTTCACTATTATTTATTCATATATGCATATAAAATATCGGTACGCCAATGCTTAGCTTCTGCGCCAAGCAAGAGTAAACTGTCTTTCAAAAATTTGGATAAATCTGGATGATGCTGCCGACTCTGGCCGGACAAGTTATCGGAACGAGCTTAACTAGAAGTAATGATCTTAGAGAAGAAAAATTTATGAAACAACCGAGATATTGTTTGTTCTATATTTTGCTCTAACTGTGATTTTTCATTATTTTCCATTTTGTTTCCATTATTTCTAATTCAAATCGAGTTATTTGACCTACATTGTAAAATATATGGGCTCAGATTTTATATTTGATTTAATCTGTGTGGATGTTTCAGGCGGCTTAAAATTTTCAGTTGATATTTTGTTTAATGCAACAATTATTTTTAAAGTATATAATATATTCCGCTCTTTTACAATATTTTAGATTGGGCTTATTCCTTTCATTTTTGAATTCTTTTTCAGGTGCATCGAGCTCGTAATAAATGGAAATTCACTTTGAAAGATGGTATAATGCACATTCATGGAAAGGATCACTGTTTTCAGAGATGTTGTGGTGAAGCCGAATGGTGATGCATTTGAACATTACTTAATGTTCAACTGGAACTTTTGTAAATGAAATTTATACAGATTTTGGTGTTGATATTACGGTTTTTGGTTTGCTCATTTTTAAGGTAAATTCTACTAGAATTTTTCCCATTTACAAATCACGAAAATAGTTTAGGTAATCGTTGTTTTAGGCGCTTCATTTCACAGATTTTATAGCGAACACGATATAGAACATTGAATAAAAAATTTTTATGGATAGTTCATATTTATAAGGTTAACGTTATTTCAATGGAACTAATCTTTTTTTTCGATTTTTTTACGCCTTTCATATGTTGGTAATTTTCTACTTTTTTTCCGTTCAGAAATTGCTTAAATATTCTCAGCATGCATCTTTGATATTCTTAACTGCATTCCAATTTGATTATTTATTTTCTTCCGAATGGAATGTTTACATATGCTTAAATAAGTGCAAATTTTTGCTGAGATGTTTTTTATATTGTTTTTACTTTATTACTTTACATTATTTATTGTTTTCATAATTTATCATTTAGGTGTTATATTTGTCTGTTTTATTATTAATTTTTCATTTGCATTATGCCTAGCTGTGTTGATTTTAGTTCAGTTTTATATATTTTAAGTGATTTTTAGTAATGCATAAGTGTTGGATTTTTTATATTTTTAGGATTGTATAAGTACTGGGTTATACTTTCAAATATTTTTTGGATTATGCAAGTGTTGGTTTATACCTGTAGTTCAGTTTTACTCTTGAAATACGAGATTTTTATGATTTGAAAAATTGATTTTTCTACCTGTGCTTTGTTTCACACTGTTAAAGAGCCGTAGTTGAAATTCCTTACCGAGTAGAAATTGATTTTAGAAAATTTGGTAAAAATTATTTTTTGTTAAGATTTTTTCTAACATCTTTTGTGAATATTTTTATGAATGTTAATATTTAAATTTTTTTTGGTAGGTTAACCAGTCGGTTTTGTGTTATTATCCCTTTATTGTTTTAAAATATTCATTTTAATATATTCATATCATTTATATCTTGGTGATTACAAAGTATTTTTTCTATTTTTGTTTTTAATGGACAGTGGAATTGGTGGAAACGAAGAAAATAGACGATATTTCTGGTTCAGATGTGTGGTTTTTATTGATTTGTAGTAGGAAATGATGAGGAAGAGTGTTAGATTTTCTTTGTGGAAAACCCCTGAGAAATTTTTTTTCACCTCTCTTGAATAAAGATAACCACTTATTATTTACCGCAGTTTCGCCAGTCCATCTTTTAATCTTTGGTATTCCATATATTTTTCCTAGTTATCGGTCATACTTTTAATTTCCCATTTTTTGTCACTTTCTGTCATTTGTTCGTTAACTACAAATTGATGAAAAGTTTTAAATAAAAGAAGTTTTGTACAATTCAACACTAAACACATGTATGATTTGCTTTTAGACCAGAAAATTTGTAGATAAATAGCTATGTCATATTCCATATTTTGAGATCCAAAAATAAGCAGAACGGATAGACTTATGAATGGCAGATGAACTCAACGAAATTTTGGTTATGGTGGTGCTGGCATCTTTATATTTCTCCTAACGCATCCAGATTTTTTTGCAAATTGAGATTTTTTCGTGTGCATATATGTCACCTTGCACTCCAGTTGGCGCGTGAAATCTTCGAAGTCACATGGAAAGAGAGATATAAGTGGATTCCCAACGGCTATTTCGATTTTTTCAAATAACATTCCTATCAGAAGGCATGAAAGGTGCAAGTTTTGATTATATATAGAAAATTCGGGGTTTAGTACATTTACATAAGAAGCTGTGAGTAAAACCTGTTTAGTATTAATTTCATCCATCATCATTATTCTTACCTTTGAGACCAATCGCAAAGTACTCCACCGATTTTTATTCTCTCACCATTACTGGTTAGGCTGGCTGCAACGGCTACAAAGGTAAGACGCTCCCAATCGGCGCGATCTGATGATATCGTCGACAGTAACGGAAGCCATTCCTTTTTCCATTGTCTAAGTCCATATATTGCTGTATATATATCCATATATATTGCATATTCCATCTATATGTTAAAAATATTTCCCGACTGTATCAGTCCAGGTGTTGATTGGCCCACCTCGCTTTTGACGCCAGCCATCACACGGTTTAGCAAATAACGAAATATGCATCAACTTCTGTGGTGGCTCTAACCAGCGAAGGCGGCGCTCTGTGGTAACATTATTTATGCAAGTGGTACTTGAACGAAGGTGGATGCGATGTAGTGAGATTTTATCCGCTCACGGATCGGTACTAATATGTATCTTAGACTAATATGTATCTTAGAAGAGTGGTTAAAGGCAGGTAATATCCTCCACTCTCATTGGCCATGTCTCAGAACCATATAGTAAGATCGAACGGATCACGGCAATATAGATCTGGACTTTCGTTTTTATGGTGATTTTACGACGGTTTCTTAAAGGTCTCATCAAAATGTCAATATTTTCAGCTGCGGTGGTCTGGGTTATAATATCGTCTTTTGCCTGTCCATTTGGTATTAGAGTGGACCCAAGGTATTTGAAATCGGGCACTTCCTCAACAGGCAATGAATTTATAAAAAGAGGCATTTTATCAGCTTCTTGCATATAAGACGAAAAGACTTTCGTTTTATATACATTTTATCCTGAATCCGATTCTCGCTGATGCTGACAGTTGCTGACGTTATTTAGCATTATTTACATTTCATCATAAATGTTAGCAAAAAGGACTACATCATCTGCATGTTCAAGATCTATGGTATGATTCTCTGGACTGATTTGGACACCTCTTGAGTGCCGACAAGCACTCCACCGATTATAATCATGAATTGTGAAATCACTGCAACTGTTGGGAAGGTAAGTAATTATAATGGGAATGCAAGTTGTTAAAATATAGCGACTTTAACAAGTCTAATAAGCAATATAAAACAAAGTTTCGCAAAGTTGCAACGTGAATACAGAAAAAAAGATTTGAGGGGAGATCAACGAGTTTTGCCTATTAGTTCAAAGTGAAGTGATAAAGTGAAATATGTAGTTTACTTTAGTAAACTTCAAAATTATTTTAGCGGATTTACGATATAAATGAATTTAATATATAAATTCTATTAAAAAATTTCGTTGTTTTATATTTATTTATTTATGAAAAATACTTATTAGAGAATTATTTTTTTAATAAAAATTTATAGAAAATTTTAATTTTAAAAAATAAATTTCTAATATTATTAAAATTATGAAAAATTTTTATACGCTTAAATAATTTTAATTTAACAACGCTAGGAAAATTGTTAAAATATATTTTATTTCCTGTGGTTCTTGCAATTCGATTATCATAAATTGTTAGATTAATGCTAATTTTCGTGAAGTTAAAACAATCTTATATCCTTCAAACCATATAAATCAACAAAAATTAATTGAAGAGCTCGAGAAATATATCGCCTCCATCTTAATAACCTTAATCTTAATTATAAAGCAGAACTTCGACTTCAACTATATAGCCTAGGCTCCTTCTCAATTCGAATTCGAATTGAACAAGGTTCTTACAATTCGATTATCATAAATTTATTAGATTATCATATTTATATTATATTAGATTATCATAAATCATATCATATTAGATTATCATAAATTTTTAATTTATACTATACCTTATACCTTTCGTTATACCTTTTTACCTTTCGTTTATAATTTATACCTTTCGTTTGTGTTTATTATTATTGTTATAAAGTATATAGCGCTTCTTAGTTATTCTCAAATTATATCAAATTAAAAATATCAAATGTTATTCGATTACTCTGAACACTATAATTTTAAGTTAAATTTGAATACAACGAGATCTAATAGGGTAAAATTATTGAAACCTAAGTGCAAAATTAAACTAAAGACGCATAGTTTTTTCATTCGCATCACTAATCACTAATGATAAATGATATTACTAAAATAAACGACCAAATAACCAAGTAGTTTGTGTATCGCCTTTATCATTTTTAAAAAACGACTAAATAATTTCATCGATGATATTATTTTAAAAAATTTACATTATGCAGATAGAGTGAAATTCTTATCATTTATCATCTGATTCTATGTTAGTAATCAATTAATAATTTGTGTATTATTCTGTAATTTCTCCTATATTTGCTCTTTTATATACCTTGTTAGCTTTTATCATATTTCTTTCGTGTTTTATATCGGATATCACTAATTTTCCGTTCATTTGACACCTTTCGTTTGTGTTTATTATTATTGTTATAAAGCATATAGCGCTTCTTAGTTATTCTCAAATAAGCGAATAATTTATTCTTTTATCTTTTATTTTTTTTTTATATTATATTATATTTCGTTTATTGTTGTTATATTTTGAACAAAAAAAAAATTTAATAAAAATAAAAATAAAGCCAATAAAAAAAAAGTAATTATTAAAGTATTTATTTGAAATTTGCTAAGTTTCGTACAATACGCAAATTATACAAATTAAATTTGTATTCATATAGCTATTTATATATTTATTAAAAATTTTTAAGACATATGCTTGAAAAATGAATTTTGCCTTTATATATTTCCGATATGCTTGAAAGATACGTTTAATCAGTGGACCGTCATTTTCATAAGACAAGCCGCGGCCGTAAATGCTTCTTATAATCGAATCATTGGCGATGGGCCAAGTTGATTGTTGCAGGATCGTTTTTGAGCGGTTTGATGCGAAATCAGTTATATGTAAATATTTTTTTTAGTTGTTAATTAATCTAAATTTGAAAAATTTGGTTATAATTCGAATAAATAAATTTATTATTTATATATGTGTGTATCTACTTTGAAATTTCTTTTGTTCGAAATTTTTATTAGAAATAAAAATTTAAAATAAAATATTTTTTTTAGTTGTTAATTAATCTAAATTTGAAAAATTTGGTTATAATTCGAATAAATAAATTTATTATTTATATATGTGTGTATCTACTTTGAAATTTCTTTTGTTCGAAATTTTTATTAGAAATAAAAATTTAAAATAAATATAATTTTTTTTTTATTAGTAAAAAGGAAGGAAGTAAAAAATTGTAGTTATTGAGAAATTTTCATCAAAATAAAAAAATAATTAAGCGAAAAAAAGCGAAAAGAAATCGATAAAAATTAAAAAAAATAGAGCGAAAATTAAGTAAAATAAAAATTGAGCAATAAATGGCAATATTTTAAAATCGAAAATAATAATATTTCAAATAATATTTTAAATAATTTATATAAATTTTTATAGATTAATTATTTAAATGATTTTTTGAAGTATAAAAAGCATATCGAGTAGAGTAGTAAGTAAGGGAAGAAACGAAAGATGTGAGTGATAACGAAAAGAAGATAACGAAACGGACTATCAATAGAGCTAAAAAATGAAGTGGAAGAGAGGGTGAGGGGGAAGAGTTATTTAGAGTGTATTGTTTCGTATTATTTTATTTAAGATTTATTGAAAATTAGTTGGACCTTCAGTTAAGTTGGCTCGTTATTAACCGTCCATTAAATGGCAATAAACCTACTTTTAAAAGTCTAAAAATTATGTGGTGAGCAATTACTTTTCCAAGATTAACTGATGAAAAATAATCAATTCAAATTGATGAAGAGAATAAAATTAAAAATAACGAATATTTTTTTAGAAATGAACAATATTAATAATTTCCATTTGTCGGCATTTGAGTGCGGCTTTAAAATTACTTGAATAAGGGTCAAAGCATTATGAGATTTCGGTCACCAGTTTTGTATATTTTTTAAACGCGTAGTTCTTTTTCCTTCCAAACAAAATATGCTTTAATGCGATTTGGTTTATTTTCCTGATTAGTAAAGTGGTACTTTTTCATCAGAGAGAATTGTATTATACACTTGGATCCTCCTGGAATTTATTTTTAATAAAGTGTAGCTATATAGCTCTAAGAAATTATCGAATTGAAGATTTTATTATTAAGCAAATACATAATTCTTTACTTTTTAGGATTGAAAATCGTTTCTATAATGCGATGAATGAATAAGCGGTGATTAAATGTATTTTTGAAATTTTCATTTATATTTTCAACATAAAAAAAAAGGTATTTATTAGATGCCATTTAGGCTCTTTTATAAGTATTTTTATCGCAAATGAAAAGTTAATTATTGAAACAATTTATTATTAATGAATTTATTCGTTATCTTTAATTTGAGAAATTTATCGAATGAGGTGATAAATTTTTATATTCGATGAAATTTATTATAGATATATATATCGCTAAAGGTGATTCCATTTGTATACGTGAATAATTTTAAATAATTTCCTTATTCCTGAAAATATAAAATTATTAATTGCATGAGATTTTTCTAAACTCTTATGATTGTTGTTTTAAATAAGATTGAAAAAAATTGTATTTGATGTATTTTTTTATTTATTAGAAATAATCGATTAAATGGATTTATGGTTTCATTCTGTTATATTTCGCATGAATTCTATATGATCAGTTTTTTTGACTTTTCTATCGTAAAATATATTTCATATTATTTTCATTTCAGAATTTCGTTTGTCTTCTTATTGTTATTATTTTTATAATTATCAATTGCGTGAGGCTTTTACACTCTTATTATTGAGTATAATTATAATTATCATTGTTATCACTGATTACAATTGCAATTATTGTTAATATCATTACTATTAATATTATTAATACTATTTTATTAATATTTGTTATTAATATTTTATTATTGCAGTTTCAAGAAGAAAATATTGAAGTATTTGAAACGGATTCCTAATTTACAATTACGATCAAAATGCAGTGTGAAATACAGGTATTTATTAAGTTGCTAATATGGAGTGCATATACTTTATTTAATTTATATTTTTTTTCAACTTTTGGAGAAATTCGAACATTTTTTTCTATTTTTTTAATATGCTTTTAGCATCTTTTATGATAGAAATTGCGTTTTCAAATTTATGTATGTATTGTTATTAATTATAATTAAACCATATTCATAATGAGAAATATGGATTGTTTTATATTAAATCTCTTTAAATTCAAAAAAAATTTTCCCATTATTTATCGTTATAATTTATCATTATTTTAGGCACTTGATAATTTGTGTAAATTGTTATATGAAAGTGTCGATGAAACAACAAGAATGCATGCTGAACGGAGTCTTGCTGAGCTTGTCGCTTCACCGGATTGTTTTGAACGTTGCTTGTTAATGCTACAAAGCGGAACGGTATAAGGATTATTCATCAGTTTTATTGAAATGATAAAAATTATTAAAGAAACATGCCAATTCAAGTCATTAATTTTTCTTTTTTTAACAAATAATCTTTATGAAATTTTTGAATAAATAAGGGAACATTCTCCTTCCTCTCATAATAATGCTAATTTTTTTTGTTAAGTGGTTCAATTGAATGGTAAGGTGAGGCGTTTGCAAGCCTCTATCTCGGAAAAGATTTCGTATTCATTTATAATGTTTTTGTTTTTTGAGGTTCCTTATGCGCAAATTATAGCGAGCAATACAATAATGAAACTGCTTTGTTCAAAAACAGGCGTTACTCTTCAGAATCGAATAAATTTGAGTTAGTTATTATATTCGCTTTTTTTTATTCGAGAAATGAAAAATTATTTTGGCATAATAATTTTGCAAGAAAAAGTTTGGCTCTTTTCGACTTTTTAGTTTTATAAGCTAAACTGCTTTATTTTAATTTGATTTACTGGGAAATCTTTGTTCATTTGGACTATATCAAACTAGAATTATATCAAACGTATTATTAAAATAATATTTTCGCTAATATATAATCGCATATCATAAGTAACAAAATAATAATGAAAGATCATATCGAGAAATCAGAAATTAGCTTGTTTAAATGTTAGAGTTCTTAAGATTCAGTTTGAATTTTTGGATAAATTTTTTTAAAATCTTTAATCTTCTTTTCAGGTACATTCCTATTAAATTATTTGGGAGAGAAATATTTGGTTTTACCTTCATTCGTCATTACGTCTCTTTGTCATTTGTTTGCACGAATTATTAAGACTGGTTGGAATGATTTTCTCGATGATAGTCAAAGTTTTCCGTTTAGAATTCATATAACAGAGTTGCAAGATATAGTCGATGTTAGTATTATCATCATATGAATATTTTTAAATAATTTCTGATTATTCTCTCGAAAAATATTTAAATAAGAAATCATTGGAAAACAGTGTTCTGTTTTCAGGATATTTCTCGAACACATTCGGAAAAAATTGAAAAAATTTGTTTGGCTGTTCAGCTGCTTTCTACAACTGTCAGTGAAATGAATTCGGTTTGTCGATTTTTTTTTTGAATTAACATTTAAAAAATTCAGTTAAACTTTTCTTTTTGGGTCAATTCGTTGTATTCCCTTCATTCTTTCAATTTGTATTTCCACACCATTATTATTTTATCATTTTTAGATTAATAAAAACAAATTTTAGTGAATTTAGTGAATTAACGAATCTTTTTTTCAAATTCATTTCAATTTTATCATCTTAACCAACGCTATTCGTTAGTTTTTTTTAGCCCACAGGATTTGAACCATTGTCAAAACAGAGAAAAGCTCAGTGGAGTTTTCGGGATATTTGTCTTTTTGATCTCTTCAAAATAACAATTATTAAGTTGGAAGGAATCGTCCAGAATCGTCTTGATGTATCACAGGTAAGGATAGTTCTCTTTTAAAATTTTTTTTAAAAAGTCTTCTATATATTATATATATGTCGGAACAGTAATCGGTTTTGCTCAAAAATTCTGTGAAAATATATAGAATATATCTTAAATATATAGAATATATTAAATATATCTTAGTATTTAGTTATAATTTATTTTTTCAGTTGCATCTTGTTAACGATTTAGTTCAGCTTATTCTGAATTGTCTCAGCTATGATTTCATTGGTACATTACCAGACGAAAGTTCCGAAGATAATTATACCGTTCAGCTGCCCATTGTATGGCGCGAATGTAAGCGAATGTAAATGAATATTATAAGAGAGATATGTGTCCCCCTTTTTTGAGCCTATCGATTGTCGGTTAGAGTTTTCAACCAAATATGAGTAGGTTCATAAATTATCTGGAAAAAGTCATGTAGCCATATATTTCGTAAGTCTTTTATATTTGTATGAGATTGATTTTTTTTCAGGTTTCTTGAATTATGATGTATTGGCTATTTTTTTCTCCCTCTATGAGCAGTTGCCAGTTGACCAGTGTCCAGCCGTCTTACAAGTGCTCGTTCAGCTCGCTTCTCTTCGAAGAACTCTTTTTTCAGGAGAAGAACGGCAAATTTTCCTTGATAATTTCGTTCATGGTATTGTGGCTGTGATTAAAATGAGTGAAAAACTCGAGCATCAGGTATTTTAAGGTTTATGTCTATCTATGTTGCATTATAATTATGATTTTTTGATGTGTAATCTGCCACAGTTCGTTGTCAGATTTATTTTTTACATTATTTGGACAATGGATTTTATTGCCTGCATTTGCAATGCCTTTTCTTTAATTCCATTGTAAAAAAGAGGTGACGATCAGTGGTGAGGTGGTCAGAATTAGAAAAATCTTGGTGAAATTAAGAAATGTATGTATGGCTGGTTCGTTATTGCCTCCATCCCTAATTCCAAAATTGCCTAAAAGTTTTCCTTAATTATTTTCAAAATACCCGAAGTTTTTTATGAAGCTTGTTAGAATTAAATAAAAATAATTGAATTCATAATTTTAAATTTTGGTGGAGTTTGTAGTAACAAACTAATATTTAAAAGATTGGAAAAAGATCATAGCAGAATTTGTTGTCAGCAGAAATAAGAGAAGTAATTCAGTAGTTTTAAATTACAACGATCAAAAAAAAAAGAAATGCATATGTTTCAGCAATGTTTTCACGAATTATGTCGTATCGTCGCTCGGCTTAAAGGAAACTATCAGTTAAGTGAGTTGATGAAAACAACTGATTACAATGAATTGGTGGAGTTATTAGGCAATTTTACCGAATATTGCCTTCGAGTATGCTTTTGTTGTTAAGATGACCTTTCTATCTAATTGCTAGCAGCACTGCTGGTTCGGTTGGGTGCATTGGCTTTTAGAATAAGACAGTAGTGACAGTCCGGTGTCACTACCAAACTTAACTGAAGCTACTCTCTTTTCCATCGCCTAAACCATTATATCGCTGGGTTGCTTAAACTTTCAAATTCTTTCTTCACCATTTCGTTGATTTCGTGCCTTTTAGTTTCGAAAAAATATTTCTTACAATCTTTTGTTGAAAAAAATGAAGTGAAGATAATGCGAAAATTTTGCATTTTTCAACCGTTACATTTAAAAGTGAAAATTTCTTATCGTTTAAGACAATTGGTGGTGATGGGAGCAGTTGGAACAGTCTATACTATTTATTATCGTTTTGGCAACGAATGGTCAGTTCGATGACTTATGTGAAAAATAACGAGCATAACATTGACTTATATATTCCTAGGATATTTGTCGCATTTTTGGAATCCAGATTTGAATGGGCTAATACAAATTCCGATTTGTTTTTGAGGTTTTCATGTTTTTTTTTTCTAAAACCAGTTAAATTTATTCAATTTATCACTTATTTCATTTATTTCAAATTAAAGGAATGAAGAGATTGATGATGATCCATTTGCTGATCAAGGTGCTTTGCAACAAATTATGGAACATATATCAGTTATAGTTCGATGTGAATATGAAAAGAACGCCGAAAAAATTATCGATCATTTTGATGTGAAATCTGCAATATATGAAAGAGCAAATGGTTCGGTATGTTTTCTTACAATTATAGCTTTTGGCTTCATCAAACTTTTATCTTTTGTCTTCGCTAGAGATTTATAATTTTCCTGGTCTTTCTTTGTGTCGGAGATTCTTTTTTTTTATATAGACTTCTTACAAAATAGGTATTCTTTTCAGTCGATCTCTTTAGGATTATTATATTATTCTCCAAAATTTTCCATATTACCCAGTATCTATCATTAGAAAAATGAAACTATATTATAAATCACTAGTATCACTAGTAAAAACTTTTATTTCTCTTTTTATGCGACATAATTGCATTTCTCGTCAATATCCATCGTAGAGAAGTTTTTCTGTAGTTTTGAAAAATTACTGGAATTGATATAAATGAATTTAATCATTTAAAAAGAAAAAATTGTAGATATCTAACTTATCCACTTACCTTCAATCGATTTTTTCCAGAATTCATCAATCCCTAGAGGCTTTCATCGACTTCTTTGGGAATCCCTTATATGCAATTTAGGGTAATAAACAATGTAGTCAGTACTATTAGATTACGTTTAGTATGAAAGATTATAGCGATAATTTTAAAAACGAAGAACGAAGAACGTGTCCTGATGTGGCGAAGGCGACGCTCTGTGATAACAGGTAGGGTTTGAACGAAGGTGGATGCGATCATGTGATATTTTTTCCGCTTGACGGATCCGTAAAAATATACCTTAGACAAAAGTGGTCAATGGTAGATAGCATCTTAATATCCTCCACTTTCACTACCATGTCTCAGAACCATATAGCAAGATTGAATGAATGAATTACATAAACTTTCCTTGCGGACTTTCGTTTTTATGGTGATTTCACGACGGTTTCTTAAAGGTTTCGTCAAAATGTATTTTGCGGTGGTCCGGGTTGTAATATCATCTGCCTGGCCATTCGGCATTAGAGTGGATCCAGGGTATTTCAAATCGGGTACTTCCTCAACTGGAAATGGATTTATAAAAAGAGGCATTTTATTAGCTTCTTGTACATAAGACGAAAAGGCTTTTATTTACATTTATCCTGAGTCCGGTTCTCGCTGCATTTGTTGACACATTGTTATTTCGCCATAACTATCGGCAAAAAGACTACATAATCATTGTATTCAAGATCTATTACATGATGCTCTGGACTGATTGGTATATCTCTTGAGTGCCTAAGAGTGGTCTCCATTATCCAGTCTATCGCATAGTTAAATATTGTAAGGGTTTTACACCAGTTCGAAGCCATAATTCTTCACTGTAATTCTTCACGCATCAGATATCTTTGCTAATGCTTTTTGGCAAAAGTAGGCTGTGAGGCTTAATAGTACATGAAGGTGCGGTTGGTGTAAACCCTTCAAATGGCTATAAATGGGTCTGGGAAAATCAAAGTAAAAAGGAATTTAAACTGAAATCACTAATAAATTTTAGTAAGTGGATGCAGTAGGTTATTATTGCATTTTATTATTTATTAAGTTATTAGTTTTCCTTAATGCAGTGCTCTTGGAATGGTGAACAACCACACAGTTTGCAGGAAATCAACCAAACCATTGATAATTTATATTGGTTGATATCAATAATTGGGGCATGTATTCGCGGACGCTCAGCTTTTAACGCCGTGGAAGAATACGATTTAATCGATGGCAAATTAATGTGCAGGTGATTCATCTTTTTTTGACTTCAACTTGACTTAGATGTCAAGTTTAGAACTCAAGAGCATAAGGAATTCTGATTTCCATTAAAGTTTGTTTATCGAAAAGTTATTTATTCAATCAGGAGGGTATTATTGGTTTATTGGTTTATTTTAGAGCATTAAAGCTAATGCAACTAACAGATCAAAAGCTATCAAATGGTCTCGCAAGAAGCATTAAAATTGAATCAGCATTGTTGTATGTATTGGAACAATTTCGTAAGATTTATATAAACGATCATATTCAAAGGATTAGCAAGGTATATGAAGTTCTGGAACCTGAACTGGGTATTCAAGATGAAAGCGCCATGCTCGTAATATTTGTTCGTAAAATGTAAGTTTTTATTATTTTTAGTCATGGTTTTCAATTTATTAGATAAAAATCTTTTTGAAATTAGAAATGTTCCATTTTAGAGTGTCGTTGTTTCTTGCATTCATATTTTTTTTTTCAATTTTTTTTTCAATTTCAATTTTTTTCAAATATTTTTTCTTAATATTATTATCAAAAGAACTTCGTTAGAGATATACGTGTTTTTATTAGTTTTTTTGCAGAATAACGAATCTGAAATATTGGCCAAATGATGAAAAACTTTTAAAGGATAGTTTAGCACTTTTAAATGAACTTTCTTTGGGTTACACTGCTATGAGGAGATTAACAAAGTTAACTGAAATTCGTCTGCTTTTAACAAATCATACGGTTAGTTCGCTTTGTATTCTTGAATCCGAAATATTTTGGAAGAAGTCTATATAATTTATTATGCGCGAATGTATTAGTGTATTTGTCCGGGGAAAAGCAAATTCTTTCCCGCAAAATACTGTCATTGTACGTATCTAAATTCTGTTATATCCTTCTGCAACTCGTACCTTCAAAGTACCATATTACGCTAATATTTCAACAGTATCCTGTCTCACATTGAATCGTTCAAACAGTTTTAGCCATGCCTCACTTCCTTGATACAGTCCACGAAGCTTTCATTCCATTATATTCCATTAACATATCTGAAAGCTTTAAGCGCTTTCACAAATTCCTTCAGTGCTTCACCAAGCCTCTATATCATAATCTATTAGAGACGTGACCGTTAATTTGCTTAGGTAGTCTTAAACTCTCGTTTACCTTTATTGAACATATTATTCTTCTTTGGTTCAGAATCTGTTATATTCCTTTACGCTTCCAAAGTCCCTTCAATCTTCTTTGGCACTCTATAGTAGCATTTTATAAAAATATAGTAGACATGAATATTAAAATTTTTCTAAACTTATCGGAACCTTAAAAGCGCTTCATTTTCCGTAATTCATATAATGACCTCCTTCAGCGTTGGCCTTCTCATAATCAGCCTAACACCACATATCCCGATTTTATTACATATGGTGTTGCATCGAACTTTGCAGTGCATTTTTGCCAAATATCAGTTGTGAAAGGTAGATCAAATTGATAGTTTCGAAGGAGTGTAGTATTTGAAGATATAGTGGGAGAATTATAGGCATTTTGTGGATAACAATGCATCTTGGTTTGAGGGATAAGTGTTAAGGGAACATAACTTTTTTTGGATATTTGTCAGGAAGAATGGTTTCGTGATAATTTTGGCAAATTTAAAGATTTGGCAATTTTCATTTCATACTTTTTAGAGTGAACATTTTCCCTTTTTATCTTCTGATGTCGATCTCAAAATAATGCGTTCCCGTACAATTTTCTATTCATCATTATCTCGTCTACTATATTTAGAATGCAATGATGATGAATCGATGTTTTTTTCGTTCATGGAACCGCTGTCAAGTATTGTTATTATATCTTTATCTTTATTTATATAATATTGAAAATAGAAAATTAGAAATTATTTGAATTCTCATTTACTCTTCGGTTATCTGACCCAGAGTCAGATAGTACCGTTTTTCTGCTTTAATCTCTCACTTTGATCTTTTTCCATTCTATTTATTTTATAATTCCGATAATTCATTTTATAATTCATCTATAATTCCGATTGCCACACCGTTCTCTAATTAGTAATTTTCATTAATTTGCTTCGTCTTTCAGGTCTAATGAACTTATAATCTTCATTCTTTTTTTCATTCTCCGTGGGCGTACTATCTCTTCATTTTTAAGTGGGTTTACTTTGGATCGGATAACCGAGTAATATCCATTATTTAATAAAATTTATTTTGAATGAGAAATTAGATTTTATAGCAAGTTAGCTATGCTAATTACAGAAACAGTGCAGGAAATTTACCATGTATTCGCTTTAAATCGACCAGATGTTGACCAAGAACGTCTGAAGGTATGGTCAGTTAACCATTTTATAATGGACTTTTTTTGTTCAGTCTGCCAGAAAAGGCACTGTGCTATTGTTCCAATTTGCTTATTTTTAAATCTATTCAGTCTTTCATTTATTCATTATTCAATAAAGTTGATTTTTTCGTTTATTTAAAATGATTTTGAAAGTTTAACATTATATATCCATTTCCAGCGAGCTATCATTGGTTTATGCCGTGATATCAGAGGAATTGGGATGGCTTGCTCATCGAAAATCGTCTTTTCTTTGTTTATCAACTGGATGTAAGGATTGTTTTTAATTTAGGAATTAACTGAAAAATCACGTATTGTTAGCGTTTTTTAATCTGCATTGTTTTAAACACTATGTGTTTAAAAACACTATGGTTTTTATTTAGTTATTTTCATACAACTTGTTTTATCGATCATTTTCATGATTTTAATTTTCTTTTAGGTATCCAAATGTATTCTCGATATTATTGCAGTCGTGTGAAGTTTGGTCTCATTGTTGTGAAGTTATCAATCCTATTTTGAAATTACTGTTAGAGCTTTCTCAGAATCGTCAACAGCGTTTGCAATTCGAGATGTCATCTTGTTTTACAGTCTTATTATTCAGAGAGATTTCTAAAATTTTATGTACATATGGTTAGAATTCAGATTATTCTTAAGAGTTTTGTGAAAATCCTTGTTGAATTCCCAATTCTTTCTCCAAAAGAAATTTTTTAAGTTTTGTAATCTTGTTGTGTAATCTAAGTTTTTAATGTCTAAGGTGAAAGGATTTCTATGCCAGTTCCAAGTGAAGAAAATGCATATAAAGAACGTTACAAGAATATTGCCACCTGTTTTGCGATTATTCGTATGGGTTTATGCGGTAGTTATTTGCCTTTCGGAGTATTTCACCTTTATGGCGATATGTGCCTTGATAACGCTTTGAATATTTACATTAAGTTATTTATATCTATCCCAGAAGAAGATTTCTTTGTATGTTTTTTTTTTACTTCGATTTTTGATATTAATAATTCTATGCACATTTAGGTTCGGATGAATTCTAAGATAAAATATATATACATTACAGGCATATAATAAGGTTTCACAGTTTTTTTTCGCAATGATCGATAGCGTTGCTGCAGATTACATGGCTTATTTATCCAATCTACAACCAGAGATTATCTGCACGATTCTGGATCGTTTGAGGCGCGGAGCGATGTCTTCTGATGCTGTCGTTGTAATTTTTTATAGTTTTTTTAAAGTAAAATAAGGCTTTTATCTTGCCTTTTATCTTGCTCGATAATTTGAAAGCAACATCATCATTATGGCATTGAATTATAATCGTATTTTGTATCTGTTGTTCGAGATGTATTCCCAGTTTCGTATTTTTTGCTCTCTAGCATACTTTAAATTTAGGCACTTTATAGGAATCGAATTTTAGGGAAATTATTGATGTGAGATCATAAAATACATACACATACAATAGCGTTAAGAATTATTCGGTAAAAAAGTAATAACATGTAAAAAACAGTGGAATCGAATACATCGTGGAATAAGAAACACCTGCTTTTTACAAGCTTTTTTTTCTTTTTTCCTTAACTTTTCTTTCTCTTGTCCTTGCTTTTCGAATCTCCACTATAGCCGCCTCATGCCTTGAGGTTCAAGTCCCTGATGAATATAACTACATAATTTTTACGTTTTATACAAAGGATATAAGGGGTGAAGGCGAGGAAGATGTTTACCAACCATTTTATTGGTTATTGGTTGATTCTTATTTCTCTTATTATATTTTCCTTATTATATAAGAATTATATGAGGCAAGACGAAGATATATGTCGACCTTGAAATGCGCACAATGTTAGCATTTAAATGATGAGTGGTGTTTAATTTTATCTTTGTCATTTTTTCATTTTTTCAGCACACTTCTTCATGCTCGACTTTGGATTCTATCGTTACCCACATATATCGCAAACTTTCACGCCCGACGGAAAACCGTGGTCAGTGTGGAAAGCCTGTCGAAGGCAATGGTTGTGTGCAGGCCACCAAAATGCAGCCGAATATTTTGAAAGAAGTTTGTACTCCTTTAAAGAAATTAAAGTAGAAAATTCTGGACAGTTGCTGTAGGCACTAATTGTGGTTAGATTTGTTTTATGAACACATTCGCTAGTGAAATTATATCAGACATTCTCCTTTTCAGACATTGTCGCAACTTCTTAACATGTATTTATTCGTTGAAGTAAAGTGTCAGTGGTCAGTATCAAGACCCCTTCTTGGGCTTATCCTTCTAAATAAGGAATATTTTCAAAATTGGAAGGAAGAATTTTTGAGAGCACAGCGTCATGATAAGCGTGCTGTTTTTGAAGAAGTGTGTTTTTGAAGAATATTTTTGTTGAAGAAAATCTTTATACTTTTGCATTAACACAATTTTTAAAAAAATTCTTATAAAATGTTTCGAACTTGTGGAAATTGTATTTTTCTCGTTATTTCTTATTTATTATTAAATTATTAAATTATTAAGTTCATTACTTAAAGAAATTTTGCAGGCCCTGTTCGCGTTAAACGAAGGTATTGACTGGACTTTACAAGCGCGAAATAAGGATGCCTTTACGCAAAATCTTTGTGTATTCCGACGAACCGTTAGTTTTTGTTTTGATAAATTAATTTAAATATGGGTAAAATAATTTTATTCATCACTGTAGATATTTGTTGATTTTTTTTCTTGTATATTGTTATTTTTTAATATCTTTCTATAATTTTACGTGGCAGCGTACTTTACAGAATATATATTATATATATATATATATATATATACATATTATCAGTGATTTTTTGTTGGCTGTTTTTGTTATAATTTGTTAACTGAAGAAATCATTTGAAATTTATTAAATATATTTAATAAATTTATATTCATTTGGTATTATTTAATATAATATATTTGATAAATTTTGTAGGAAACAGGTCCATTTTTTTCCACTTCAATAATCTTCTATTTAATGATTTTTCTTTGTCAAATTTCAGATTACTGAAGCTATGCGATCAGAAGTGGCGATTCCTACACAATCTTTAGCCGATTTAAGTATGGCTTAAATTCTGGTCCCATAATTTTATAGTTTATATTTGTATTTTTATTATTCATAATTTTTTTATTTTTCATCTATGATTGTAACATGATTTTGCAATTCATATTCATAAATTGAATTTTTTGATTCTTTATATACCTTATGCAAAAAAAAGAAGATAAATCAATAATATTGAGCATGTTATGTGGCGGCTAGATGCATGGATGCATTTCACTGGAAGAATTCGTGAATCACTTCATTCTCATTTTTAAAAATTCTTGTTCGCTTATCACATGTGAATATTAAAGTACATTTACTGTTTGTTGATGTTTACATTGGTCAAATGATTGATATTTCGTATTCATATTCTTTTTGCTCAGATTGTCTTCCTGTCCTATGTTAGGTTTTTTTTAATGAATCGAACTTCGCTTTTATGCTTTTAATGCTAATTGGAAAATTTTGAATTGAGCCAATGCAATTTAATTGAAGTGATTGCATTCATCCATTAACTTTTTGCAATTAATTGTATCGAATCATTAATACTTTTGAACGTTAAAAAGTTTGAGAAAATTTGAGCAAATTCTTTTATTTGTTTAAAAATAGGGTACCAAATTTTAAAGTTTATTCAATGTTTTTTTTTTAATCGATGAAAATTGATAGTGCAATTACAAAAGAGTGCTCTATATGAAGTTTAGTATTTTTAGGCAATTGGAGGGAATTTTTTGTTTGTTGCTATATTTTCTCATTTAAGCCAGTTGATGCGATTATTTCGTTCTTGCTCTTTTTTTTGCAGTAGCGCTATCCCTCGCTTTTCTTGGGTAAAAAAGAAAAAGAGAAAAAAAAGAGGTATAAATTGAGGCATAATCATTTGTAACGAATTCACATTTATCAAGTTATATGCTTTCGAAATTTATCTCCTTAGTACCATCGATAATCAATGAGAGAAAGAGAGAAATATGCATCAGTTATTTTTTCACTTGAAAATTTCGAAATTTTTATGTATTATATTTATTGACTGATAACTTTGTAATATTATCATAATTTTAACTTTTTAGGCTGTTATCAGCTGTTGTTCTTGTTGTCTTTATATTAAGCGATTTCTACAGTCATTTTTTTTTGTCAGTTTTTATTTTGAATATCTAAATGCATTCGCGTAATTTGCGTTTTACTATCTCAAAATGGTGGTTATTTTTTTTTTGACAAAAATTATATGTGCTTATAAGAAAATGAATTATTCATGAGGAGTGCAATTATCTAAGTTATTTTTCTTTACAACGAAATTTTTAGTTTTTTTTTTTTTTTTTTAATAGTCACCAATTAATGGTCGAGGTGATTTCGCTCGCTATAAGAGTTTCCAAACGGTTCGATGCTACACCTAAAAGTAATAGGAATCACTTCTTTTTGCATCATCTAAACTCACATATCGCTAAGCTTCGTGCCTATATTCGACTAAGGCTTGATTTGCATCTTCACTTTGGAGTATTTACCATAGAGCTTTAGCAAGTAAAGAAATGTGATGTTTGGCGAAAAAGCTTCCTAATAAGTATAAGGCGAAGTGGACGCAGTTAATGCAGTAGCCACTCGGCAGGCATCTGAGATTAAGTGTCTTGCGTAATATTTCTACTAGTCTAGAGATTTCGCTGTTGTTTAATGATTATTCGGTTTGAAATGGTACTTGTTGTTTCCAAATCTTTGAATATAAGATAGTATTGTCGGAAGATTTCTCCTATGCGTTTTTGCTTTATCTGACTATAATTTGGTTAAAATCATGAAAGTTGCGGATTTTTAATACCATAACATTGATAGGTGTCCAATGTGGAACTCTTCGAATGATGATTTGATTAGCTCGGTCGCGTTGTTGGTTGTGCGCAGAGTTCCATGTGGCTGGACATATTCTTCGAAGTCGACGTGTTTTAGTGGAAGGAATGCATGCAACCATGCATGCTGCTGATTAAAATGAAGTAGTCTTTCATTAGGGCATTGGATGCTATATTGGCTTCGCTAACCGCAAAATTTATCTTAGTACCATTGTGCATCGTTTGATGCGATGCATTCTAACTTCTCTTGACTAAAATTGCCTAAAACTATGCGTAGAAGCTTACTGTTTCACAGCAGTATGCAGTCAGAGTTGGAGCATGCACACTGAAGAGCTTTTCTCGTTTAAAGAATGTATAGATTGTTTTCGCCTAACTGCAAAAATCCATAGTCGTTCTAACGTGATGCTACGACTAAGATCTTGTTGCATGTGCATGAATGAACTAACGTTCGCTTTAGTTAGCAGTTTTCTTGCAGTTACTTTTAGCGATTGTTCTTTTCTGTGTTCTTCGGGTTTTTTCGCCAGGCTCAATTTGCATATTTATCACATGTACCTGAGGACCAAAGATGAAACCTGATGCGAACCAGAAACCTGATCCTTTCGCTTGGATATGGTAATTTTTTCAGATTTTCAACATCACTAAGCCATTCGAGGACAACGAATTTTTGGATAAAAAAAAAAAAAACTCTAATTTGCTTTGGGAAAACATTTGATAAAGTTGACAGTGAATTATGAACTACAATTTTATTTACGTCGATCTCTTCAGTACAGTCACTGAAATTATAAGTGGCTCTATCGGTTGGAATTCGCCATTCGCCATTTTTGGCCACTTGGCCGTTGACCATTCGGTTGAGGCTTTTCAGGCTTTTAGACCCAACCGCACACATGGAACTAACTGAGTGCAATTCGTTTGTCATCATATTCTTTTTTTTATTTTAGTTATGAAATGAAACTTATTGGTTTACTGTCAATTTATTATGGAATGCGAGTAATTACATTATAACCGCAGTTGTATTGCTAATAGTTCAAATATAAATATTATTGAAAGCAAAGTGTCATTGGTACTCGATTAACGATATTTAGTTGAGGTCTAATAAATGAAAATAATTTGGTTTAACAATATTTTTGAGGTTTGGCCGGTTTCGTTTTACGAACCGACCGACCAGCCAGGCAGGCAGCCAGGCAGGCAGCCAGGCAGGCAGCCAGGAAGGCAGCCAGGCAGGCAGCCAGGCAGGCAGCCAGGCAGGCAGCCAGGCAAGCAAGCAAGCAAGGAAGTAAGCAACTAACAAATAAAACACAACGCCACACCAATATTGATCGCAACCATCGATATATCAATGTTTTCGCGTTTTCTAGGCATTTCATTTATTTATTCTTATTTATATTCTTTTTTTTTTCAAAATTTCAAAAAGGCAAAATTTTTTGGCAAATAAAATTTGAACTATAATTTAGCATTATTTCTAATTTGGTTGATTTCGATTGGCTAACAACAGCTAAGTGATTTTTGTCGTTCGAAGATCATTGAGGACATGCGAGTCGTCAGTAATCCAGGTCATCAGTCATCCGAGTCACTCGGTAATCCAGGTCTTCCTAAATTAGATTGCATAAAGTGTTGTGTCAACTAAAGAAGAAATATTGCAATTAAATTATCTGCGAGTTTTATTTTTATACGAATATAATAGTTCAAAATTTTATTATACCGACACGTAAGAGTAAAATAAAATGTTGGTAAATATAGAAAGGCAAAAATTACAAGAAAATTTCGTTTTATGCGAAAATTTCATTTTCTTAACTGTGGTACACTTATTGTTGATTTTCATTTATGTGATAAGAAATCTCTTATCAGTTGTCAGCAATTATTTATTATTATTATGAATCTTTTAAGATTTAGATTATTTATAAATTGATTGTTTTTAAAAGCTTGTTTTGATTGAATTAAACTGTCTTCTTTATTTTTCTACTTTCTTCTTGGGAAACCACTAAAAAAAGAAAAATCAAAAACCAAAAGTATTTTATCATGAAATAAAAAATGAATAATAGAAAATTTTCTGATATATAAATTGGTGGGATTGAAGGGGGAGGTTGGGAGAAAAGAATTTTTTTAATAAATTATTTTTTATTCGATTTCAAAAAATAAAAATATTTTCATTTTTTTTTTTTTTTTGAAGCATTTTTCATGCTCCATATTTGGTGAATTAGTCGCTGAGATGGTAGAATGTCAGATGTTGCAAATGTTGCCAACGATTTTTGCGTCGTCTTGGCTAATAGTGCACATTTAGGCAATGTTTTTTTTTATTTCATTAGGCCTAGGCTAATGAATTTCCCTCTTATACAGCAACAACTGTCTTATTCAACTGGCAAATGTGGGAGCAATTCACTAATTTCAACAACCAAATTATTTAAAATCTCTTCTCGTATTATTTATCAGTACAAATCTTAGGCCGTCTTTTATCAGTCTTGTTGTTCTCTTTTCTCTCTAACATTTCTAAAATTTAATAATATGCAATTTCTTATAAAAAATAAAACTAAAATTCTGACGTAGATTTCGCAAAAAAAGAAATTTAAAGAAAATTAAACTTTTTTAATTTGAAATAAAAAATGATTAGTAGAAGTACATAATTTCTGGTTAGGTTTATATTGTTGGCCATTATTTAATTATTATAAAAATTTTAGAAATTTTTGCCAAATTTTTATCATTCGTCGATAGAAGTACAGGGTGGATCGTCATAGCATAAAACCGGTTTTCTCCTCCTATAGATTTATTTAGAAGTTTTAAAAGTACAGATTTATTCGCGCTGAAAATAAAAATCAACCAAACTCTCAGCTGTTATCATTCATTATCATTAATCTTTTATTTGTTAGTGTAATATTACTATTGAAGTGAGTTATATCACTAAATAAATGAACAATATTCATATCGCTTTTAGAAATTAAATCAAAATCTAAATCTATTTGTAATAATTTTATGAATTATTGTAAATTTTTAGAAGTTAATGTGATGATTTTTATTTTTATAAAGCATATTTTTAAAAATAGAAAAAATAGAAAAAAAAAAGTAAAACATACATAAATAACATAAAAAATAGGAAATTTGAGAAAAATAATTCAGTTATTTATTTTCTTATACATCAATTATACATTTTTAGCTATGAACTTTAATAGGCAATTTTAGGAAAGTAAAATTACAACAACAAAACCGGTATTTGCGTTGTAATTTAGCCAAGTAAACGCCCTCCCTATCTACAGTTTTGCTTTTTATTTCGAATATTTATATAACATTTAAAATTAAATTAAGTTCTAAATTATTAAATAATTCTAAGTTTTATTCTAAATTAAATTAATAATAGCGAATTAATATTTTAATTATACAGAATTTATTAATTAATTAATTAGTTGAATTAAAATTAGGAATTCCTCATAGATGGAACTCCAAACGTTTGATATTGGCCACACAGTTTTTTATTCTTCTTTTTCTCTCTTTTAGGATTTGCCAGGACTTCTAATATAGATGGATGTGTATAAATAGATTAGTAGTATTAGTAGGCCAGAAAATAGCGGTGGTGATTGATATAGCAATAGTAAATAAAGAAGAAATATGAGAAGCTAAAGATATACGAGACGATGTGGAAAATAAAGAAGTTCTAATGGTGGATGGCAAAAGCAGTCGAGGCTTCCTAAGTCGGAAAAGCGCTTTCAGCCAGTTCGTGGAACAGTAGTAGTAGGGAATAGCATTTCAGCATGCAGAAGAATGTAATGCTAGTAGTAGCGTAACCTTCAAACTTGGAGGCCTCTGATGAAGGACGCGAGATTGAGGAAGTACCACTCGCTGAAATTAAGAAGGAGATTGTTGTATATATATATGTACAATTGCAAATATATATTTTTTATTTGCAGAATTTTAAAGAATCGAAATTATTGCAGTAGTAGAAATGACTCGTAAAAAATTTAAAAGATTATTTATTCTTCTTCTATTTCTCCAACAGTCATTTTGTCAACGGGTAGAATGGGATGCGAGCAATTTTCCGAATCCAACAGCTGGTGATTTTAAACGATGCAACATGAAAACTACTGCAAATATTTGCGATCCGGATCAGGTTCTTAGCGAGCAGGAACGCTATCGTCTCAATCATGAGCTTCATCAACTCGAGTCGCGCACACGACAAGTTTGTTTTTTATTCACTTTATTCATTCACATGATCAAAAAGATATGCTATTTATTGTGATTATCTTTTCTGAATTTTCGCTCTTAATTGCTTATTTCAATTTTATTTTTTACTAGCCAAGTATAGGCATATTTAGGCATATTTAGTAGGAAAATTTCAATCTTAATGTTTTTCTTCTTGGATCATCTTTTTCTTTTGAGATACCATCAAGTACCATTTCCTTTTAATTGATTCCACTTGTGTTTCTAATGCTAGCCTGAGGCGTTTAGTTGGCTCTCTTGTCAGATAGCCGCTTTCGGATAGATGGATTCTTGGCGGCATTCAGCGATCTATTTTACTTTATTATTGAATCAGTGTTTATAAACAGAAATTTTTTTATCACTGTAATTCGTTCGTTTTTTGTATTTTATTGACATCATTTATCAAATTTATCTGTCAAGTCGATTGCTTTCTAGATTTTTTTTCGTTGATAAAAAGTAATTGATATATCGTTCAAAAAACGATTAAAATCGCATATTGTTAAAAATTTTTTGGCTAATTTTATATTTTTATATTTATATTATAGGTTTTTTTTTTAATTATTTATCCTCTGCAAAGGTGGTTTAGCTTCCTGAAAATTCGAGACATGGTTATTTTAATTGGTACGAAAGTCTAAAAGTCTAAAATTATTAAATTATTAAATTAGTTATTAAATTATTTATTAATTAAGTTATTAAATTATTTCATGCGTGTTCCATTCTCTAATTTATCTTCCTTTATTTTATTAATTTCTTTCAGTGGGATTATTTTCATGAAAGAAAAAAGATTTCATTCGTAGATTCGTAAATTTCTAGATTCTTGATAATGTTAATATAGTGTGAGCCGAGTGAGAATCGACAGGCTGAAGATTCGAATCAAACTTTAAAAATCCAGCAGTTCTTTTCTATTGATCTAGTTGTAATTCTTTAAAAATTCAGCTTTAAAAATGCAGCAGTCGAAAGGATTTCAAATTTAATTACAGATTTATTCTTATCAATAAGCAAGAATCGAAGCGATTGCCATGCATTTAGACTAGTGATCGTGCGCATTCAATCTAATTTATCTAGTTATTTTTCTTTTTTAAAAATTCATTATAATAATTAATAGTAATCAGTTATCATCCAATTTAATTATCACTTATTTATTAATTATTTATTTAATTATTATTTATTTATTTGTCATCTATTGTCATTTATTTATTCATTTATTTATTATTCAACGTAGAATTTCCATTTCTGTTATTCATCTCTTGTCGTGTCTCTTCTATATTTCGAATTGTTATCGAAGCTGTAAAGGCGAATCTCGAAATTATTAAAGTGATAAGGACATAGTTTCGGAAATGATATGGATTTTATTTTATGGTATATATCATTTATGGTATATATCATTTTACGTGCATATATCATTTTTAGTTTTCACCACACTGTTAAAGAATTCTGCAACTTTCGCTATATCCTCAAAGGAATCCATGTCAACTTTCACCAACTTTGTTTTTGAAAAAATCACCAGTATATGAAATTGAACATGAGTTAAGATATTTCACACTCGGTAAACTAAAAGATTTTCATTTTTTTTCTATTGATCTAGTTTTAATTCTTTAGAAATTCTGCTAAAATAATCTGAATAAAATTTTTATAGGGTCATGCTCCTGACTTTTGTCAAAAGAAAGGCATTACGGCAGCAATGGCGATTGCTAAGCATGTTAGAGGAGGTAGTCAAGAGGTAAATTCTTTCTAGTTTTTTTAAAATATATAAAATATTTCTCTTTGTGCTAATCTAATACTTGCTGGGTTGCGCTTTCGATTATTCACTAATTAGGCAGTGATAACAAATTGTTAAATTTACGAGGCATCCATAATTTGAGCGTTTTTTCGATAATACTTACCATTTCAGCTAAGATTAATATTAGGAGACCCTTTTACCAGAGAATCATTTGAAGATAAATAGGTAGCATCATCTGGATAACACGTCATTATATATCTTTTTGCTTTGCTTGTTTTATTTTAAATCGGTTAAGAATATTTTCTTAGAGGTATTGGTTTTCACCAGAAGGCGAAGCTGGACCAGGATTATAGAAATAATAAGTTAAGCACTCCACTCGGTCATATATTGCTTGCGAATATCCATCAGATTTATCGATATTTTGCTTTTAATGAAAAACTTGGAGACTGATCACTTCTTCGTTTATTTTTACTATTTTTTACTTTTATTTAGGCAGTAAAGGAAATGGCGAATCAAATGTTACGAAAGTGGTCGTTAGATAATCAGTGTCAAAAATCGGTTGTCATTGTGGTTGCAACTGAGGACAAACGCTTTTGGGTTGCTAGAGCTCCGAGAGTTCCGGTTTATGCTGCAGAATTCACTCAAATATTCATCGATCAGGTTATCACCTGATACCACCTACTTTTAATACAACCATTTTTTTATTATTTTTAATGCTTAACCGTTTTCAATATATATCAATATATATCTTTTTGATTATGATGTTTTATTTTAAATCGGTTAAGAATATTTTCTTAAGGTATTGGTTTTCACCAGCATTTTATTTTTTTCCATTTTAGAAGAACTTGTTTGAACAAGGACAGTATCAACAAGCGCTGGCAAACATTGTCCAGCAAACATGGGAAAGAGCATTGTCGAAGCAAGGTCCTGGAGCGCCTGAAGGCCCAGGGCCGGTGGATGGCGATTTCGGAAAAGGTGGCATACCGGAGAAACCAAGGTATGGTCCAGATGGCCCAGGTTCGAAGATGATGAAGTTACCCAGCATACCTTTTTGGATTTGGCTTGTTCTCATTTTGGTCGTAATCCCCATACTCTGCTGTTGTTGTTGTTTATGCTACTGTTGTTTTTGCCGCGGAAAAGGCTCCTCCGGAACATCGAGACGACAAAGGCCATCTGACATTGGAGGAGGTGGTGGAATAGAAAGCGGTGGTCGTCCTGGAAGATCTGGCATTGGCGGTGGTGGTCTAAATAATTTCCTCGGTGGTTTAGGTGGAGCCGGTATAGGCAGTATCGCTGGCAGGATGTTGAGTGGTGGAAGTAGAGGAGGTGGCCTTGGAGGATTGTTCGGTGGTCATGGTTCTAGGGGTGGTGGTGCTATGGACATGAGTGGATACCAGGGCGGAGGTGCATACCCTTCAGCACCTTCTTATCCTACCGGCCCAAAAAGCGGCGGACGTGGTCTTTATCCGTCAGCTGTAGTTGAGGACGAAGGTGGCGGCGGAAGTTGGGGGAGGTAAATAGATGAATGAATTTTAATTTGTATGCCATGAAAGGGGGTCCCACGAGAACTGCCACTGAATAATTTTCACTTCTAATGCGCATAAGGTATAAAAACTCTCGACTTTTTAACACTTTGCCTTATCTTTACATAAATGATAGATAGTAGTGAACAAGCTAACAAATTATTTTTTGCTTGTTCATTCAGCAAATCCTTTAAACTGTGGCAGCTTCAAGTTGAGAGGAGATGCTCGTTTGCTAATTATTTTCTCAGCGCCCCTTGTAGCTTTTTAAATTTTTATAGCGTTTTATAATATGTTTAGTATGTGCGTTTATTTAAAAATATTTCATTTTCGTTTGTATGCTTTTTATATTTTTTTATTAATACGTATTTTTAATTTGCTTGATTTTTTATAAAAATTTATGCCGATTATCATGCGAAATTTTTTTATGATTTCGTTTTCAAGCGCATTTTCTTCTTGTTCAATTCACTGAACAACTATGTAATAATTGTATAACGTTTTATATATATAATGATTCTATAACATTTTTTTTATTTTTTATGGAAGAAAAAATTAATTGACTTTAAAATATCCTTTAAAATTGACGATTATCATCCATATCGTGCTAGTGTGTCTATGAATTTTCTATTATAATTTTTTTAATAAATTAAAATTCTTTTAATAATTCTCATTTATATTACTAACTTCATATTCAACAAACTCTAATCGTTTTGATCTCATAATGCCATTTATAAATTTCACGCTAAAATTTATTTATCGATATTTATCTTTCCATAATTTCTTTTTATCAATAAGCAAGTTTTTTTTCTATTAGGACATTATAAATGCCTAAATATTTGCTTCATTTTTTTATACCTCCGATCGACTAATATTTTTCGCTGAAATTTATTTTATGTTTATTGATCATTATTATTTTTAATCATTGTTTTTATCACTAAATAATAAAAAATAAATTTATTAAGTTGAAGACTGAGTGAAAAGAAAGTTTTAGAGGACTTAAAAGAAGATTTTTCTTAAAAAAATTTAAAATTCAAGTCGAAGCTATATTGTTATTTCTAAATAGATCGTTGGAATACACTCAGAGTTTGTGGTAGTCGCCTATTTCAACTAGCAGCCTATAACAATCTTTTGATGAATATAATCGTTTTCCTGTACCCTAAAGCGCTGCGCCAATCAAAAATATTAGCAGAAGCTTAAAAATAAAGGTGTAGTTTTGAAAAGGCCACTCATAAAAAAGATTTATCTAATCCAAATCGAACTGTTTAAACTTTCTTTTAACCTTTCGTTTAGAAGGCCTAAAATTACAGATTCAGTCAGTTTTCTCGTAAGAACCATTTTCTCTCGAACGCACGCATTGAAGAGATTGAAATGACGTTATTGCAACGTCACAATTGAGATACCATAGGGCGATAACGACGATAAAAAGCCGTATATGGCTGTGATGATGATTAAAATAATAGGTAATAATAAAAAACTAATGAAAAGCAATAAGAGAAATAATGATAATGACAAGATAACAATAAAAGTAACACTAATATGAATGATAAGTATTAACAATAATGATAGCTAAAAGCGAATGAAAATGGATAAAACAACAATAATAGCAGCCGCAAGATGAAAAAAAAAGGAAAATTGGACGTTAGCAGTACGCAATTCTCCACTGATAGCCTTACCCAGTATGCCCTGCATCCCACTCCCTCCTCCCACCCCACCTCCTCCCTCACCCCCGAATCGGCAAAATGGGCTACTCATTGAAATAGGCCGGACAAACGGAGAATGAACAAAACTAATGAACTTATGTTACGTTAAAACTTGCAAACAGATCGATCATTTAATTTTTCCACTTTCCATGGCATTTCATTTATTAAGTTATTAAGCCAATTTAACGATGGCAAAGAAATTCGATTTGAAAAAATGAAAAAAATTGAAACTATTCAGCCTCGAAAAAAATATTCTAAAAATTTTCTACAATGATTTGTGTAAAAAATAATGAGATTTTCAAATTATATTTGAAACTGAACATATTATATTATTCACAATACTTACTGCATTTAAAAAAAATGGTAATATCTTTGCAATGGCCACAAAATAACTGAGAACAATTGGTTCCTGGAAAAATTTTTTTCCAACTCGAATAGTTGAAGAAAAATTTACTTAAAAAAAACTTTTTTTTTTTCAGATAGCACCATTTCTTACATAATCTCATAAAAAAATCAAATATGAACAATAAAATATAATTTGACAATGGGAAAGCAAAAATCGAATGTTCTTCTGCAGAAGGAATGATATCAACGAAGAAATTTTAACAAAAGCAAAGCATGAAAATTTTTTTAAAATTTTGATAGTTTCAACAAAAATAGCATTTCAATGATGCAAATAGCAAAGCGCAAAAAACGAATTATTTTGATCTTTTTTGCAAAATTAAGACAAATTTCGTGATAGCACAATGTTGAAATGAATACCTAAATTTGTTACAATAAGAATAAATATTCAAATTTTAGAAAAGCTTTTGAGAAAGCATCAATAACATAAAAAATAAGCAAAAGTTATAATGATGAATAGTTCTTTTCTCCACTTAGTAAACATTTTATTGCAATAAAATTTTATTGTACAAAGATTTTTAACAATGAACAAATACGCAAAAAAGAAAAAGTGTTTGGAGATGATAGTTTTCACTAGGTAATTTTCACGTGGAAACGAAACATTGATGCAATCAGAAGTTACTAGAGAAAAGGGCTTATAAACCGGTGTCATGAATGATAATACATGGTGGGGAAGGCGAATGCAAGGGGGAAGGAGTAACTATGCAACAAGGCATAAGACGAACACAAACAAATTATATTAAGCAAATATAGACGCAAATGCACCAAAGAAATAAATTAAGCGCCCTTCTGGAAATTTTAAACGAATAAACAATTAAGAAAACTTTGGTGAAGTATCTCACAACCATAACTGGACCTTAGAAGATATTTAATATATTATCTACAGTAAAGTGCTATGCATAAAAATGGTAAATTTTTATGAATCTCTCTCACGCAAATCTACTAACAGAATTAGGTAATTTTGCAATTAGCCCAAATGTTTTTAACCGCTTAAAAACAATTTTGCAAATAAAAATAAAATTTTGAACCTGAAGTGAAATTCAATCTGTCGCGATAAGCTTAACATCTAGAATATAGGAAATGTAATTGCAAACCATTAGCTTTGATTTCAAAGAACTAGATATAACCGTTCCACTAAAAATAATTCCTAAGCAATTTTTAGCAATTCCTAAGAGTTTGCTGACAATCTTAGTATTGATCACTTAAAAACAATTAGATAGAGATGATTATGATTATGATGATTATGAAGATCATTAGTTATTTTTTTAAATAAACTACGTTATAATCACTTTATCGTTAATATACCAATGTATTTTACAACTATTAAATAATTTAATTAAGTAAGATCTAGCGATTATGAATAAAATATGAACACCATTTTTGAAAACCTTACGGCATGGCATAATGAAGTAAATGAAATTTAAGTGATAGCCGTATTAGTTGGCGCCGAAAGACTGGATGATGCAGATGATAACTGCGTCTCACGGCGCATAGTATTCGAGGAAAAACCCGGAAGATTTGGGAAGCGAATTCCAATATCGCGAGAAATTTTCACTGGTACCTGTGAAACAGTAAAATTAAATAGCTGAATTAGACAAAAAAAATGTGAGAAATGTGAGACAAAAAAAATATATTGAGGAGCCTTCGATGAGAAAAGAAATTAAATTAATGAAAGAACAACAAGAATCAAGAAAAAAACAGGACCTATAAATTTTGGAAATATGAAAATCCCATGAAATGTAAAAATAACTTTTTAATGTTCATTAATAATTGTAAAGTATTTTTTACGCATGTTATTCATTCAACATAAAATTAAACAACACACGCTCATAACAATATAGACAGGATAAGTAAGTTTTGAAGCTTAATTAAATAATGATTAAAGTAATGTCAAACAGTTAATAAAAAATGTGGCTTAATCATATAAAACAACATATAAGGATCAAAAACGAAAGGGGAAGGTAAGTGATTTTGTTAGTGATTTTTGAAACATGCTGCCAAAACAACTAAAAATTATATAAACTGATTGTCTAAATAGCAATATCCATCTAAAATAATGGTTTCAGGGTTAAGAAAAATTGCAGATAATCGCAAATGTAATAATATTTATAAATAAAATTTAGGTAGTCAGTAACTAAAAAGAAATTCAAATTTTATTACGGTTCAATTATAGATATTTTTCCATATGAATTTCCATTCCAAAAGTGTGAATAATTATGACTAGCAATAAGCAATGAAATCTGCCTTTATCGCCAGTTTACTTTCCATTATTAAAATAAATAATGGAAACAAAAACCAAAAAAAATTCCCACAGTGCTACCAAAATTGTACTGTTTTAAAAAAGGAAACCCACAAAAAATTCACGGTTTCCAAAAAACTATAATAATCAATGAGATGATAAACTATAGTATAAATGATAAATGATTTTTTATGCACTGAAAATTACTAAGAAGTAGCTACTCATCGGAAACTTTTCTTACTGGATTTTAAAGAAGGAAAATTAACAAAAAATGTAAATATTTGATGCGTATTATGCACAAATCATTGGTTAAATATGATGGAGGAAAAATTGTTCAAATAAAGGATTTAAAAAATAGAAATGATGTGTTTTACATACATGCTCGAATGTTTTCATTGAAAGGCTGGGGGAGCGAGCAAAGAAGCGGAGGATGACAGCGATGGAAGACGTTGAGTGGTGGGTGATAGCGATGATGGTGTAGATGATAACGGCCGTTGTACTGCCGTTCCTGTTAGCGCCACCGTTGAATTAGCATTAGTGTTACCACATGCCGATATTGTTGTACCGCGTACATTTCGCGACACTTTACGCGACGTCTTACGCGCGATCAAGGACGAAAACGGAGCACTGGTCTAAAATAAAATGCACACGCCGAGAAACTTAGTAAAACACGCAATAAAGTCTGAAAAATTATTTTTAAAATTCAAAAAAAAAGCAATCAAAAAGCAATCATTAATGCAAAAAAAAAATTCGCTTCTCGAACATTACATTGACGTACACAAGTTTTAAGCAGCGATTCACACACATAAAATAAATTGTTTCAATAAGACGAAAATTCAATCAAATATATTGGAAAGAAAAATTCAAATTTTTAAAGTGCTTTTTTGATGATATAAATATTACCTAAAAAAATTTTTTGATTTTGATTTTGACTTTCTGATTTTTAGATTTAGATTTAGATTTAGATTTAAATTTTAATTCTAAATTCAAATTTAAAATTAAAATTTCGTCAAATAACTATCTTTTCCATAAAAAATTTTCATTCCTATCATATTTAAATGCTAATTTCTGTTTGAAAATATTGCAAGAAATTGTGAAGAACTGCGCAAATAATGGACAATAATAATGAAGCTTATCTGAGAAACAGTGCAATTCTTATTAACGAAATAATATCTATAAATTCCTCTGAAAATTTTGAAACGAATTTAATAACGAATGGGTTCTGAGAAAATATCCATGCAGCAGAAGTATATCCGCGTGCGGTAAAAAACTGAATAAAAAAGATAAACAAAGCAGGTTAACTGAAGCAGTTATTCATGCTTTACCATGCCACAAGTACTTCACAAAAGATAAAAAAAAAGCCACTGAAAACTTTGGAAAAACGTTCAAAATTGCAACTCAATGTAGATTCTTTGAGTATGCCCTACCACATGAAAAGAAATGAAGAATTTTCTGCCCAAACTGGAATATGGCCATGTTGACTGAAGAATTTCTGACAATGATCCTTCATTAATCCAGGACAACGAAAAGTTAAATTCAGAAAAAAAGTTGAAAAAAATGGACCAGACTTAAAAACATCTAAGAAATTAGAGACCTATGGACCCAGAAAAAATTTTTATCGCACATGTCCACAGCGATTACTACCACTACTTTTTAAAAAATACAACAGAAATGCAGAAATATAAATATCTACCTTCTTTTTGGATTGAATCAGCAAATCCCTATAGATATCCGAACGTAAAAAACGCTGATAACTGTCATTCTTTATCAAACAAAATATATGATCCTGAAGAAAACACAGATCATTAACTTAAAAATGAAATAAATTTAAATGAAAAAATATCGACGAGAAAAGCAGTAATGCTTAAGCGATAATTATTTTATTAATTCTTAATAAATAAGCGCAATATAAATGTCATTATTTCTTTCTTTCTTTTTTTCTTTTCAAATGATGACAGACTTATTAACTAAACTTATCTTCATCACCTTTATCAAATGAAAAAAATTTTATACAAAATACCAATTTTAAAAAAAAATTAATTATGACAACAATGCACAAGAGAATCCTTTTCGATCAATTGAAGAGAATGTAGAAATTAATGAAACTAAAAATCGATGGACATATAACAACCTATATATAAAAAATAGTAAACTCTTACTGCTGCCTCATCAAAAGACCATCTGTTAGGATTTTTCAAATTTTCTTCCGTCGTTTCCATCACTTTACAATCAATGTTAACAGGAGAAGTTGCATTTTTATCGATAAATTCATTATAAATTTCTGTCACCAACACTGGTACCATTCGACAAGCACATTTACGTAATTTCTGCACCTGAAAAAGATAAATAATGGAAACTTTGCTTTCATTTGCTTTCAATTTTGAATCTGAAGCAAAAAAGGAAAAAGATATATACATATATAAAAGATATATATATATAAAAGATAAAGATATATACCTGCCACCAAAAACGAAGATTTTCACCAGAATACTCTTTATCTAGGAATTTTTGCAATGTTTCCCTACCAAGAAGATCGCTTAAGAGTTCTTCAAAGCTTTCCTCCCAAAGTTTGAGACGACGCATTGATATGTCGCCCGTACTAGAAAAATGAGACAACGTCAACAAATTATTTCAAGTCCAAGCAATCAAAAACGAAGTATTCCAGAAATTATAGAACTATGCTTCACTAACATTTTATCGTGTTGCCAGAAGTCAACAGTGTCAGAAATCCAAGGATTAGGCTGGCCTTGAAAGGGATCATTAGCAGTGCCAGGCTGCACTAAAAATGGATCGAAAACACGTCGACGATCGAAGTATTGCAAATGACTGAAAGAATTTACGTTCAAATTTTTCATTTTTTTTATACTTTAAGAAAAATTTGTCTTAAAACTGCAAATAAACTGCAAATAAAATGTTGTTTAGAACTTGAATTGCCAAATGAAAAAAAAAAGAAAACTGAATAAAACAGGCTTACTTCTCAATTACTTTTGAAGTTTTCAAGACATTCTTTGTTAATCTTGCTTGCAACACTCCAATCTGATGGAAGAACACAAAATTTAAAAAAAAAAAAAACAATAATATAATGAAAGAAAAAATAAAAAGCAACTGGAAACTCAACTACCTCATGCTTCAGTGTATCCTGAATATGTGTACATCGCCGCATACCCGGCCGATGGTTGTAATGACGAAATGAGCCTGAGTTGCCACAGCGCTGCTGAGAAGACGACAAAACATCACGATTTGATGACGATGGTGTGTTAGGACCGCCATTTACACCCGCCGAACATGATGGCAATCGTCCCGCAGCATGAGCTGCAGCAGCAGATGTCGAATATGGCGATGAGAAAGAGGAAGTGGATGAAACAGCATTTAGGGCAGCATGACCGGACGAGCTATATTTCGGCCGGCCTGAAAGCCAGGATTCAAATCATATCTCCAAGTAGTCAAAAAACTGGAATTCCAAAGCGAATAAAAAATAAGATCAAGACAATAAAAAATGGAGACTAACCCGATCGCGATAATTTACGGAAATCAACTTCAGTTGTATTTACGCAGCCTGGTACAGGTCTGTGCACATCCCAGAATGCACGTTCCTGACTATCCAAAATTTGCCGTTCTTGCCGATCACGCTTCTTATCAACTCTATAATTCCTTTATTTAAAACACACAATTTTTCCGAGTTCTTCCCAATCTCTTTCAATAAAGTCCTCCTCCTAAATTCGGCAATAAATCCGGTTATTCCCTTCTACAACTCCTTTTACTTTAATATCCTTTTATATCCGATGTAACCTTCCAAACTTTTCAACCTCCATTTTGTCTTCCTGATCGTCCTTCTGCTAATTTTTAAAAAACTTTCTCAAAACCATGCTAAGTTGTTCACCTAATCTTCCATCTAATGGGCATTTAATGGAAACTGGCAAAATTTTGATAAAACTAGGCATATCTTTCAAAATATGAAAGAAATAGATAAACCTTTTCGGAACACACACGCACTCCAACATCGCAAATTGTTCAATGTTGGCCTACTCTTTGCACCCTTTGTACTTTTCCAAAATCTTTATTCTCCGTGGCTCCACAGTGTCTTTTGATACCCTGTGCACTAGAATGCTACCTATTTAAAATTATAATCTGCAGACTTGGCAGAAGTGGACTGGCTGCTGGGTTCGAAAGGATTATAAGAAAAAATTATGCAAATAAGGATAATAATGGGCTAAAACTGTATCTGGGAAAGTGCTAGAAAAAGGCTTAAAATTAACTAGAAAAATATGCAGACTGCAAGGACATTTTGCTAGCGTTAAAGGTGATCTGATGGAGAAATTCTTTTATAGAGCAGGATATGTTTTGAGGAATAAGGGAATAAAAAAAGGTTTCAGCTGCTGAAAGTTTTCAGTTTGAGGAGTTATGATGGGTTTTTAAGGAGTTTTAGCTGAGCGATTAATCTACAGTTTTATATCTGGTATGATATAATTAGCCTAACGACTTGACGTGACAATTTCTACAATTTACACAATTCCCAACACTGATGTTCAATAATATCTTTTACTCCGTTATTTCCATGGGAAAGTTTTTAAGTCTAATAAAATTCCTTCGTAACAACCTTGAAATCCCCTCATATTCATTTGTCATAACCCGCCAGTGGCATCATTTTGAATCCCTTTTTACAGTTTTAACCATTAAATTAGCCCAGTACCACCTACTCTTATTTTGTTAGACTGGCGTTCTGTTAAACCTCGCAATAAACTTTTAGCCGCAATTACAAGCTTTAAATCTGTAAAAAATAGATGGGAGGGAATTTCGAAGAAATATAACAGGAATTTGAAGAGGGAATTACAGTGAATTTTTGAAAAAACATCACTTATAGTACAGGTCCTCCACTCGTATTAAAATACAGCATAAATATTAAAACATCACCGAAAAATCTAGTACCATCTTTGACTTCGCTGCCATAAAACAAATAATTTATAAAATAATTTTTCGAAAATGAAGATAATTAGTAAGATAAATAATAAGATAAATAATTACTTATACTGCGCTTCTGCTTGCATAAAAATGAATTCCCACTTACGGCTAAACATCTTCTGTAACCTTGCTAGATTCTCCGCTTCGAAATCTTCCAATTCAAGGTGAGCTTTATTTTGCATCGTTCGTTTACACAAATATACCGCTAATAATTTGTCAGAATTAGAATAAATGCAAAAACTAACCTAATGTTGCCAAAATAAATTCAATTAAATAATCAACAAAAAAATTTTTCTAAAATAATTTTAAACAACAGAATAGAATTTGTTATGCTTTTAACTAAAATTTTATTTTATTTTTTTTTTGCTTTAAATGAGACTGAACTAATCTCGTAAAAAATAAAATAAAAAGAAAAACGGAATAAAAAATCACAAAGAAAAACGACATTTTTTTTCTAGCTCAACTGAGTAAATATTATCAAGAAAAAGAAAATTTGATGCCCTTATAAATCAGTTAAAATAATTCAATAAACCTCAAAATGCTTATAATTCATGCCGTAATATGAATTAACATATTTATAAATAAGTTGCCAACCATAATCAGTATTCTCCGGCTCCCAGCAATTCGACGGCCAAAAATATGGCGTTTGAAATCGGTAAAAGGTACCATCATTTTTCACCGTCAAAACATGATCATCAATTTGAAATAAATAACCGTGTGAAGCGATCAAATGAGCCAAATAAAGAGCATCGGCTAAAATGCTCATCTTTATTGTGCATTATAATGTGGGATCAATCGGGCAATTTTTTCATGTTCTTCTAATCGAAAAAAAATCCATAACAAACTGCCAAATTCCATTACTTTCCGAAATACAAATTTAATAACTTCTATACCAAAATATCAAAGATATGAATCAATAAGGTAATCTAAAAATAACCAAGATCAGTCATATTCATATTTTTCATAATCCATGCGATGAGATCTTGTCCGGTGAATACTGATGGCACCTAAAAATAAATACCTATTATGAAACATAAAGTTTCTACGCAATAACAGCAAAACGTCGAACGAAGTCAACTTTTGACTAGAAAACCGTTATCAAAATGTAATGATCATATATATCTTAAATATCTTAGATGATAATACTCCGGAAACAATCTGCAAATAAAAGTAACTGCAGCATTTTTTACTTTTTTTCTTTGATATTTTCATTTTTAAAATGAAAAATTACCCAGAAGAGCTTTTCGCAATTTGATAATGAATCACAAGAAATTATCAATCTTCACTGCTACACTAATTATTATAAGTGACAGTTAACGTTCCACTCTTTGTTAATTAAAAATTCCATTTTTCTATTGAATTTTTTTGAAGCTTAAATTTGCTATTTTCCTTTTTATTCCCTTCCGTAAAAGGAAAACAAAAAGTTCAAAAAATTAATATTAATAACTGCTCGAAATTATTAAAAAAGAAAAAAACAAACAAAATAACATAATTAGCGAATTGCGAGTACCACTAATAGATAAATCATTAATTTATTTAATGATATTCAAGTATTCTCTATTGGCGACTTGAAGATTTATGAATAGAAAAAAATAAATAGAATAATAATAAATACCGACCTTGGAGAGAAAACTTTTGACCGTCTTAATTGGTACTCCATTTTCAGGATCCAACATTGCATTTACTAAATTTTCCATCTTTTGATAGATAATATGATTTGGATGAACTATTCTTTCCTCATTATTACCGCTCACACGTAAACGAGGTATCGCCATCGTACTGCAAACGAAATTTTCCCTCTCTTTCTCCTTTTTTTTCTTATGAAAAGTTAATTGTACACCAGTGTAAATTCATCGCGAGCTTCCTCTTGTTCTACAGTCGCATCATATCTTTAAAATTATTACAATTACAATGCAAAACCCATCGAATTAAAAATTAAACGTTAAATAAAGAAATTCGTGGATAAATTTCAGAAAAATTCGCCGACTTCTTTATTAATAATTTATCAGTTTTAATCTTTCTAAATAAACTCGATAAACGACAATATAAAAAAATTGATAAAAACCTAAATATGCAAACAAAGTGCAATTCTGAATAGAAAAAAAAAGAATAAAATTTTTTGTAAAAAAAGAAAAACCAATAAATCTGAATTCTATTTCAAAATATTTAGCTGCAAAATTTGGATATTAATGCGATTTTTAGCTGTAATAAAGATTATTTTTTTTCCATCGATTCGAGAGAAATTTCAGAGATTGAACAACTAAATCAAAAAATCATTTTTTTCCGAGAAACTTACCTAAGCATAGAGATCGGTTGATTTTCATAAATAATCTATCAAGGGATAATAGTTCTAAATCCATGGAACTCTCAGCGAATCACATAAATTGGAGAGATATTATGTAAATACAATAATTCTTACCTTTCCCAATATCACAACCCCAATAAATTAAGGAAAAAAATTTATCTCAGTTCTTCTGCTTTAATTCCTCTCAATTCTTACATAAGCAAGAAGTGATAATCATGCAAGAATACGTAAAGAATATTTCATCGCTCATATTCGTCTTTTTATCAATCTATGATGATTATTAACCAAGGATTGTTTATAGCAAATAAGAAATAAACATACATCGATTCAAAATCCATCACAATTAACACTAAGAAGATTAACAATGTTCGTAATAACCATCGATCAGAAATAACCATCTACTTTACCACTATCCAAGTGATATGATACCTGATAATTAACCGTCTTTTACCTCTGAACCCCAAAATCTTTTTCTATATAAACCACCATCATAAGTTAATTCAGTTATTTAACGGTAATTTTCCGAAGACACAATGATGACTATTCACCTAAATTCAGGCTTTGCGAACTCCAGATTTATGAAATATATTGATGAAACTGAATGAATATAAGCCAATAGACGAATTGAATACTGCTAAAGAAACCTTAAATCGTTTTTTCCTGTCATATGTCATATTCTATCATATGGTGGTCTGGGTGATGCTGGCGGCTCATCTGTATTTCTACCGCCAAGGGACTTCCTGGCATATTGCCTAATGCGACAAGCCAGTGAAGCGAGTTTAACTAGTGTAATGGGTGAGGACTCATATAGTAGTATAAACATATAGTTTTTCTCCTAACATACGAACCACTCATTTTCCAGACGGGCGAAAAGACAAAAATAAACAATAGAAAAAAGCGATAAAATGATAAAACTTGACGACTGCAACATTAACCTTGTAACATATCTATCATTTAGCGACATTGATATAGCGACTTTTTTTTTTTTAAACAACAGAAAATATCTAATTTCAAAGAGAAAATGAATGAAATTATCCATGATATTATTTAGCGTAAACATATGCTCAATTCGAGTTTCAATTTTTGTTTTTTTTTCATTTTTTATTTTTTGCAATATTATTGTATTAATATTTATGTTATAAATAATACAAGCTCATTGCTATTGCTCTGTTTGATCTGAAATAAATAAAATTTATAATTAACGATAAAACGTTGTACATTTCGCAAAAATATTAGCAATAGACTAATTAAAGCACCCTCGGATCCTTTCCTTCCAACTTTTCGCTTTTATCCATCACCTTTTCGTTCCTCTCGTTGAACCAAATACAAACAAATTATATACTGTTCTACTGAAAACCAAAAAAATTATGATATTTCCAGGTAACAGAAGAACGAGTGCAATTTTTATCCATTTCAAATGCAAATACACTGTGCATAAATGCGGAACAAAATGAAAAAATGATGTATTAATGTGCTCTTAAGAGAAAAAAACTCAAAGCCAAACACTATTTGATTTTTTTGATAAATTTTATTAGAAACAAAAGGCAATAGGTCAAGTGAACCAGAATCTTTATTTCGGCTAAAACCAGCACCTTTAATAAGTTCATTGAGCAAAAAATGGTGTGTAGAAATTGACTGATAAGCTGGTGGGATCACAGTGAAACCGATCTCGACAAGACGTCTTAACGCTGCTTATGTCTAGCGAAATTACCCAGTATGGACAAATCGCGTAGATTGCCTATTCAGTCATTATAGTTTGTAACTGCTCTCCAACCTCCCTCTCTCCCTCTCCCCTCCTAGCTCCCCGCCACCTTCCAGCAGGAGTAACCCAATGATTAAAAATTTCCAGTGATAGCACAGAGATCTACCTACGCTTCTGTTCGATAATGCCTCACTAAAAAAAAATAATTTAAACAAAAATTAGGAGCATTAGTTGCGTCTGGGAAAAACTAGGCACGCGCTAGATTCTCGGAAAATGGCATTTCCTCAGTAGGGTATACAACTTATTTTTTATAATAAAAATTGCTAGGACCAACTATTTCGAGCAGTCCCCTTTAGGGAAAAAGAAAAAGAACCAAAATAATGTGGAAAATGAGTAAGGTAGAAAATTGTCAAAAATTGAAGGAGAAAGAAGAGAGGGACAAAGGATTAAAAGGAATGAAGAGGAAGGAGCAAATGGATGAAGGGGTGAGATGAAAAGAAAGGACTAAATGGCGAAGAAGGAGAGACGTGAGTCGTGATTCCAATGAGTTAGTTATTGAATGGATGTCGAATATAATTATATTTTAATACGCGCACCAAAAAGCATGAGATTATTCAATTCTCATAAATTTCCATAAAATTATCGATTTTTTTAAAAAAAAGATATGAGAAAATGATAAAAAAAAAAATTTCATCACAAGTTTTCACAAAAAAAAGGAAAAAAAATTTCAATAATTTTAAAAGAGAAAAGCTATAAACGCGATTTAACGCGAGCAAACTGGAAACGCGGCCAATTGACCAAATCAAATGCAGCTAATTTATCAAAATCAAATTTTACGAAGCTTTCCTCGTATATTAATAAAATTCAGTTATTTTAATGGGGAAAAAAAACGCATTTGACAATTGAAATTATAAAAAATAAAAGGACGATACTCCACTTGTTGGTAAATCGTAAAAATAGAGAAAATAAGAAAATTTCAAGTGCAAACAAAACAGGAATATAATTTAGTGAAAAAATGTAACAATAAAGTGCTAAACGAAATTCTAATTATCGATCGATCTTAGGCTTGTAATCATGGAATCTCGGCTTAGCAATCTACGAAGTTAGCCAAATTAAAAATGGCGAAAAAAGAAAAAAATGAAATTTTATTGAACAAAAAGAAATGTTGTGATTTGCGAATATTTAATATGAATGTTTTAGAAAATTCTAATTAAAATCGATATAAAATTAAAAAAATTTTTTTATGCTACATTTAATTAGTAAAGCTTGTCGTTAGGGAAATATAAAATACCTCAATCGATTTCGAAAAAGATAATTCATTGTTAGCGACGCGCGCGCTCTTCTGTCGTACGTTACGCTATCGACCGATACGCTAGAAATAAGGCGCTGCGAAAATTAGCGTAAATGGTCGATACCCGATACGCAAATATTATATCGAACTTTATACCAGCATTTTTTTTTTCATCTGATTGTCACCAATATGATATGTTTTTTTCTTTTTTTTTTGTGAATTTGATTGATTGTAAATGGTGAGAAAATTTTAGAGGAAATTATTTTGGTGAAGATTTTCGATTTAACGTAAATTTTCGAATGAGTTCTGGACGATTCATTTATACTTCTTTCGCAAATTGGTTCTCTCGCTATGGTACTAAATTTCTATGAAACCAGTGGAATAAACTTAACCAGAAATAAATGTATTCGCTAATTCATAAATTCAATTTGCTGAGAAATTCGCACGAGATTATTCTAATTTTATTATTTTAAAATTTTATATGAATATTGAAAGTCAACTATATTTTCTTTAGAAAATTATTAGGCGAATATTTATTAATTAGTTGAACTAATCAAATCCTAGAATGAAGCTGTAAGAGGACGAGTAATTTGCATGGTTGTCGTCAGTGAATAGTTTCAAATTTGCACCGTTGAGTTAGCCAAAAAGTAGTTAAGCCTTTTGGCTAGGAAAATTTGGTTTTTTCCAGGTCTTTCGTTCCGAAACTATTTGAAGGTGACAGAATTTTCTCCCTTTCTCAGTATTTGCACAGTGTTCATATCGATGGGCCAACTGTGCGAATTTTAGAATTTTACCTGATTTCTTCATTTTAGGAATTTTTTTGTGAATTGTGTTTCCATAAATTTTTTGCAATAAAATTTGAAAAATGCTTCAGCCATTTATCAACGTTGAACGAAGCATAATTGGATTTTTTTGCCATTGTTGTTATATTTTTTCGTACCTTAAATTCCTCATCAATTATAAAAATTATATTTGTCACTTAAAGCGAAAATATTTTTAAATTGCCCCACCCTAATAGTTCGTCGCCAAGTCAGAAATGGTACGTGCTGGTAAACAAGGAAGAAAGTAAATATTTTAATGCTCGATATCATATTGTTGATAGTATTTAAGTATACAGTTTCATTATCAATTGTTATCAGTTGCGATTTCATTGTTCATTGTTATCAATTGCTGTTTCTCTGTTCATTATTATCAGTTATTATATGTATATATATATTTATAAATATTTTAGAAATTGATGTATGATACTCGAACGATTTGCTAGCAAATATGATTTCTGCAATAAAAATGAAACCGGCGACATGAATTGAAGAAGATTGAAAAGTTGATAAAATTTAGAGAATGCAATAATCTTAGTACTTTTTTTTACAAAAATTATGTCTATGAAACTTTTTACGGGTTTACAAGATTTTCTGGGTCTTTATGAGGCTCCACTGCAAAGCAGTGGACCATCATCAACACCCCATTTGCCGAATGTTACTGCGCCATCATCGAATGCTTCTATTTCAAATAATTCGGCAACAGCTTCTGCTCAACAACAATTTAAAAAAAGAAGTGCTGCAAGTCTCAATAGGGAAGGTATAGAAATATTTGCCATCATTTTTGACCAAAATGTTTTTTAGAAAGAAAAATAAGAAAAAATTTAAATTTTCAACTATTGACTTAATAAAAATTTTGAACGTCACAAAATCCAAAAGAGTTACAGTTTGTGGTGATGAAAAAATTCAGCGGTGTTCGCATAATCGGAATGTTCGCTTTCCTGATGAGAATGCTATGGTTACGGGTTATCACGATGCACCAAAACCGGTATTTAATCCATGTGGTATGCAATATTTCATTTCTCTCTTCGTTCATTTTTATTTTGTTCTATTTCTTTGGTGAATTGTTTTGAAAAAGCATTCCTCAAACTTTTCTTGAACTGATTTTCAGTAAAATATTAATGACTCATTATTGTAGTCGTAAAGGTTGATTCATAAAGATAATATATATGATGATAATTTGATATCCATTCTCACTGATTTAAGTTAATTAAAACATTAAATGAGCAAACTAAGCCGTATTGTCAGATATGATGAATTGATGATCTATAATTAATTTGTTGGTTTAGACGAAAGCATTCGTCGATTTAGGTTGGTAATGGTCCATTTTAACCGTTGAATTCGATAGCAAAAGAATAATTTGATTAAGAATAGTTCACTAATATTGCACTAGAATAAATAAGCTATAGAATTTTATGTTTTTGTCATTTTTTTTTACAGTTTTTCTGTTATATAAAACTATTTTAAAACGAGTTTTTTTAAATGACATTAATTTAAGCCTAAGCCTAGGCTTTCAGTGATTTCTTTTTTTACCTCATTAAAGAAATGGTTTGAAAGGTTAGATTTAGATTCAAAAACAATAAAAATGTTGATCAAAAGGTATAAGCAAGCCTGTCAACGGTTTAGCATCATGCCAATTCAAGCAGTCGAGAAACAAATCATGGTATTTAAGTTTTTTTTTATTCCATCCTTTTCGTTTATGATTATCTTTTCTACGTTCTCTTAAATCTTAAAACAATTTATCAAAAATTGTTTATTATTATAAAAAGCTTTTTTTCTCATGCAAATGAATTAATAATGAATAACAGCTGAATGTCTAGTGAAATCTGTAGTTCACAAGTGGTTAATATATTTCTTATAAATTTTAAAAAATTTCAATATATAATTAATTTTCTTTTAGTGTTTCCATCAGGTTCCCAATGTTCGACAAGAGTGTTTCACTCTTAAAGGTTTTTTTTAATATTTTTTTGAAGTTAATATTCAGTTCTTTTTTTAACAGTTTAGAATTATCCATTAATTCTTGCTTAAAAGAAGGCTTATAATTTATGCATTCAAGTAGTCCGTTTGACTTTCTCTTTTATTCGACGATAATATTCGGTGACTTAAAATTTTTTTAGGTAATCGGCTTTCGTTTTCTCACATGGAATGTCTAGAAGAATTGCTAAGACGAGTGCAGTTTGACACAATTGATTTTGAACATACAAATATGGATGATGATGTGAGTTTCATCTAATTCTAAAATTTATAACATAGTTTTTCAGTCGCAAAAAATTAGCCACCATTATGTTTATAAGAAGGCAATAACCAAAACTTTTTTCTATGTTGTTACTTTCATTACATTCACTTATCGAGATATAGGCACTCCGCTTAGTATGGAATTTCAATAATCGAAAATTCTCATTTAATGCATAGAGACTGTGAAACGTAATTAGAATGAGGAATTTTGCGGAAATTTTAATTTAATCACAGTTTTATAGGCAGCCGTGTGTTTGGCTGAAATGCTCGATTTTTATGATTCAGCAGTTAAACTGAATTTATCTTTCAATAAACAAATCAAACTGCGAGGTTGGCAGGCTCTTTTTAAAGCTGTCGAGAATGTTTGTTTTATTTTGCTTTCTTCTAAGCCATTTATTATTGCATTATATCGTTATTTATTTGGATAAGTTCGTGCTTTCATGTAAAACTTTTTTTTGTTTTTTTTTTTTTATTTTTTTTTTTTTTACAGCATTTGCTGTAATTGACTAAAGTATTAAGAATTATGCCACCATATGCCTTTTCTGTTTGGACTTCATTTAGCATTTTTTGTTTTTGCCTTCTCGGATTGTTGCTCCATCATTTTGGCTTGTTTATTATTGTATTCTATGATTCTTTGCTTTAAGTTGATAAATGCAAAATCTGTTTTAGAATTTCAATGTCTAAACATAAATTTTAAAATTACATGAAAAATTATTTATATATCGCAAAAAAATAAATTATCATTGAATCGTTGAAATTGTGCTTAGTTTTCAGTGTGTATCTCTAAAACTGCTTAACTTGCGATATACCTCTTTTTCTGAGCAGGCGGTACCATCATTAGCTCGAGCATTGAAAACTCAGCCTTCATTAACCATATTACATCTGGAGAATGTTTCGCTATCAGGCAAAAATTTGCTGTTGCTTGGTTAGCAGATTTATTTTCCTTTGTTGTTATTTTCAAAATTTTTACTTCGAGTTTTAGTGAAGATTTGACAAGTTTGAATAATATTAACATCTTTCAGGCTTTATTATTTTTCAGTTTGCGCTTTGAAAACAAATAATGTATTAAGAGAACTTTATTTGGGTGATAATAATTTGCATCCCACTGATGGTGCTCATTTGTATCAGCTAATTTTGTCAAATACTTCGCTTCAGATGCTAGATCTGAGAAATAATCAGCTGCAAGTAAGATTTTAAGATTTTTATAGGCTTGTAATAAGTAGATAATTGCATCAAAATTACCACAACTTCCCACAAGTTTTTAAAATCCCATTTTTCTCTAAATGGCGGAATTTTTTTTTTTCTTTTTATTATGCTGGACGATTATTTCGACCGCTGAATTCGGAATTTGGCTTTTCATTATTTATTCAGTTACTGGGACATTATATTTTTGGTTTTCAACGATTAAGAGAGAGAATATATACGAAAAGAATGCCCATCGATTATCATTCAGCCTTTAATATATAATTTTTGAATTCTTCATTTCATATGAGAAATTAGAGAAATTAGAGGAATTAAAATTAGAGAAATTTTCGTAGTTTCACCGCAATTTTTATTTAGGACGGTGGGTTGATGCATATATGCGATGCGTTGAAGCATAAAGATGTTGCGCAAAAAAGCGCTTTATCTGCTCTTGTTTTGTGGAACAATGGAATAACGAGCAATGGGATGGAATCAATGGCTATTGCTTTGGTAATTTTTTTTATGACAAAAACTTATATTGAGCCACTGTTAAATATCTAAATGGTAATTTGCATTAGTTTATGTATGCGTTTGGAAAAAATTGAGCTATTTCATCCAGATTCTTGTAGATTTTGTCAAAATTTTACCATTTTTATCAAAATTCTTCACACTTCTCGCTAAATAATTCCTTTTCCTTCCATGTTCTTCTGTTTTCCTTTAGAATCCTTCGCTTCCAAAGTTCCACACTTTAACGCGGTTCTTTCCATCCTTGATGAGGAATTTTGATAGGATTAAGAGAGAATCATAAGGATCTTATGATGAAAGCACTGGAATTCAAAAGGTGTTAAGAGGACATCAGTTTTTGGAAATTCAAGAAAAAGTGGGTTAAATAGGCTGTGATCATAATAGATCGTTATAGACGACCGGCTCTCAAAGACTTCCATCTGTAGATCGGAACTTTTACCACTAATATATAATAATTTTAAGCTTGTCTTTTTTACTATTTTGTTTTACACATCTTTTCAGAAAAAAAATGCGAAATTGAAAACCTTGAATATCGGCAGCAATAAATTGTCCTTTGAAGGCATATTAGCTCTCAAGCCGGCCCTTATGGTTAATTTATCTCTTCAGCGACTTGGTCTTCAAGCGACCAATTTGTGCTGCCAATGTAATTATTCTATTTCATCATTTCATCTCTACTTTAGGTCGTTGAATAATTTAAGGTCAATAAGAAACTGCGATCATAGTTTATTAAAACTCTCTGGAGGCATCATTTCTGCATAGCTTAGCGTTTAAGCCAACTTCTATGATTAATTCAGTTTGCTTCGCGAGTTATTTTTTGTGAATTATGCCATAGAAACAAAAAATGCTGTCCTACTTATTAAAATGTATTAAAAATGATTCATGCAGAAAATTTTTTCACATTTTATTCACTTAAAAATTATAGCAGCAATTGTGCTGGCAGAATGCATAGCGGATAATCACATGTTAGTGCGCGTTGATCTGCGTGATAATGCTAGAATCGGATCAGCGGGCTTACTTGCCTTACATCTAGCAATGAAGATGAATACTTCAATAACATTATTAAATCTCGATTATACATGTACAAATTCTAATAAAATAAAGGTTTTTTTTTGATATATTTTTTTCTTATGACAATCAAAATAATTGTGCTTTTTGTTTTTTTTGAATTATCTTAAAAGATTCATGGAAAACTTTTTTTATACCAGGATGAACAAGTTTTGATCATCAGTGATGGATAATGTTATAGGTTAAAGAGTACCAAGATCAGTTCAAGCATTATTTTGATGAAATAAAATCATTTTGTGACCGTAATAGACAAACGGCTCTTGAGAAACTCTCCGTGCAATCATCATCTATTAACAGTGAAGGCTCTCAGGTTGAAAGCCCAGTCATGGAAGATAGTGGCTTTCCAGCAAATGAGATAAATGAGATGAAATCTGTCGACACCGTTGTTAAAGTTGAGGGTGTTAATGAAAATTTAGTTCATCAAAATCAAACTATGGAGTTCAATAATGAGGCATTGAAAAATATTCAGTCTGATTGTAAATTACATTGCTCCTCAGTGAATTCTACAGTGCTGTCCAATTATGTTGATGTATGTTTTTAATCCAAAGATTTAATGCTTTTATTTTTTTAAGTAGTAAAACATTCCTATATGTCTAAACTTTAACTTGAAAATTCAATGTTTAAGCAGAAAATGCAAAATTTTTATAATCTAGTAATCGAATAACTGATTCTCCAAATTTCTAAGTTTTAAAGCTAATTTTTCTATATTTCTAAGCAGGAAAAATTAAACATATTGCTTAATTCGTTTCATATTTCATAAATTTATAGGAGAGGATTGTACAAATAAATTCTTTATTATCTCATATTGGAGAAGAACCGACAGATAGCACTAAAACAATTAAGAAGACATCTCTGCCCAGTTATCCTAATCTCACAAAAGGTATGCATTCATTTTTTTCGCTTGTGAATTTCAAAGTTTGAAAAAAGTTGCTAATTGGCTACAATTCTATTTTTACTATTTAGCATAAATGTGAGAATGACCGTTTAACTTAAAAATTCAATTTTCAACTTTAACAACGATTCGCGCTGCGTTAATGCTTATTCTTGTCTTCTTCCATTGTTATTATTATTCAGTAATCAAATACGTGTCATTCTTTAAGGGATTATATTTCTTTTGGCAATTTAATTTCAGTTTTTTTCTTTTCTTTCATGTTGCCTGATTGCTGCGTAGATTTTGCAGTAGAATTCCATAAAAGTCCTTCTATGCCTTCTTTGCATGTTCCATCAATTTCGGATTCTTCAACTGGCAAAAGAACAAAGTGCCATTCGTTGTCAACAGATGGTTGTTCTTCTGGTGTTAGTCGTTTCTCGAGATTCAAGGTATTTTTTTGTTCCTTTACTATAATTTCTTCTGGGTTAAATCAGTGATGTTTTAAATGGTATACAAAAAATTTAAGATTTTTTTTCCTAAAGAATTTATTTCTTTGTGAAAGTGATTTCTTGCAGGTTGAGCGAGTTTCACTGCCTACTCTTCCAACAGTTTGTTCCTTTGCATCCCAGAATGATCCTTGTAGAAATCAAAGTTCCACCGAAATACCAAATGTTCAGGAGAATGTTGAACGCCCATCTCCTATAATAAACGATTATAATCCTATTTCATCCAGTTCATTCTTCCAGTCGAAAACTTTTAAAAAGTCTACTTTCGAAGCTTATGAAGGATCTAATAACGACCAAGGAATTACTGTAATTTGTTCTGAAACAAGAAATGGACCGCCTCTACCACCCGTACAAAGGGTTATTAGAGAGCATTCAAAATTAGCAGAAAGATATTCTGATGATGATGTTAGAACTGTTGTACGGGATCTTATCAACTTTACGGTATATGAGGTGATTTTTTAAATGCATTATTTTAATGCCCATAAAAAATCATAAAATCAGCGAATATTTTTGTAGAAAATCTGCCGTATAATGTCATTCTATGAACCCTTTTGTCATTCTGTTGTTTAGAATCCTATTAGTCTCTATTAGTAGATCAATCTTTTTCTCCATTTGTATTGCTGTTGTTGATATGGATTGAGTCTTTTCAATAAAGTATTCTGATTTTGGCAGTAAATCGTACCATGTCTTTAATTTTTAATATTTAATATTAATATTTTTAATAATTTTTAATAAAAGTTTTGATAATGGCTCTCGGCAGTCATCATTTTCATCTATTCATCTCGACCTTTCATTGTTTCGAATATATTTCATTTGCAAACAGAATGACTCGTCTTCTCATTTTCAATTTTATGCATTTAGTTCGTAGTACTTTCACTTTTCGTGGAGTCCATATTTTTGCTATACTGTTCTAATTTTTGTATAATCTTTTATTTCTTTTGCTTCTTCATGTGTTTTTCAGATGGGTGAGACAAAGCACATATCGAAGACAACTCTTTTAAGATTTTCCAGTTTTTCTGATGCTAATGAAACCAGCTTGTCTTCGAAGTAAGTCTGTTCTGAAATCACGATCCTAATTTCCACATTTTCCACAAATCCCGTTTTATTTGCAAAAAATTGGTATTTATTGTGAATATATTTAGTAGTTTTAGGCATTGTAAAGTAAAAGACGCATATATAGATGAACAGGAGGAAAATGATATCGAGCCTGTAGTGCACAGTGTTGTGAGACAGTTGATTCGTGATGTTATGATTCAAGAAAAAGAATCGTTAAGGGCGAGCTTGCGAAGAAAACGACAAAGATTGGGAAATTTATAAAATTTTTAGAAAAGGCGTCCTTCTGACTAGTCCTTTCAGGCTATAAATTTTAAACTGTGAAAAATGAAAAAACTTGTGGACCAAATGTTTTTTTTGGGCATGTAATCTATACATAGGCTTGTGTCGCATGTTGTTTGCGATACTTTATTGAGGCTTTCGCCCTACTTCTTTATTCACTTTAGTACCTGTGTTATTTCTTCGCCAATTTTATTCCACCTTTCTGGTTTTTCATATTGCAGTGTTTATTGCATTTACTAGCAATTTCATGGTATTTTTACTCATAACTTCATGTTTGCAGATAAATTCATATCATCTGCGAGTAGAAACTATAAGATACCTAAGTATTAAATATTAAGTATTAAATTAAGTATTAAATTTCATTTTTTCATATTGTGGTTGATATGATATCGATAGGTTTCTGGATTGGTTGTTATAAGAATTGTTTCAAATGGAAATTCTCTTTCATTGTTTTCCTATATCTTCCGTTGTATGCTTATCTGGCATCTGGCAGTGTTTGATGCTTTAAGGATTTAATGAATTTATAGCTCATCGTGTATCACGTTTATTGTCTTTTAATTTTATCGGACGAGAGAAAAGTGGACTGATATGCTTGAACGATTGGTGGATCCACTGAAAATGCGAGAAATCGTTTATTTCGAGACATTCATTCTTTATTCTTAGCTACCAAATCGAGCGTTGTTGTTTTTTCACTTAGTCGAATAGAAATTTTTTTATAGCTTATTGATAGTGCATACTGTATAGATCATTATTATTGCATATATATAAATATATCTGTGCTTTAGAAGCGCTTACGGATTTATTTGCAAACATTCGAAGTTATATTGTATAAATTAAAGAAATTTAAACCTGTAATTTTGTAAACCATCTAATCTTTAGCAGTGTGGTAGATTGTGCGGAAAAAAGCCATATCGCCCTATTTGTTAGATTTGGTATATAAAGCGGCGCTGGATAATTGACAAGTTTTTGTTTTATGTTTTTTTGTTAGTTGTTTTTTTTCGTTAATTCTTCAGATTTCAAAAATGTCTGATTTATTTTTTTGTTTCGTTTTAATTGAATTAATGGTTAAGATTGTGTCAAAGACAGGATTAGATATGGTATCTTTCATAACACCTATTTTCTTTATAAGCTAAAAGGATCATTTTAGGATCGTTTGAGGGATTTGGAAGTTTTGGGAGTTTTTGTGGGTGTGACATAATATTTGTGCTTATCATGCTGATTTCGAATCTTTTTATTAGCCTTTTATTTTTGCAACCATGTCTTATTCCACTCTTCATCGTAAGTTTGTTTTTCTCGCTTATATCATGCATTATTTCAACAGTGTATTAGTCCTTTTTTGCATAAATGGTTTATTCGCATAGTATGGATACCTTGTTCAAAATCCATGCCAGCGAATATTTTTGTATAAAATCTGCTGTAAATTAGGTATTTTTTTTGTCTTAACAGTCGGGACATGTTGATTATATATCTGTTTGGTGATTAGTTAGCTAGTTAGATAATATTTTGCTCACGCTTATTATTGAATATATTTTTCTGTGGTTGTATTATTTGGAATATTTAAATATTTCGCAATAAAAAAAATTGTATTTCGTAATTTGACATAAAACTGCTTAATTTAAATAATTCAATTCGATTTCGACTTAATGAATTCTAAATGGATTTGCAATTTTAGTAAATCAATGTAATTATTTATGATGAATCGAAGAAGTATAAATTAATAGAGTTTTTGTTGAATGATGAATAAAGATTTCGAAATGATCAGCCATCGCGAAAATAACTCTATTTTTTTCACTGAGCCACAATCATTTAGATAAGCGTCAAAACAGCGCAATATTTGATGTGATAATTTTTTTTCGCTATAGTAATCAACGGTGGATAATTTCTGGATACACTTCATTTTTACTGGCTATCTTTCACAAACAGAATAGTGCAGTGCAGTCAGATAGATGCTAATCTTTCCTTTTTATGCTGATTTTGCAGCGATTTCGTACTGGTTTTCTAGGGAAAATGTATTTCTAGCTACATTCGGGCTTAAATTCATCTTTCGCTTGACCATTTGGTATAAAAGTGGACCAAACATATTTAAAATCCTTTCATCGTCAAAGGCTTTGAAAGAATTTTTTCTAATTTAGGGTCTGTTAAATTGCGGGCAAATTTCAGTAGAAAAACAAGCAAGTAAATGGTTATCGCCTATCATTTCTGATTTAACTAACCTTGTTTGTGAGTAGTAGAATTTTTGTCACGAAATCTTGGCAATAGATTACCATAAGGATCTTTAATGACAGGTCCTGTCGCAGCCTGAAGACAGGAGCCTTACCTATCACTGCAATAATCTAATCTATCCATTTATCTATCCTGTTACATAAACCACTAATAAGGTTGCCAAACCTCCTTTTTGTTGCTGTAACCCTCTTAGGTTTTTGCTGTAAGAGCATATCTTTGTAGTCTTTGCTGTACGAGTAATTTTAAATGAATATTAAGAGTAGAAGTGGGAGATGAAGAGGAATAATGACAATTAGTATATATCAATTTGGTGGACAATGTATTGCGAACATTCGCCATCCAAAATATGTTGCGGTCTAAGATTTTGAAATAGAAATCATTTCACGCAATTTATTGCACACATTCATTCGCAAACTGTTCGACAGAATAATTTTTCATAAACATTCTCGAATTTTAAAACTTTAAAATTTTAAAGAGAAGAGAAAAAGAGAATTATTAATACAATTATTTTCTTAGAATATTCAAATAAAAGAATATTAGCCTGAAATTTTAAATATAAAATATTACTTTTAGATGAACAAAAACTGAGAGAGGAAATTTCGGTATCAAATATTTGTTTCAATTTATTGAACTTATCTATTCGCTTTTTGTAATCTTGTAAATCTTGTAAAATTCCCTAGATTTGTCAAAAATTCCTAAATAATTGTATTAAAAAATAATTCAAAAATTCATTTGTATCATAATATTATAAATTATAAAGTTTTTTTATCGTTTGCTAGGATCAGTTTCCATTGCTCCATTAGGTCAATTTGTTGTTTACTCAGGTTTTTCAGTTTTTAAATTTTTCGGTATCAAATATTTTGCTTCATTTTATCATATTATATATATATATATATATTATTTTGCACGTTGTTTTATTTTTATTGTTATTTTGAAAGTAATAAAAATTTCGACTGATTGTTTTCTAAAATTCTCTAAAATCAAATCAAATCGTAAAACCATCGACGAGTACGTAAGTCACTCCTTTCAAATAATTTTCACGAAGAAACATAATAACCAAGAATAAATTTTAATTTCAAATAAAAAAATTATGATCAAATAAATTTTTTATACTAATACACTGCCGTTAAAAAAATTAGACCGCGTAAAGAAATTGGCGAAAATTCATTTTTATATAAATTTAAAAAATACAAAAATAAAAAGTTTTTGCCACAAATTTTCGAGCTAAATATAAATGTGAAAAAAACGTTATAACCGTTTTTAAATTTTGTAAGCGTTTTGTAATTATTTTTTATTTTCACGTACTGCTGATTTATTCTACAATATTCCTAATTTTTTATTTTACTATGGTACTTACTGGAAAAAAGGAAGTCCTCCCTTTTTCTGACCAACTAGATTTTCCATCACTACTAAAAAGGTTGAAGTTTTTATTGTCCTAAAATTTGTGTTCAAAAAAAAAACTTAAAATTTTACAATAAAATTGATTTAATAAGCAATTATTAGTTGATCAAATAATGAAAAAATTTAGTAAATTCATCAAACATTTTTCAAATTATTGAATTAATAGTTTAAAAGTTTTCAAATTTGTATTTTTTGTAAAAATTTCTAAATTTTTACAAAATTTTAAAATTTATATTTAAAAAATTTGCATATTTTTTCTATTAAAAAATTTTTCAATATTTTTTATAAAATTTAGATTAAGCGATTTTCTTTAATATTTTTCATTAAACAGATGTTTTCATTTTCTTATATTTATTAAAATTAAAGAATTATTTAGGTCATTAAGAATTAAGAAATATTGATGTCGTTAAGCGATTAAAAAACAGCTACATTGTTAGGTAGTATTTTGCTTTGGTGATTCGCATGAAATACTACGATATTTTCATGAATTATTAATCGCTTTCTTTCACTATAAATTTATTTAGGAAGGAAATGAAACTAGAAACACTACATGTCTGATTTCTGATCCAGCGATCAGTTCATGAAATATTAGATGATTAATGAACAGTTGATTAATGGTTTCGTGAATTTAAGGATTTAGGACAACATTTAATTTATCAACATAGTCAATAAGGACCAATTAGTAAAGAATTTGTTGTTAATAGGCTGCAATGTGATAGCCTTTGACGAATCAAGGAAAAAGGGAAAAGTAATTCGCTCTATGTGAGCATAAGATTGGAAAATTCACAGAAAGGCTTTCGACATTCAGGTGGCGCCCGCATTGCTTTTTGCTTTGCTTTTTGTTTCAGTTTTTGAGCTGCTTCATTCTAATTCATACTATTTTAATCTCGCCCAAACCAAACGGTCAAGCGAAAAATGGATTCACGCCCAGGCGCATTTTTCCTAGAAAATCTTTATGGAACCGCTAGAAAATCGGCATAAAAAGAAAATGCTAGCATCTGTCTGGCTGCATTGTACCATTCTATTTGAAACATAACCAGTAAGAATGAATGATGCTCCCGAGTTATCCAGCGAGATTACATGTCTAAAAAATTTTCCATGCTAAATGAGAGGACAGAGTCTCATAAAATTGCACCATCTTGAATCAACAATATAAGACCAGAACGCCACCGATGTTGGTAAAGCCATGTTGTTCATCGCCTATCACGGGAATTGGAATTTGATTCACATTGCTGGAATGACCCATTGCTATAAATGAACCATTTCTTCATGGAATCATACAAATTTTGATTAAGTCTACTTACTTAACGATAGAAGTACAAGTGAGACATCTGCAAAGAACAGATTTTTGAAGGATAGATTTACTTCTGCACCATTTTCTATTTAGAAACTTTTTCTTTGAATCATATCGATATAATGTGAAAAATGAAACATAAACCTTTATGAAGTTTTGCTTAGCTGGCAGTACAAATATTTAAAGAATTTGTTCCATATTGGTGTATTGAATAGTTTCAGTTAAAGCATAAATTGTTCGCTCTAACTCATTTTTACTGCAAATTAATTGTTGTCTTCCTAACTTTATAATAAATATAAATTCAAAGAATTTTTAACTCTTCGATTTGCCTCATTTTGAATTCGCAATTGAGAATTAGGAATTTGGAGAGAAAAAAAATGATATATTCTCAATACATATTGTTATGAAAAACATAAGAAATTAACCTATTTTCAGGAATTTCAGGAATTTTCTTAATTGATGCACTATTTTCAGTTTTCAAGGGCATTCTCAGCGCTATATAAATATTTATTGAATTTTGATTGGGAAAGTCACATTTAACTCTTTTCAGAGCGTTTTTTAATGTTAGCCCATTCATCGGCTATTTTAAATTTTTTGAAAATTTTTCTTATAAAATAAGATTAATGAAAAATCGGTAGAAAATGAAAAAAAAAAGACAAGTCAATTCCAAAATCTTTAAAATCTTTTTATTCTGCCATTATAAAAAAAGGCATTTCCTAAAACTGTATAGAAATTTACGATAATCAAAATAACATTCAAAACAAATTCCTAAAATCATCAAGAGGAACGAAAAGAAGAAAGAAATAATCCATGCAAAATTGATCTAATTTCAGGCCTATTGCAATTCTATCATATATTATATTAAAAACCATATGAAAAAAAAACAAAAAACTTATTAAATAAGGCGTGAATTAAGATGTAAAATTATACAAATATTGCTGCAATTACAAAAATTTAATTTAAATACAATAATTTTAAAATCTTTTTTTTTCACGTTAATCGTCTTCAGGACGAAGAATATCGAGGAATGGATTCTTACGAGGAAATTTTATTTTCGTTCTTCCTCTTGATGTTGATACATTCACTAAAATATATATTTCATTTATATTTAGCGTTTAGAAAATAAATATATTGTGGAATTTCACAAATCTTAAAAAATTTAATTTCTTGTTGCTTAGTGGCAAAAAGCTACTACTATAAGGTCGGAAATCAACAAATTAATCGAATTTTAGTAAATCCTTATCAACACTTATTATCAGAGGTGATTAATCGTAGAAGATGTTGTTAATAAGGCAATAACAACCATCTCAGATAAGTACATTCAGTGGCTTATTGGTGAGATTACAAATCAACAAATGGATTCAGATAATGATAAGGTGGCAACACCAATAGAAAGATAGATAATAGCTAGGCGAAATCCAATCAAATAAGAAGTTTATGTATAGCAGCCTTTCACAGTTCAAAGAAGGAGAAAAAATCGCTATGGCCGAAGAAGTCAACAAGGGGCTATGAGGCAGACCTATCTCAAAACTGATTATCTCAATAGAATTTACTTTTGTTCGGGAATGTTACTTATGAAATGGCATATCTTACTGTTTTACATTTCAGTTAAAGAAATTATGAGCGATTTATTTGTAACCTTGCCCTGATTTTTTAAACGAATTATTCTAATCTTATTTAATTTATTCAAGATTGTTAAATCCTAGAAACAAAGGATTAATAATTACAATTAATTGAATTAGGAACAGAATGATTGGTTTAGCATATTATTGCTTTCATTTCTGAGCGCCTGGATTTGCGCTTTCAACTAGAGTAAACCATTCAAAATTCGGAAAGGTGTCGAAGAACTACACTTAGTTCTGCTGCCAGTGACTACTTGGCAAAACTTTGATCCGACTAAACCAGTGCAACGAGCTTAACAAAAAATGATAACTAAAGAAAGAAAAAAAAATTAGCGAAATTATCACCGTTAATTGTACAGTTAATCCATTCATTGAGGGTTATCCTTCTATTTCCGTCGACGTCACAAAATCTCATAAAATTCCTACCACATTTTCTAACTCTGTTGAAAAGTTTAATCTCATTCCTGTATCCTTTCCATTCTTTTCTTTCCAGAAGCTAAAATTTTTTTTTTCAATTTTGCTAATTTTAAATTGACAAAAGTTAAGTTCAACTAAAAGAGTGATGAATTCAGAAAATGTAATTCACATTATTTCTATAGATCAGCGTTTCCCAAATTTTTTTTGCCCATTTGAGTTAAAATTGTTAATATTTGCGAAAATTACTAATATTTTAAAAAGTTACAATATAAATTTTAAAAAAAATTTTAAATTTTATAAATAAAATAAATTTAAATAGATTTTAAAAAAATGTTAACAAAAATATGATCGATGTTTCTGAGCCTTTAAATCACAAATTCGTTTAATATCAAATATGTTAATCGAATACAGAGTCGAATCAAAGAGATCAAATTCGTATCCATATTTGATTTTTTTCGGATAATGTGAAAATTGTATCTCACATAAATAGGTCGTAGCAAATGGAAGAAAAGAAGAAAACTTTTGTGGTTACCATTTACGGACATTTCGTGGTGATTTAGACCATTAGACCATAGTCAATTTTCATTACTTAGATGGCACATGGGTCATTTATTGGCGGACCATATTTATGAAAAGGAAATAGCGCGATAAATTAATGCCTTCTTTTTCTTAAAAATATTATTGCATATGATATTTTGGCTAGCATTGCAATCCCCAGTAGCAATAACGATGATTATTATATAGAAGCCCACAAACCCCATTTTTGTTAACGTCAAGTTGCTCAAATTTCCAGTGAACAGCTTTATCCTTATTTGTTACAGAATTATCGACCAAATCTTCTCCGACAGTTAAAATCCAATCACTAATTAGCGACGAAAATAAACGTTGGAAGAATTTTGCTTTCTTCTTGCCTATACAACCTGCAATATTATTTGAAAGGATTATTTTAATGGAAAGCAAATAGCAAATGCTGGTAATTAAGAGTTTTTGGGTATGGTCTGCCTGGATTATGGGTAGTCTTCCTTTCTGTCTCCAAATGGCTACTGAAAAAGGTATTTACTATTCAAAACAGAAATGATGATTTTCGCTAGAAGACAAAAATGAACAAGAAGGGGTGAATGTTTTTTGTAGAATATGCGAGCATTATTAAATAATCCAAGTGCTGGCAATAGAGAACCATATATTTTCCAATTTTCCAAAAGTACCTTTAATTTCTCGGTTATCAGCATTCAATGTAAAATTTTTGCGACTACAGTCTGGTTTAGCATTATACTTTGAAGTGCCGAGGATAGGCACTCCAGTTTCTGGATTTACACACCAACAGAACTGTGATAACCGATGGCACTGAACTTCGTCGTACAGTCTACAGCACATGTGATTATGATTATGAAAACCTATTCAATTTATCAATTTATCAATGTTATTAGTCGAAGCCGTAAATTTATGCTAAAGATCCATTGCAATTTTAAAATCCTCAAGATGGCAATTACAAAACCATTTATTTTTATAATTAAAATTGTGGAAAATAATCTAGTTATAAGTAGATAGAATGGCTCAGTGGGTTACTCGATATTAGGGTTCTGTTCTTGACAGACTGAAATCTGAAATAAGCAAACCTGCCTTTTAAAAATCCGAGTTAGCGATTTATCTATAATTTTGCCAAATGACGGCAAAATATGCCAGCAAAGTAAGCCTAATCAGAAATGCTAAGAAAAAAGAAGCAGTCAAAACAAAAATGGAACAAATAGATGAAAAAAAAAATGGATAAAGGGATCACTGAATTATGCGAACAATAGGCCAGATTACCATTCAATTAGCTTTTAAAACTGGTAATCTTCTTTTCATGAACATGAAAAAATTTAGTTCCATGCATTCATTTTTAGGTTATTGTTTTTTAGGTTATTGTTACAGTAATTGATTTAAAAAGATCAAGTTCATATTTTTATTATTTCATATTCTTGTTATAAAAGCTATCAAGTTTTATTTTTATTGTGGTTAAAAAAGACAATGAAACATACAAATCACTCTCGCCAGTGCATGTAGGAATGTAATTGCCATTTTGAGGGTTGTTTTGCAATTGCAACATAGCCTTGGCCCGCTGTGTACGGCAGTCTGTACTTTCTGAAAAAATGATAGCGATATGATTAATTACCAAAATAAAATTTTGGCTTACTATCAGCAGTTTCGGCTAGTTGAATGTCGAAGGTTTCTTCAAATTTTTGCAAAAAAAAACCCCATTTAAATTCACTCACTTGGAAATTTTCGAAAAAACAGTTCACTTTTCGCTATCAGAAAATTAACCTATTTCCTCTTCGGTGATTTCTTTTCCTCCCTGTTCAATCATTTCGTTCTTTTCGTTACGAAGTTCCATAATCTCATTCTCACTTCCATTAGAAGTTTGGTATGAATAGTCTATAATCATTTTAACTCTATTATTATAAGTTTTAAAAAATTATGATAATCATATTTGGTGAATTTTAAAAATAAAAATTAATTTTAACGATATAATTTTTGTCAACCACAAAAAATTTGGCTGACAACGGCAGATGTTTTCTGATTTTACGACTACTAAGAATTGCTCGATGAGTTAGTGTTAAAGCGGAGGCATTTAAAAATAATTTCTTGCGGTCAGATAAATGTCTAATAATGACAAAAGTTTTTCCACAATAGAAAAATGTTATGTTCATATGGATCATATTAAGGATATAATAAATGTCCTATAAGTTTTGCGAATATTGATAATTTAACATAGTTGTAATCGCTCATCCTTATTATTTAGCTCAAAAATACGCTCCTTCCTGTTATTAACTGTTATTGACTTTAGTTAAAGGAAAACCCTAATTCGACAACGGTTGTGCTAATTCCAATACATCATTATAACTAGCGCCCCATTCATTAGGTAGCAGAAAAAAAAATAAATCAATGTTTAAAATTTTTATCATTATTAATTAAGTTCCATTTGAATTGATCTGGGCAAAATAATTACTATCATTCATTTAGATTTAGCTAAATCCTTTGATACTGTAATAAGTTAATCAGTTCAATTAATCGCTTAGGTTTTACTAGTAATTTTCTTATTTAATAATAGCATACCTGTTGCTAAAAAAATTTAAGTGGTCTGGCTATCCACTTGTTCTTCCGCCAAGTGACACCATGGCAAAATATGTTGGTAGCCAGAAGTGCAAATATAACTCCACTTACTTCTTGCTTATAATATATACTAATATTACGTGAATTGCTTAACTTACTTCCTTCAATTTATTTCAGTTAAGTGAGACATATGTCAAAATAATTGCATTGGCGACACATTGGTTATGTTACTAAATTGCCTAATTCTGATATCTTTTGCCTGCATGCTGATAAATGTTAAATTTTTTATTCTTAAGAAGTATATAAAAAATGATATTAATAGAATAATTTATTGCTTTTAGGGCAAATTAGATGAATGTAAGCATTTGCATATTAAATTGAAGTCGCTTCGATCTGAATGAATTGCGTAATTTATCATGGAATAGCTATTTATAAGGCATTTTAACATTGGTTTTAATAGCCAAATAATAATAATCAAAAATCATCGTTTAAAACTTTAAAAAAACTTTAAATCTATTATCTAATTATTTAAAACCTTTAAGAATACATATGAGCTTTAATAAAAATCGTTATTTTCTGATATTAACATAAAATGTTTTATTATTATTTTGATGGTTTTTTTTTAGTGCTTCTGTTTAATCTTTAAATTAATTTGTACCTTGTAATTACCATTTTTTTATCGCAATTTTACTATAATCCAAGCCATTAGCCATGTTTGGACATAATTTTAATATAAATAAATAAATAATAAATGAATAACCAAAATTCTATGAAAATCGAAAGAAATGAACAAAATCTGATATACATTTATAAAACAATTTTTATTTTTCATTAAAGTCGAAAAGTAACAAGACGCAAGAAGAAATGCTTAAATCTATTCTATAAAATTGATCTATTGAAAATTTTTTTATGCTATCAATTAAAAGAATTAAAATTAATTAAAATCAATTAATTTTTTATGCTATCAATTAAAAGAATTAAAATTAATTAAAATCAATTAATTTTTTATGCTATCAATTAAAATTACTTAGTGACCGACGTTTTCTTTGCTATTTCTGTGAATATTTTTAAGAATAAATTGTATTTGCGACTTTTGTTAGCTGATAAATTTTTAGGATATAAGAATGATTGTCGCTTAAATTATCGCCTTGAGCGCTCGGATTCTGCTTTCGATCTATCATTAAAAAATCCAACAATTTCACAGTCTATTTATATTTCTGTCTTAAAGTGACTTAATGGAAAAAATTTTTCATCGAAATAATTCAATAAGTCAGAAATGAAAAGCGTTGACTTATATTTTTTGACCATTGACTTATATTTTTTTAATCTTGGTTCAACAATAGTTTTAACTGGTTTCATTTTTTGTTTTGCTTATTTTTATTTTGTTGTTTTTAATAATAAAATCACTTTGCCTTAAAGATTAAATTGCTTATTAAATGAATATACAAATATAAAATTTTGTAGATCATTTGCCTTCAATCATATATATATATATATATATATCAGATTCTTTTAAAAATTTTCTTTCACTATTTTAGTCGAAAATTTAAGAAAATTAATGAAAATAATGAATAAGAAAAGCTAAATAAGCTGAAGAAAGCATGTTTTTTGTAAGAAAATAAAATTTATTTATTTAAATATTATTTAAAATTTCTGAAAAAAAGTTTAAAAAATGATAAAAAACCGGAAAAAAAAATTAGATAATTTTTTTCTTAGTTTTTTTCAATAAGCGATTTTTAGTAAAATCGACATTGATTAGCTAAGTGATAATGAATGTACTAAAGAATCTAAAAGATAAACCAGAAAGATAGGCAAATTCTTTACTAATTGATTCTCCTTCTACTGAAATGATTCACAGCATAGAAAGACTTATTAAATTGGACTAATTCGTTATTATCAATATTGCTAGTTTTAACATTAAGTCCATTATTCTTTAGAAAAGCACCACTTAAATAGGTTAGATGTTAATTAGAATAAATATATTGTTAATATGCCAACTGACTTTATTAGCGTTGAATCGAATTTAATACGGTAGTTTCACTTATCATATCAAATGGCTCAACAAATAATAACCATATAACCATATAAAAAAAAAAGATAAACAAACATTAAACATTCTACTGTTAAACATTCTAATTAAACATTCTACTGTTTAAAATTGAAAATATTTTTTAAAAATGTCTTTAAACTTTAGAAATCAATATAATTTAGCGGAATTTCACTAAATTTTCATTAAAGTTTATTAATTTTTAATAAAATTGCGTTAAATGATTACCTACCATAGATACTAAGAACTCTTGGCAGGGAAAATTATCTCTCAAAAAGCAACCTATTCTTATATTGACAAATAATTCCTTGGCAAAATCTAATTAGGCTCAATAAGCCAGCCGAGTGAGCCTAATTTAAAATGTTAAGAAATAATTCTTAAAAAAAAAAATTGTTCGTTGCAATTCTTTTATTTATATAAAAGAAAAATTTGTTACGTGCAAAATGTCTTTTTTTTTGTTGAAATTATAGAATACTAAGTGAATGTGTTATCATTTATATAAGCATTCGTGATATTATCAAAGTAATTTTACTGCTTTGCTGATGAACATCGAAAAGTCACCTTTTAAATGGCAGCGAACGATTAGATTTTTTTCACATACTTACTATCCGTTGTGCCTTTCCTTATTTCACTTAGAGAAATGGTACGAGCAAAAGCAATGATAAAGTAAGAAAAGTATGCAGTGATAAAATATAAATTTTAGCAGCATGATATAAAAAAAGACCATCAGCTTTCATCACCATAGATCCTGAATTCATATATGCTCGTAGAGAAATAGCTGGACGACCTTCTGCTATTGGCGCGTGAACCAAAGTGGCACCTATGAATAGAATAAAATTGATAGAAGCCATTTAGGTGTGCCTTTCAGTTATCCTTCATCGTTCAGCTATCTTTGTGATTTCTTGAAGAAGTGAAAATTGTTCCAGTAAACTTTCTAAATCTATTGAATCATAATGAGAAGTTCTGTATAGAAATTTGATAAATAATCGAATAATCGGTAGGAAAATTTAATGAATGATGGATGGATTAATACGGTTTAACGACGATAGATATGCATACAAACATATGTTAATTAATACTTTCATGAATTATACGACCATTGAATATGAATATTAGTCAATTAATATAGTACAGTACAGTATAGAACTGATTCAATCTGAAACTGCCTTAAACTTAAATGAAGTGAGTTGGTTAGACGAGAATGAGTTAAATTCTCAACTGAAACCGCCAATCTAAATATAATATAAAGATTATAACTTAATAAAAATTTATAAAATAAGAAATCTTTTTAAAATATCCTTTAAAATAATTATCTAAATATTTTCAGTGCAAATAACATTTATGACGCGAAGCGGCAAAAGTAAAATGGGGTACAAAATGAGTGGAAGCGAGCCAACTACAAAGTAGTTTCTTGTTTTCATAGTTTCGCGACAGCTTATCACTGATTAAAAAAATTAGAATGCAATAAATTGGTTCATAAACTCGAGTAAAAATACTCATCAGATATCAACTAAGAAACAAACTAGCGTGAAGAACGTCATCGTAGAACGACAATGAAATCATTAGATGTGTTTGCTGAATGAAGGACGGTGTCAGATTGCATTCAAGATTACCATCAGATAAAAAAAATCAATTTTAATCAACATATATTATTGATTTATTTGTTCTCTTTATATTTATATAAAATAAAAAAAGTAAATTTTTGAAAAAATTATTCTAGATTTATTGAGGGAGAAAAAAATAATATTAATTCATGAAAAATTTATTTGCAAAATTATTTAGCATTTAATAGTTTTAAAATTTTCTTAAAATATTCTTCACATTTTCTTTATAAACTAAATTTTAATTTAAAAAATAGCGCGGCGCTTAAATTCGCCTAAATTCGCTAAATTGCGCAATTTTCACTATCTAAATTATTTGTATTCTTTTCAATACAAAATGGATTAGTGAAAAGGCTTTTCAATGAGATTTAGCATCTAAAATACGCCTAACAGTATTTTATGAGTTTTTTTGTAAATTCATTTATGTTCACGTTCTTAGCACAGCATTATTTAATTACGCATCCTGAGGTTAAATTTATAACCATCGGATGGATGAAGCACGTTTACGATTTTCATTAATGACATAATAGACGAGAAAAAACAAATATTTCAAATGCTATGTCAAGAAGTTGAATAAAACCTAATGAGTACCAAATAAAGCAATTATAAATAATCTTTTGTAGAGTAATGTGGTAGTAAATGCATTATGATGAAAAATACAGAAGTATATATATATAGTAAAAAAGCTTACTATCGATGAAGTAGGACGCATGACCTGGAAAAAAAGGTAATTAGCGACAACTTTCTTTCATATTACAAATAAATGAAGTACGTTTCTATCAAAGTTGCTTTTTTTTTAATGCTTTTGCTATTTTTTATTAATCGCTATGAAATATTTTCTTTTGAAATATTTTTTATTAAAATTGAAAAAATTTCAAAAAAATCGCGCAAAGAAAGGAAATAATTGCAAAAAAAAAAAAAAAAATTTACTGATTAAATCAATCCTTAGGCACAACAACCATTCTTTATAACTGATAGTTTTGCCCTTGTCGAAATCACAATATCGAATAAATTTTTGTGCGCATTGCTGCGGAGGAATCGTTCGTCTTAAATCGATGTATAGCAATTTAATTATTTCAAATTTTAGTTAAAAAAAAAATACTAATAATAATTTAAAAAATTTTTTTAATAACCTTATAAATCGTAAGAATTTTCTCATTTCCTTCTTGCTTAATTGTTCATCATTATTTTTATCCAAATTTCGAAACTTCCACTCAATTATTCGTTGATCAAATAATGAAGCTGTAATTTTATTATTTTGCTTGCCTTGCTTTGCTTATTAGTTTGCTTTCAGATGCTGAAAAAATTTAGCTGAACTTATTAATTAGGACTTATTTTCAGTTAAATTAAATTCTAATATAGTTAATTAATAAAAAAAAAAATTTTTTTTTTAAATAAAATATTCAAATATATTAAAAAAAATATATTCAAATCAAATTCAAATTAAATTCAAGGTAGGCTATGCTTTCATCATTTTTTTTTTTTTCTACATGTTCCACACGATTATTTTCATTTGATAAAAAAACCTCGTTCAACTGTCTCTTTTAGAAATTCCTCTTTTATCATCGTTAATAGATTCATCGTGAAATCCCAACGATCATTATAAGTGCAACCTATAAGCAAATTTATATTCATTATGGATGGATTCTTGTTATTTAATATATAAAATATTTTCGCAAAAATTTACGCTAAACGGTGTTTAATGATGCCAATAAACAGTAATTAATAAACAGTAATAATTAAAGCAGAAAAAAAAAGCAAAAGTATATATTTTAGCGAACAATTATCCATATTTTAGATTCTACTATTTTAATTAAATCTTAAGCGAAGTTCAATTTGAATTCAAATATCGAAAAAAGAAATGAAAATTCCGAAAGTATTGAGATTTAAGGAATTTAAAATTTTTAAAAGCCTAAAATAATATTTGAAATATAATAACTGACTAAATAAAATAATTGACTAGAATATTTCTATTTTCATCAACGACAAAATATATATAACCGATTTTTAATATTTTCACTAAGTTTCCAACATTTCCAAAATTAGATTTGTAAAAACAGTGGTAAAACTAAAATAACTAAATATTTACGTTGAAGAAGTCTATTTTCGCCTATTTTATTCAATTTTCAATTTGCCTTACTCATTCGTTTATAAGAAAAATAGCGAAAAAATTTTTTTAAAAAAATCTTCATATAATATAAATCAAATTCATTAAATAAACGATTTTTTCGATATGAATTTCATTTATTTGCCAAATGATGGCTTTTTATAAAATTTCAAATACTATTGTCACCATTATTATTGGAAGTTTCATTGGAAATCCATTGGCTTGATTGTCCTTCAATTATTGCTTAAATGAAAATATTTTTATATTAATAGCTTAAAATTTAAAATTAGCTGATGATATAAGTAAATAACTAAGCGGTTAGCGATCATCATTTCTGCTTTGCTGGCTGTTAATACGGTTAGAAATTTTTATCAGAAAATCACTCGGTAACAGAAATAGAAAAGTGGATCGATAACATTTTAAGGATTTTTTATTGATAAAATATGATTTAGTCTATAGTTAGCTAAACTTTAGGCTTTATTTTTATGAGATTAGTAAAAAATTTAAAGAGAAAAAGAATCTAAACTATGATTCTATCCATGAGTATACTGTAGGAGAATTCTTTTTTTCTGAAGAAAATTCTTATCTCGACAATTTTTTTAAGAAGCTTTTTGAAAACTATTTTAAAAAAAAAAACGAACTTGAATGGGTGCAATTCGGTTTGGCATTTTTAACGGATGTTAATGGTAAAGGTCGACCTAATCGTGTTACGCACCAACAATATGAATAGGTTGAACTATTGTGGCACTTAAATAGGTGTATATAAATGTGGAACTTAGTTTTATTAAAATCTTATTAAAATCTTTTAATAATACAAATATTTTATTCTTTTTGTGGGAAGAGAAAATTTTATTTTTACTTTCTTAATCGATTGCAAACCCGAGTGAATGAAAAAATTAATTCCTGGGAACTTCATTATGTTATATTTATTAGCCTTAAACAAATCCATAATAATATAATAAAAATAATACAGCACCTGTACAGGTAAGTAGGAACCATCGGTTTCATTACACTCTGGTATAAAAATATTCGTATTGTTTAACTGTAATGCTCTACTCGATTGAAAACTTCTTTCCAAAGGACATATCAAATTTTCTGGATTAGATGGCATTAATTTTTATTTAGTAGCATATAAATATTTTTTCTTTTGCAGAACAATTTTTGAAAAAAATATCCTAAAATATCCTAAAATTTTTCCAAATTACCTGGACATTGGCCAGGAAGATGCTGTTTTATTGGATAACCTTGACAAATCGCCATTTTGATTTCACAGGAAGAATTATACGTGCGGCCATCATTCCCACATGCAATCATCATTTTCATATCATCATCATTACAAATCACTGAACTATCACATTTGCCACTTAGATCAAAATGAAATGACTGAAAAAAATGATAAACTACTCTATTCTGAAAAAAGATTTGTTTCCTGAATATTTATGTTTTTTGCAGAATTTACCAGTATCTGGACTGCTAATTTTTTGGTGTTTTCACTACGATAAATTTCATTGATAATAATTATGTATGAAAATCACTAATACTACAAAATCAAGCATTTTACAGAATAATGTTGTATTATAGTTTATTATGCAGCTAGAAATTTAAATGATTTATTCATCGAATCGAATTGAAGTACCAAAAGATTTAAAAATTTCAAAGTTTAAATAATTTTTATTCAAGTAGAATGTGCGAAAATTCACGATAAATATCATGAATTCCAGCATACTTTTTCTGTGCCATACCTTAACTTTTTCTTCCTTTGAAAACTTAGTTTCTAGTTATATTCACTAGTGTGCTAAGAACCTTTCGCCAAAAAATTCTAGGTAAACGACGAATGTTTAGCAGTCATTCGGATTTTATTTTTAATTAATTTCTGAAAAAGAGACAAAAATCAAAGCCATAGTTTGCCTTTAGCTAAAACCATAAATGATTCAACATCTTACTCCCACCTCTTAATTTTGATAAATAAATATTTAATCATTTATTATATTAAAGTTTTTGAGAAATGAGATAAAGCATGTTGACATACCAAAGGATTACTATAAATTCCTTGGATTAATGATAGAGCGAAAATATATCCAATCATTGATAATAGCGTTATTCTCATAATTTTCATGGCAATCATTGCATATTATTGCTAAGAATTATATAATATCAATAAAAATTAATTAAAATATGACGATTTTACTAACGGAAAAGGCATACTATAAGTCAATTTCTAGGCTAATTTTATATGTTACAAATAAATTACCTTATTTTTTTTTTTTAGAGTTCAAAAAATTTAAAAAATTACTTCTGTGAATCTGCTTCTTTTGTTCAAAATTTAAAATCCAAGTGAAAATAAAAATAGAACCTACTGTTTTCAAAACAAACAAACTTGCTTGCTTATGACTAATATATATTTGTATATGTATATAAAATAGAATACGAAAAGAATAAGCGATATTCAAGCAGCAAACAAGCTTAAATGAGCAAATGATGCAGCTGTGACTTTTTTTTTCGTTCGAATAGATTGATAGATAGATAAGCAAAAGATTTTAAATAACTAGAGATTCATTTACAGTTTTTAGCCTTACGAAATTTGGTTAAATCATGCTTATCATTATGAGTCATGAACGACAATGATAAGAGATATATTAAAGACACTATGTCACTTTTCTACAAATACATTCACACTAATAAATAAATATTACTTCAAATTTCATAATTTTTATGACATTGTTTTTGAAAAAAAAAATAAGAGTGAAATTATCACAAAATAATCCTATCATATATGATTTCTATGATATGGACAGTAAGGTAAATGGCTACATATTGTTATTCCTGAAAGTCGATAAAAAACTTTTGAATAATTTTCTAGGATCATTCTCGCTAAGCATAGTGAGACGTGGAAAATAGTATTGGTTATTTGAAACCTGCGTCATTATCACCCTTTCAGAAAGGTAGGAAAAGTATATAAGGTTGAAGGGAAGTGACAAAGAAGACAAGCGATGATGACATGAACAATTCAGAAATACGGTAGCTATTCATTTCCATTCGTAGATAACCCTTCCTTTGCTCATACTTAAAAATAGTCGCAGATAAAAGTAAGAAAATGCGAATGAAAATAAAACAGAGAAAATATGGCCGGATAAGTACCGAATTCCACATCCATAGACCGAGGCCTAGAATCCTATATGACCTTAGAACTTAACATTCATTTACTACTAATAAAAAACTAGGAGATATAGTGGCACTGATAGAAGATTTAATGACCTCTTTCACTAGCGACGAAATAGGAGGGAGTCTAAAGATCTCGTTCGCTAATGAAAAAATAAAGTATGGACTACGAAAGATGATAGGAGAGGAGATTTTCCTACGGAATACTGTTCGAACCGTAAAAACTTAAGTATTACAGTGCAAAAATCGATGATTTACAAATATTAATATAAAGTTGAGAAGGAAAAGGAAAAGGTAGCAGCTTACAAAATCTTGTTCGCATACAGGAAGGAACTAAGTCCGACAATCATCTGATCTACAGTATCCTCTTGAAAATTTGATCAGATTTCAGTAATCGGCAATAAAGCAAATTTCTGAAACGATGATCATTAAAATTCATCAAGGCCAAAAGCATATGCATAAATTCAGCAATCTGTAAAAAATGCTTTTTAGTATTGAATGCTATTAAATGCTTCTTTTTTTTTGGAAGAATTTATTGATAATATATAAATTTATTTGTAGAGAAAAATGCCATAGAAAAATCAAATAAATTTGGCTAGATTTAATCTGATTCCTTCGATTTGTAAAAATTACCATTTATAAATTACTGATTGACTTTACTCATTCAATCATTGATTAATGAGCTTATCAAATAAATCGCCTAAGGCATAATAGACCATATAAAAATTCAAAAAGGCAAATAAATAAAATTATTTAGGTGAAAATGGTGAAAATGTGATTTAGGTGAAAATGGTGAAAATTCTTCAGAAAACCACCTTGGATTCCAAATTAATACAGATAAGAAGAAATTTATATTTGTCAGACGCTGATAAAGCCATTACATAGTAAATGTGGTACCACTGATTAAAGAAATGCCGATTTTTAAATGCTTTGCATTATTATGAAGGTAACGGAATTCTATCTCGGTTAAATGTAGCTAGGAATGCTTCGGTCTGATGCATGATATAGCTAGCAATTTAGCAAATGTCTATATTTGTCTATTGCAGAGTGCCCAATCCTTCTATACGAAACTTGAACACTAAGAGTCGATGATACCAAGAAGCTACTACTACCATCTAAGATGAAAATGTGAGTGAATAACACCTTCAACGACTGCATACCTCTTAGCTGGAATACAACCTGTATTAATAACTTTATCTACTCTGATTGGGACAATTACTCATCGCACCCTTGAAAATTTGGTGCACCACTGAGTGTGCATCAAGCCATGTGATGGATGAAATCAAGATATAGATTGATAAGGGATAAGATAGATTTCAAACATATAGAAAGCTCATCCATAATAACTTCTGTTATTTTGCTGGCGAAAGAATCGAGAAATATGCAAACGAAAGATTTTAAGGCACCTCATTTCTGTCGCAAATGGAGCCAATATCACCGACAATTTCACCATTACGCGATTTATAGGAATATAAGAATGATGCATAGCCAGGTGATATTTTTTATTTCATTCAATTCGAAAACACGGAAAATAACAAAATACAACGAGCTTAGAATGATAAGAAAATGATAACAAATAAAATTCAATAAAATAGATAAAATTCAAGATCGACTCACTGACTACTTAACCAATTTCTCTTGTTCTACATAAAGTGATTAAAAATTTAGTCAGCGAATTTTTTATCCGCTGGTACGGGCTTGAATTTAGATGTAAATTCTTCAATTTCCTTCCTAATTGTACATTCCTCTTCAGCTAGAAACTTGTAAATCACAACGAACATCTCATCAAGTGTCTGCATACTCAACTGAGATAACTTCGTCTCATCACTGATAAAAGAAGCGAAATCTGTTTCTCTATGAGGGAACCACTCTCTGAAAATTAAACATTTATTTAAAAAATAATTTATCCATATTATCGAATAAGGAAAATGATTTTTTTTAAGTCGATTTTAATCCATTCAATCCAAAATTTATGCTCGATATGAACCAGAACTAAGCCGCGAGCAGCCAAACCTATCTTATCAACTTTTCTTGAATACACTTATGATTCTGCTTAATTTACAGTAAATCAAATTGTGCCATAAAGCTTTCAACGAAAATAAATTCTAATATATTTAATTCAGATATATATATATATATAATATATATATATATAAATAAATAACCTTAATTTGGAAAGAAGTTTACAGTTTATCGTTAATTTTCCTGTAATTTTTGTCCAGAAAGCATACTTCATGAGTACATCAGCAACATCATCAAATTCTTCACAGTTATCATAGCTATCATAGCTAAGCAAATTCATAGCTCCAATAGAAATAGCTTCTTTTGGTTGAATGGTTATTCCATACAAAAATCCATTTGAAATATTCAACTGAATTTATATGGAATAAAAAATTTATTATAATTAGTGATTTTCCAGCTCATCAATCTAATTTTTCTTGTTGGTTAGTTAGTTCATAGGTTATGAACGGAAAAATAATTTGAAAAATTAAGCGAAATTAAATGGCGTCTATAAAATCTTAATTTCCAATCAAGAAATCTTTGCGATTAACAACATAAATAAATTATCATATTTCTAAATTTTACAAACTAAAATTCCAGATTCCTGTTATTCCAGAAATCCTAAAATCCCAGAATATTTGCTTCACTCAATACCTTAAGAATATATATTTCCAAGGAATTAATGAAAAAACCGCTCAGTTATTATCAAAAACTTCGCAAATATAAATGCGACCCAGATAGCGCCAGAATCACACTTATACTTTTAGCCTCAAGTGATTCTCTTGTTGAGGAATTTCACGCTATTAGTAGAAATAGTGAATGATATTAGAAATCATCCACTGATGTGACCTACAAGTTTTACATTTCCTCTAATTGAGGAATAACAATAACAATTCACCAGATGAACTATAATCCGGTGGTATTGCAAACCCATTTGTTATAAATAACCTATAACAGAACTTATTTTCGCAATGTGATCGCAAAGACAAAATTATTTACATCAGCTAATTTTTTTTCATGAGCGATCGTTTTCTGAAGTGGAAAATGTGGCTGAAATGCATTTCGATGAATCCTTTTCATATTTACGATAGGTCGAATATTGAATATTTTATTTATGAACCATGATCGATGACGAAAGGCACGTGCCAGAAATTTAAGTGATGGCTCAATACTCGACAAAAGCATTGCATAATTTCTAAAAAAAAAAGTTAGAGAAAATCAGTAGTCAAGAAATATTTACTAAAATTCATTGAAATCTTCATTCAAACGTTTCGCTGGTCTATTCTGAAACAGGAAATTTCATGCTAAATCACTGAATTGGTTTCTGTTGATTATTGCTGAATCAAAATTCAAATTCAGATTGCAAATTCAGCAAATCTCGACTCCTCTGGAAATGAATTCTTTTCGTTTACTTAAATTTGGAAATGAAACCTATTACGCAACTAGAAAAAATTTTCTTCATCAAATCAAGCATTTAAGAAATTTGTCTAAATGAAATATCAGAATCTTAATCTTAAAGCATAAAAAATCAAAAAAAGGATAATAAAAATGAAAAAATAAACAAACCCCGCGGTAAGAAAAGTTATCAGCTGAACACTACCATACTTAAAAACTGTATCAGAGTTTAAACGACATAAATGTAACATCAGATCAGTAGTTAAAGAGTCAATCATCGATAACTGCTGATTAACAGTAGATAACGTACCAATAATGACTGGAGCATTAGAGACCCGACCGAATTCCTCATCTTAAAATTATTCATAATTAAAGTTAAGCCAATAATTATCTAGAACTTAAAATATCCTAAACAATTCGCTCATAAATTCTCTTATTTAATCAATGCAAACTAAGAAAGAATGAACAGATATGAATGGATACAATCACAAAATAACAATATATTAACAGTATATTGCCCTAAGGACACCATGGAGCAATTTATTAACGTCATAATCATAATCTGTAATGTCATAATTTAACTATTTGTGAAAATTCACTATGAGGATTTCGGGTGTAAAGCCATATAGGAAAAAAGTTGGAAACGTTTCTTCCTAAAAAAAAGCCTATAACCCTAGTGAAACTGAAAGACTGGAGAAACATCCAATTTCTATTTGCATTTAATAATTCGGTAAATTAAAAATAAATAAATAATAATTGTAATTAATAACTGATTCCTTTCCTATATTTTTTTTAAAAATTTTCTCAAAGTTTTGTATTTTTGTAATATCGTGATAAACATTTAAATTTTTATTTAAAAAATAAAAAGAAATCACAATTTAAAATTTCCTCTCTTTCCCTCTTCTTCTGTCACAATTTTTTTGCTCTATCTAATTTTTCACAAAAGTAAGTTTACTAAAATCCCAATGACTAATGGAGATCCACCCGGAGGCATCACCATAAATGATAAGCGCTATCCAATAATTCGTTTTACTTATCATTTACAATTAAATATTTGCCTAATCAAAAAATTATTTGCGAAAAAAAAGATAAATTAATGTGATGAAAAAGATTTTTAAAAAAAAATTAACCATATTTAGAAGGCTTTTTAAGTTTAAATGGATTAACTGCGTCGGAAATAAGTGATTTATTGCCGAAAAGAAGTTTCGTAGGAAAAGATGTTCGTTTTTTCTTAGTTTTCGATGGAAAAAGCGTATCGAAATTCGCTCGATATGCTTCAACATAGCGACCCGATTTACGAGCATTCTTCGCGAATTCCTATAAAATTTTTTTTTTAATTAAAAAAACAAAAAATTAAATTATTTCGATTAAATAAATAAAATTGTAAAAAATTTAGAAAAAAAAATTCCATTTATAAAAACTTATGTATTTCAAAATTTTTTTTCATATAAAAAGGAAAAATATTCCAAAAATTAAGAATAAATATTTTTGGACTTAACCAAACAATAATTTACTAAGCTATTCGCGCGTATATGTTCCCGGAAAAAAAATTCAACCCTATCTATTTCCTGCAAAATTTTGTAAAAAATCTCCTCAGTCCTCGTAATTAATATTAGTATCTAATTTTTTCTTTCGCTTACATACAAATGTTTACCAAATTTGAAGCGCTATTTTGCCATATATCACCTTAGAGCTTCGATTTTTGACGCAAGTTAAACACCATTGTAGCCAACTGGTGAATATGTTATAACGTATATAATTCCAAAATCCCTTCGACCTTTTTCAATACTTTATTATATCAATATATTTATTATCGATCAAAAATACTGTTTTCTTTTGTTAAAACCGGATAATTTTTTCAAACTCTCTTATACTATATAAAATACTCAAATACTCAGATCCGGTTTTGGCACACTAATGAACGGCTAAATCTCGTTACGCCCTTTTCGTTGCAATTCATTAATCCTTAAAGACTGGTTATACTCCATGTAAAATCTCATCTCATCGGGCTACACTTACATTTCCTACACTTCGCCAAAAGCTCGCTGTACCCTTTTTGCGATAATTCATTTTAACATAATTTTTAACCTATCTACCGCTTTAACTCTTCCAAATCCACTTTAATACTCAGTCCTCTTCATTTAATTCCTTCAAATTCCTTACTGAATTCTTACTGCACTTATAAATTGTAATATTTTTTAAAAAATGATATAAAAGCGTAGCGGCATAATGTCAGCAGTTGGAATTCTTCGAGAGTATCTATTGTAACCCTCCACATCCAAAAAATCTCCTTAGTCGAGTTTAATACTCTATACAATCGCATTAACATCCCTTCGTTAAGCCAATTTCAATTCTCCTCCCGATTCTCAACTCCTGAAACTCCCTTAACTCGATCCTCGTGCAGTACTCTAATAAACTATCCAGTCCTGTTGTATTATTCCATTTCGCAACATTGTGCTCTTTTGATATAATTTATTAATATCCTCTACGGAATTCCCTATAAAATCCCTGCCCGTACTACTACTACTGTAACCTTTCGATATGTCACAGTTTGCCGTATTTTGTGAAACACCTTTACAAACTCCATTTAATATTCCATGACCACCGAAAATTTCCACATATTCTCCTTGCAACAAATTATCTTTTAAAATCTCTTTCTAACACTTGATAATAGCTTTTATATTCTTGTTCACCCATTTCATACTCTTAATAGCCAGTTCTCGTATTTTAACCACGACTGTAGTTATAAATTACATAATTGCAAAATATACCATGATGGTGACTGGGAGCAAAAGTTTTGTAGCAAACGGAAAACCGAGGAAGAATTATATAAAATGAGTGGACTTGAAAATAGTATAACGGAGTCCGATGGATATAAAGGAAATATAATCGTTTCTAAGGATGCAACGTATAGGGAATGTTATGGCACGAAGAAGAATTGTCTGTCCAGAGAATGGGCCTTTTCACTAGTTCATATCATATTCCATTAATATCAAAAAAACAAAAATTTTTGGTTATTTATTAGCTGTTTTTTTCAAGTTTTTGAGGAAATTTTTGACAAAACGACTAATTAAATTCTAAAACAAATACTTATTGTCCAAATAAAAAATACAATACAAAAATTTAAAAAAAAATAAAATTTATTAAATCGAAAAAAGAGAAAACAACGAGAAATTTCTGCACGGCAATCCATTAATAATCAAATTCGCTTTAGGAAATATTCAAAGGTTGCATATTATTTAGAATGATGCAAGGCCCTCGTGGCATTATTTATGAAAGTTTTTTGAGATCAATTTCATCATTTTTTTTCAATTTTTACCTTTTTCTTTTTTTCTATTGTCTTTATTTTCTTGTGCTTTGCCATGTTACAAAAAAATTTTTGCTTGCTTCTTCGATCAGAATGTCATTAATCAACACGAAAGAAAAAACAGAAATTAGAGATTAAACTATATGTTTGTACTTTTGTGAATATTTCTTAAATCTGGATAAAAAATCTGAAGGAAAATCTATTGATAATTTCCAAAGTGCTTGTAAAAGACAATAAAGCTGAACGATAAAAAGATCAAACTTGTATTCAAATGACACAGAGTGAGAAAATTTACATATTTCGAAAATTACATGTTGATATTGTAAAGAATGAATATTAAGTCAACTGATTGCTCATTTGCGCAAAAATCCTAATAAATATGGAACGTTGGTAAATATTCGCTCACAAAATATTCTTGGCATTCAAAATGACTAACTTTCACAGCCAATGCATAATTATTCGACGATTCGACAAGACATAAACTGCCAACATTAAGCTTAATAAGTCGTTCAGCAAATCGAGTTGAATGAAAATTAAACAGTGCAATATTTAAATCTGATAACGATGTCTTATGAAAAGACCTTTCGAATAAAACTTTTATCAACTGAGCTGAAATATTTAGTAAAACTTTTGTGAAAAATTTAAATGTGAACAAAAAAAAGACTTAAACAAAATTAAATAGCGAAAGATTAAATCAGAAATATGAGATCAACTAGCATAACACTATTAAAATGCAGCCTCCATGAGCGTCGATGAGATGAATCCAGCGAGATCGATAAAAATGAAGTCGATAAAAAAAAATTACATTCAAGTTTTGTATTATCTATACCGATGCCAACACTTTTAGCGATTTTTATATCATTTTCATGCGCATATACATCTTTTCTCGATAGTGTTTTCGGCAGCACTTCTGGTTGTGAATTACTGTTGCATAATTCTGCGGTATCATCGCCACAAAGATTTTGATCGACATCACTATCATCATAAAAATTCTGATCGACCAAAGCATGAGTTTGCTGGAAAAACCAAAGCTGAAAACGAATAAAAAACAAGTGCATCTAAAAATAATTTGAACGCCTAAAAAACTCACGCGAAATTAACGCCCAATTTTTTTGACATAAAGCAAAGAAATTCACGTACAGTGATCGTGAACGGTTACGGCAATACTCCGCTCCGGTTTCCATTTTTTAGCGTTTAAGTTGTTTTAATTTTTTAAAATTGTTTCAAACTTTTAAATTTTAAAAACTAAAAGTTTTGAAAAATTTAGAAAAAAAGCAAAGATAAGAAGATATTTGTTCAATAATTTCTACATAATTTCCATAAAATTTCACAAACATAACTTCAATTTTTTCTCATTTTTACAGAAATAAATCTATCAACAAAGCAAAATCCGAGCGAGTGTCAAGGATTCATCTGTACCTCTATCTCCCAGCGACTCTACGGCTAAAGGGTCAATTAACTTTTAAATGACGACTTTTAAATGAGCGTATCATCTCCCTAACGCGATGGCACTTGAAATAAATATTCAGTCCAAAAATATTAATAGTGACAGGAAAAATGTATGTTCTCCAGCTTAGAAAATTATTCTAACCTAATTAATGAAATTAGGCTTTGTGCCTTGGCTGCAGTGAAACGTCAAAGCACTTATGGATGTCGATAACCATACTTTTATATTTTCAAATCGGAAAAAATGTTTTTTTTTTTCATTTGATATTCCAACGAACATTTTATGATATATTTTTTAAAATGTTTTAATTCCATTCTAAATTCCATTAAATGTGTATAATGAAATACTTCGAAATCTACTGCTGCTTCGAAGTAACCACTTGTGCTAAAAAAAAATCTTCTTTAAAATAAAAAATATCATAATCGAGTGATTAGATTCGTTTTATACGAAGGCTAGTAAATTTAAACCAGTGGTCGTCAAAATGACCTCTAAGGACTCCTGAGATCTATGCCGATTAACAGAGGACTTGTATAGACCACTCTGAAAAAGGTGACTAATTTATGCCTTATTTTATCTGGATGGGAATAAATTATTTATTCTACATTATATTTTCTATGTTTCTATATTATATTTTCTATATTCATATTCTGTAATTTACTATAATCATTAATTTACTATAATCATTAACTGCATTCAAAAAAAAACTTTTAAGAAAAAACTGATAAATATTCTAGAAATTTGAAAATTGAAAATGTAGTACAATTTAACAGAAAAATATTTATGAAACCCCATAGATTTACAAGGCATCATTCTTGGAAAAAAAATTTAACAAACTGTCCTCGGTGAGAAATGTTTATGGAAACATTACATAATTTGATGAACTGTCTAATGATGATTTCACGAGCATTCATTGATTACAATTCAATTCAACTTGAATTTTGCCAATTTATGGCTTGCAAATTAAGGATTTAGCAAAAGTTGACCCTCTAATTGCTATTCGCCTAGTGTAAGCCATAAAAAAGAAAGATAATAAAGATAACAAAACAAAAACAAAAAAGAAAAATTTTCGGAAATGCTCCAATCTTACAATTAGTGCAGTTAGTGTACAATCAATAAAGGCATAAAAATTTGATTCGTAAATATTCTATTTAAATAAAGTTATTAAACTTTATTCTTAAAATATTATTAATATTATTAAAAGAAAAAAATAAAATAGAATTTACTTGTGTATCTTCGATAATATTACAATCAGTTGAATTATATGAATCTGCATAATGATAATTATCAGTGAAATTAGCCGATGAAGAGGAAGTTGATGCATGCGAAGAACAATACCGAACACATAGATTTATCGCATTCAACGTTCGTCGAAACATTTCTTACTAGAGAGCCATTACTAAATAAAAATAATTTTAAATGATAAAATAATAAATAATAAATTTTCAATAATAAAAATATAGAAACAAAAAAAGATAGATAAAAAATATAGAAAAAAATCACGCAAAACCCTCAGCCTAACGAATATAATCCTCTAACCTAAATAATTTTCTCACAAAAACTTTTTTTAGCTACAATGAAAATTAATTACAAAAATTTCATAATTTTTATACGGAAAACTGAAAATCGTTTCAAAAATTTTAAAAATTTTTACAGCACAATATTACGTATTTTATAGCCTTTAAACTTAAAATTTGCGATAAAATTCTCTCCTTTTCAGTGAATCGATTCCAAATGATTTTGTGCCAAAATTACTCTGGACAAGCCAACAGAATGAGCATAGAAAAAAGAAAATCGAAATGCATGATTTGCATGATTTGCATGCGTAATTTGACATCAGTGTTATTCTTAATATTTATCACCTATGAATTTTTTAATCAGAAACTTATAAATGAAAAGTTTGCAAATTGTTATGTTCGATATTGTTAAATTACTTGTCTCATTCGGCTATCCTTTTTCTTTATTTTTGAACAGAAAACTAGCAATTTGATAAAGGGGGGAAGTATAATCGAGTGGTCAATGCTCAGATATCAGATCTCGAGATGCTTTTTTGTTCAGTTCAGCCTTTGTTGACGAAATGAATGGCACTGGACTGTGGACTTTCCAAGAAATTGGCTAAATTCATGGAAGCCAGTCATGAAACGAGACCTATTTAGTTCGTGGAATCAAAAAAGTCCCTTTCTTAGAAGTCCATTATTAGATGTGAGATTCAAAAGTTCTTAGTGATTATCACATGCAATAGTCATAACATCTGAATAATTGGACTTTCGTCAAATGTTATAGAAATCAATTACGCTGGTGATATTTTCTATAGTTAAGAGGATTATAGCGTAAAATATGAGTTTTGCTCATCTACACGTCTATTTTTAAATTTAACGTTCCATCTGAATAGTCACTAAAGCCAGCCAAAGCAGAAATATGGTGTAAAAATGAAAAATGAAATTATCTACGAAGCGAAAGCTATTTTTATTGCTATTACCAAGTTATCTGAAATTTACACCGATTCATGCGAGTATTTTGATATTTCTACTTAGCGTAAAAACTTACAATAAATATAAATTACAATAAATATAATGTCTCAAAAAACAATGTTTTTTGAAGTATTTTTTATTATAAAAATAAAAATTATCAATAAATCATTTTATCAAAAAGTCAAAAGAAAAAAATCGCTTTTTTTTAAATAAATTTAACAAAATTTTCGCTTCCTTAAATGCATATTTAATGGAAATTTTCCGAGAGATGGAATTAAAATTTCGCTGAAAACTATCCGCTAATTGTGATAAGATAATATTTTAAAATAATATTTTTTTTAAAAAAAAAGCCTGAGAAAAAAAAAGAATTTTATCGTAACGATGCAAATTTATTTTATTTCAATTTTAAATACTAGATATACAATCAATGTACAAATTAAAGAATATATAAATATCAATTATACAGGATAGGGGAATTCGTTCATCCTAAAAACTTATGTATAAAACCGTGCGCGAATTCACCGCCAATAATACCATTCATTTGATTTAGTACTTGTATAGGATTCTGGAATATATAAGATTTTAGTTAAAAAAAAATAATTAATTTAAAAATTAAATATGAAAAAAAAAAAATAGAATTCACATTAATATTGTTTATAATAGTAGTTTTAAAAATTTTATATTTGAATTTCAGGATTTTTTCATTCGTTTCACTTAACCGTCAAACCATGAGAAATTAAAATAGGTTCGAAGTGGCTCCTGGTCTTATCTTTGTAGCCAGCGGAACCAATAATGGTGAGAGCTGTTAGAGAAAGAAAAAGAAACACCTGATCGACAATTCCAGAAATATCATCGCATCTTTTAATCGCTCGTTGCATTTGTATAGCAACTTGAAGTGAACCAAGAATATCGCATTCACTGATCACTTTACGCAATTGTCCACAGTGTTGTCGTTCAGCACCTCGTTTGCATGTCTCCTTCCTTTAATATTGTCATGAAAATCTTTATATTTTTTGTAATTTCAGCATAGAAAAAAACTGACGTATAAAAATTACTAAAAAAAAATGATCAATGAACCATTTATGAATAGATTAGGCATGAGAAAAGCCAACTTAAAAACTATGCTAAATAATTTAGAAAAAGAAAGAAAGCCATTTTTTTCCACAAAAATCTTGGTGCGTAAAAAAAGTACGATGAATTTTTTGTTTTTGTATGTTCAGATAATCTCAAATTCGAGTTTTTTAGTTATAGATTGGAGCAAATTTCCTTTATCTTAATCCTAGCAATAAATTTTATTAATTAAAGGAATTTTTTTTTTTGACACTAAACGGAACATTTATTATAAGAAAGTATTTCCTACTGATATGGTGATATGGTAATAAGAAAGTGATCATAAAACAGGAAATGATCGTTATCACTTTTGATCATCAAATAACATTTTATTGTTGTATATTTAAAAAAAAAACCACAGTATATTGGGTAGAAAATTTACATTAATCTAATAAAATATATGAAAAAAAAATTTATGTTTTATCCACGCTTTCCGAAAATTAATTGAAAAAAGAAAAATGATTTTTGAATAAAAAATTTTTGGAAACTGGTTAACCCTTAGAAGATCTCACATTTTCATAGTTTATCCGTAATTTATTTAAAATTCGATAATTCGACTTTTTTTTTATTCGAATGGCGATTTAGGGAACCAATTTTCATATTTTTATTCTTGTGAAAAAATCCGAAGCTTTTTTAAACAAAACTGAAATATATGTATGTGGGAATGTCTTAGTAGATCACGTTTCGATATCTCTCAATCCCGACACCGCTTTACTATTTCCATTCACAGTGGCGGCAAACCAGAGGAACATTTTCATTTTACGGTTTATATTGATGACTCAACTATATTTTTATCGTCAAATTACTCTGAGATGAAATTTATATGGTTTGACAAAACAGCGCAACGAATCTAATCAGAAATTATGCGCGGCTCTTATGAAAAAAAATTATATTTTTTGAAATTATAAATCAGTTAAACTAATGTGCCAGTGGGATTCATCCATGAATTTTTGTTATTTATATATATATATATATATATATAAATATATTTTGTCCTTTTAAAGAAGTATTTATGCTGAGATGTTCAAAGAAAAAATTACGTCGCATATAGAAGATCAACTTTTCCACCAAAGAGTGCATTATTAATTTGATCACTCCATGTATCCCAGGCTTTTTCATCGGCTTCTTTAACGCAATTTCCATACGCCAACTTCATCACTTCGGTTAGAAATGGTAAACATCCTAAGAAATATTTTTTTATACATAAAAATTTTTTATACATATTTATTTATTTATTTTCATTGAGAATTTTTTGCAGAAAAATTATTTTGCTTATAGCGCTTAAATAGGCAAAATACTTTATCGATATCGATAATAGTGTTTTTTTTGTTTATTTTATATATTTGTGGTACCATTCTAGTTTTCTAGCTTTTCACTGATTACTATAAGATTTTTGTATGCCTCCACTTAGAGTATAAAATTATCCTAAAATATAGAATATAATTTCTCTATTTTAAAATTTAATAAGTTAGTGAAATTAAGGTCGTTTATATTCAGATTTTTATTATGAACTACTTGAATTAACTATGAACTACTTACGTATGAAAAAGTTAAAAGATTTGGATTTATTAAGGATTAGGTGGTTTATACTTATATTATTTGGTTCTATTGATGCATGAACTTTCTTTGAACTGAACAATATTAGAGGTGATGAAGTGAAGAATAGTAGAATCCGCTTGTAATCCTGAAGAAATGTCCAGCAATTTTCTTATTTTGTAGCATTAACTAGTGGAATAAACCGAACTAATTACAACATAATCAATAATTATGGTATTATTTTAAAAAATTGAATAGTGTTATTATTCTATTTTATTAATATTAATATAATATTGTTAATAGGGATAGAACTGCTCAGTAACTTGTTGATCAGTTTTTGAGCGCCGATGCTGGGGTTCGATTCCTCCCAAGAGTACAAAAATCTGTACAAAAATCCGGATGATGGTGGCGACTCACCTGTATTTTTATCTCCAAAGGACTCCCTGGCACATTGCCCAATTCGACAAGCCAGTGGAGCGAGTTTAACCAGTAATGGTGAGGATTGTTAAAAAAAATATTGTTAATATATGTTTATACTATACTATTGTAAAGTAGGTAAGGTAACAAAGTCAAAAATAGAGACGACTAACCTTCACCCTGAGGTATACCGAAATTATTCCGAGCACCTGGTGCAAGTTGACGGATCGTTAAAAATGGATCTATATTGTGATCATATTGATTTTGCTGTATTCGGTGTCTCAGTGAGTATTCGCCACGTTCGCTAGGGGCACGTAAAATAGCATTAGCAAAATCAAAGAAAGCATTTCCATAGGAATTCCGATTTTCATTATTAAAAGCATTTCGTTTCGGCATTTCTGATTGGCCTTGATTTATTATTTCTGTTTGCGCAGAGAGATTTGAAAGCATAGGTGAAATAATGTTTGTAAACGACTGCCCAATCATTTCGGATGGTCGAGAATTGAATGAAATTGGTCCTGGTTCTGGACTACCAGCTCTTGTTCTGCAAATAATATATAATTAAATAAAATCACTGAATGGGCCAACACGAAATTTCACTTCTACGTTGTCTCAACAGAGTACAGCTAATTGTAAATGAGCTGAATGCAATTCACATATCTTTTCATAATTCATTTAATGAAATTTCACAATCATCCATATTCCTTAGAAAAGTACAGGGAATGAGGTCTTTCTCAGGAAAAAGACATTTTCGGGAAAATTACAGGGAACGAGGTATTTTTTTACTATAGTTCTGCCACTGGGAATTTATTTAGTGCAGTGCATTTTGAAAAAATCAAATTTATGAAATCCACTCAACAATTTTAGCAAAACGAATTTTACATCGTATATAAGTTTAACTATCTATCTCAGGTTATACTAGCTACTCACCTATATTCTTATCGCCGAGGAACTCCCTGACATTATTGCCTAATGCAACAAGTTAGAGAAGTGAATCTAACCACTAATAGTGAGTGCTCATTTAAAAAAAATTTAACTTCATAAAATTATATAAGATAGGCCTAAATCTCTTTTATTTTTAGGCCTCTTTATTCAATAAATATTCAATCTGCTAAGTCTTAAAAAGCGAACGACAGAAGATCACCCAGCATTGTAATATTTTTTTTTCAAAAGCTTGAAGGTGAATTAATTTTTTACAGAAAAGATGATAAACGATGATAAATTATTTGATATAATGATTTTACAATGAGTCAAAACGAAAATAATTACAAACAATGAGTCTCGATGAGCTGCCAAAGTATGTTCGGCTGCTGAAGTTGCCAATCGCGTCGCCATATGAGTTATTTGATTCAATTTTTCATTTGTTAAAAAATCCAAAAATGGATTTTTTATCTAAAAATAATTATTTTTTACGAGAATTATTTAATAAAATTTAATATAAATAAATTTTACTCGAATTTTTTCATCTAATTTAACACTTTTCTAATTTTGAATCGTTCGCTATTTTAATAATTATTTTAATAATAATTATTATTCGAAAAAAAATATGCATTAAATAATTGTTCGAAATTTAGCGCAAAGAAGTTTTTTATTTTTTTAAATTTCCTTTGAATTTTATTCCTTAATTAAAAATAGATCATCGATTTTGGAATTTCATTTCCCGTTGAATAATTTCATATAGTTTCATTATATTTTTATCGGTCAATATTTTTTCCATATTTATTTACAGTTGAATATCGAGGTTCGTTTATTTGAAATTTTGGTATCGCTAATCCGCCTAATGGCTAAAGCAAAAATTTGGCGAATTTTGACTAAATTCAAACATTAAGAAAAATTACATAAATTCAGACTATTATTTATAAGACAAAATCATATGTTTCTGAATAATACAAATTAATATTTATTATTGTTGATTGATAAGAATGATTTCGATATCATTATTCGTTAAAAAAAAAAACAATGTTAGAACCCACACATCGTTGCATGGATGCGTCATGCAAAATTGAGATGGACTTTCATAGTTATAGTTCAGGCAAAGCATATATGCTGCTGGAGCTGCTATTTATTATTTGCGATATGTTTGATTTCGTGAGAGGGGCACCGCCTCCAGTCTATAGAAAGGGGCAATTCCGTTTGGTAATTGAATGGATTTTTTTTTGGATCTACGAAAATCAAAATACCTAAACATAATAAATTCAATTTTCGACCGAAGCCTAAGCCAGATTCCATTTTTAATGGCAAAATTAACTTCTATAAACGAGTATCGGATCCATGATGCTCAAACGCAATAATAGCAATATAATCAAGATATTATCGGCAAATTTTAAGCTATTGGAGTACCATTTAGAATAGATCACTTTGCACTTGCTATAATCATATGAGGCTATAATAAAAGAATATAAGCCTGGATATGGCTCTGATGAGGACTTCACTAGACAAAAACCAAAGAGAAAAAAACGATTTAATTTAGCGAAAAATTCAAATCCTTCCCTTGCAATCCCCTTGTATGAAACAAAATTTTCTACTCTCACCAAAATTAAAGAATGGATTTTTTCTTAGAATAAGAAGGATCATCCTTAACTTGTCCTAAATATCAGAAAAGATAAGAATATTTCTTAAATGGAGAGATTCGAAATCAAATGTGGTAGTTGAATATCTAACAAATATCTAATAATTTTTGTTCAACAGCTTCACTTTCCTTCCTTCACTTTTATCTCTAATGGTACTATCCAGAAATTTATTAGTGACAAGTGGTAGAATGGCTTAGTGGATTGTTGTTCTCATATTGGAACGCATATGGATGGACTTAGAGTTGAGAAATTGATAAAGATGAAACCAGCTTAAATTTCATACATATTTATTTATTCTATCTGTTATTTGCTTTAAAAAATTCTAAATTTTAATGGATTTTTGGCGGATTTTTATGGATATTCAAAAATAAGCAAACGTTCGAAACAAACCGAAAAATAAACCGAAATTTGACAAATTTAATTAATTTATAAAATATGAAATTAGCGATTAACTGAAACTATTAAAAATCTGAATTATACAACAATAACAAAAAAAAAAACTTGTAATAACGTTAAAATAGGTTAAAAAACAACGAAATATCACAAAGGTACAAATAAATGATTTTTTGTTCAATTCACTTATTACAACGACAACTGGTGGAATGGCTTAGTGGGTTGTTGCTCTCATTTCGGAGCGCAGATGGTTGAGTTATACTCGCAGCAGAAGTAACTTGTCTTTCAAAAATCCAGGTGGTGCTGATGACCTATTTCTATCGTCAGGCAAATTGATTGTCAAAATTCGCTTGGTCCAATAAGCCAGCAATGCCTAATCAGAAATAATGAGCGCTATTCGAAAAAAATGGAAAACATAATTACGAGAAATATCTTTAAAATCAGTGATTAAAAAGTGGAAAAAATTAGTAATTGGATAAGTACGAACAAGAAAAATAGATAAATGAAACAAAAAAGTTACCTGCGCTTGACATACAACGAATATTGCAAATAATGAAACACTGCAACGTTCCATAATAATTTAAAAAATTGCCGAGATCGTCGAGTTGCTTGCTTATTTTAAAACAAAAATTGAGCCTAGTGAGGAAATGAATGAACTGATCGGTCACAAAAGAGAATACAAATGACCAGTTTCGGTGTGATATTAACATAAAGACATAAATTTTATCGTGGTGGTCGGATCGGAGGGGGTTGTATTCTGGCGATAATTCTTCAAATATCGCATTCTCGGAAGAAACTAAAATTTCATTATTTCAATTGTGCCATCTCTTCTTCTCTCTCATTCAATCATTCATTTTACCCATTTATATGCATTCCAGTAAATATCCAAATAATTTCATTCTCTTATTAAAATTCTAGCAAATCATTCATTCATTCATTCAGTTAATGAATAAGGCAGTTTCAAATAATAATTGGTAATTCTTATTTCTCCTAAATAATTATAAAATTTTACTTTGCATAAATAAAAATAGAAATTTTTTTCTGGATAACAAATAGAATTCCTGCTTCTAAATAGAAAAGCAATTTTATTCACGGTATACCTAAATATTGTAATTCATGGTATATTGTAGTAAGAGCGAAAAGTTTTCAAATTTCACAGCTCGAGAACATAATTGAAACTAATGCTTCTTTTCTATTTTGATTCACTCTACTCATTATTATACTGATTATTTTTAAGCATGCTAATTCTGATAACTGATAACTGATATTTTTTACCTGTCATTATTAGAATTTAAAAAAAAAACAAATTATGCAAGGATATTTTATTTAGATTTAATTTAAATTTAGATTTGATTAAAGCACTTTGGGATTTGGTTCCTTAAAAAAATGAAACCTTGAATTTGAATTTTTCACCGAACTTTGGTGGTTTACATTTTTGTTTCGAACTTTTTTTTAAGTCTTATTTTTTTCAAAATAAATTTTATTTTTGCGATTTCAATGTATGAGTCTTTGCCTATGATTTTGGTTCTTCAACACCAAAGATTAAACCATTCAAGTCGCGGAACAAGTTTTAAGGCTTCAGTTCCGGCATTCCGGTTCTGTTCAGTTGGAATTCATTAAGAACTTTCAAAGGAAGTTTTAAGATGAAGGAAGTTTTTTAGGTTTCTTTTCGACTGGTTTTAGTTTCCTCGTTTTTTAATCATAATATGTATTTAGTTGCAAGATAATTTGGTAATTTTTATCGATAAAACGACGACAAAGGTTGGATTATAACGTAGCACCCACCCTAAAACATAACAATCATTTTCGCAAATAGTGATCACTCATACGTAACAGTCGCAATAATGGACTCTTCAAATTAAGCAGTACAAATTAAAATTTTCATTGAATCCTACGAACAAATGCAAAATAAACGTACTCAATTCATGAAGAGACGAATGAAATGCATGAAACCATGTGCATTATAAAACGCCACATTAATTTGCGGATGACTGGTTAGCTGCAAGTCCGAAATGAAACGACCGAATGCCTCAGGCTGTCGTCTCCATGCGTTAAATTAGATAATATTTCGATATGTTCTAAGTCGAAAGAGAAAGTGGCAGCAGAAGAAGACTGAAAATATATGAGAAATTTCCACTCTTTACATGTGAAGTCGTGAATGAAGCCTCTATTAAGTTTATAAAAAATTAAGAGGCAACGATTCCACAGCGCCACATTTCTATGCCAAAGTTCTAATACATCACAAATTATACCATTAATATAGAAACAAAGGTTTTAATATACGCCAGGAATCCAACAAATCGTCCACGCAACTTCATTGTTTGACTGAATCGCTTTGAAAAAAAGTAAAAACGCGGTGTGTTGAAGAAAAAATTTGCAAAAAAAAATTGGTAAAAAATTCAATTTATAGCAGAAAAATCTTTGTTTCAACAATAGAATGCTGAAGATCATTTAGTGAAAAAAAATAATTCTCGCGGTAAAATGAATCGCCGAAGTGTTTAGTTTTTCACGACTAATTTTCGGGAAGAGCAGTTTTTACACGAATTTTTATAAAAATAGAATTTTAAAATTGTTTTCCGAAAATATAAAAATAAGAAAATTTTTCCAAATCTCGTGAATTTTTACATTTATTCTCAGAAAAATTTCCTCTTAAAGATGGGAAAAATATTATCTGATAAACCTTTTGTTGCGTGGAATTAATTTCTTTTTCAAATTCTCAAAGAAAATTAGCTTTTTCAGCTTATAAGAGAGTAAATAGATCGAATCAAATGACCTATAAAGATAAAAAGATCCAAGTTAATTTAAAATGGTTTTTTTGACTCTTTACGAATATTTTCATCGCGATGAATGATTTTAAGCAATTTGATCCGTAATCGTCATTTCTGAATATTCTCACTGATAGCCGTTAAAAGGACTAAAATTAACGCCGGAGAAAATTTGAGGAAATCAAACGCTAATTTCGAGATTGAATAAATTGTCCTTCATTTTCAGCTCATTTGCTTAAAAATTCACGAAATGAATAAGTACGAAATAATAGAAGCCAGTTTTTTAGGTTAAATTTTTAGTCAATCATTATCATAAAATCATTTTAATATTTTTTTTAAATCTAAAATATTACCTATTTTTAATTGAATCATTTTCTTTAGCGATGTCAGGAGAAACTATGAAAGTTCGTCATAGGGTTTCAAATGAAATATTTTTGATGAAAAATGTAGATAGGGAATCATATTGGGCAGAGGCATTTTTATGCGAACTTGAACATCTACAATTACTTAAAAATCATTCGAATATTATTCGGTAATATTTTTTTTAATAATTATTTTCATAAGAAAATTTCGAGATTTGCCTATTTATAGTTATTAAATTATTATTAATTTTATTAATTTTAGTTATTATTAATTTTACAGTTAAGGCAATTAAGACAATAAATTTCTCAACAATATGCATATGCAATTTATGGAACATTTGCAAATTTTAATTTTATTTGTTTAAAATTTGTTCAATTTCAGTTTAATAGAAGCATTTAACTTTGGAAGATTATCATATATGGTTGTTGAACATTTTCCGTCAAATTTATGGGAATTTATACTTAAAAATGAAATCCCGAAATCTTACGTATGTTTGTTGATAAAGTATCGAAATCACTTTTTAAATTGAGTCAGTTATTTCCATAACTTTATTTTCTCCTATTTCATCAACAGCAATAGGTGTTAGGAAGAATAATAGCTTTTCAAAAAATCGCTGTTAGCGACTAAATATTACTATCTAACGTCGTGTGAACTTCCTGACAAAATTTGTCGGGTCGACGAGCCAACGAACCAAGTCCAACTAGAACGATGATCGCTCTTTTAAGAAAAAAATCTCACCAAAAGCGATTTTGGTGAATTTATTAATTGTATCACGCGGTGTTTGGAAATTAACGTTCTTCACTAATTTTTCCTGATCTTCATTATTGGTCTTTAAGTTAGATCAACGATGGTTTTGTGTCATATTGACGACTTAAGCTAAATATTCAATCGTTAATCTATTCCTTTTTGAAAAGGTAAGCAATCGTTGAAATTGAAGTATAAACGGTGCTAGGGGTCCATCAATAATTTTATCCATGAAAAATTTCTAGTGAAAAAGTGAGAAAAGTGCCTTACTCGGCTATTTAGTCGAGTAAAACTGGATATGTGTGCCTTTTAGCATTCGTTCATAATATTTATGCTTACATAAATAAGGAGAATTTTTATTTGATTTAGGTTCAATCGTTTACTTACCAAATCTGTCGAGGTGTTTCGCATTGTCATGAAAAGAGTATCATGCTTCGAAATATAATGCCATCAAATATTTTTGTCACGAGCAATTTATGGATTAAAATAGGCGATTTAAGCTTGAGCAAAACAGCTAAAAATTCGCGAGTGTTTTCTTCCATTAAAGTATAGCGAATCCAGAAAATTATCCTATTTTCTCTTTCTAATTTTTTTTATTAATACTTTAATTCAGTAAAAAAATTCTAAGAACGTTTGATCTATCGTTTTTTTTTTTATTGGTTATATGTTTGATTTAAATGAACGATTAAATTAAAATACGAAAAATTTTCTTTGTGGACAATCTTGGAGAGATAATGAACGTTTCTTAAGGTTGGTGCACTGGAATATAGGGCTCCAGAACTTTTATTTGCCGAAATAATCGGAAAGCACTATTGTAATTATACTATGGCTATCGATGTATGGTCCGTCGGAGTATCTTTTCTCACTATAGCTACCAGAAAACTTTCTTTAAGAGGAAGCGATGCTAAAACGATGTTTAATTGTATAATCGAGTTTGTCACCTCCATTATGCTTTAAGTGCTTTATCATAAGTGTAATTCTAATTATTTCATTTCCTCTTCAGCAATTAAATTATTCGTTTGAAAATCATCTATCACTCTGATAAAATGTAGGCTTAAATTTTTTGACCGATTTGGCTTTACTTCTTGATGACTCTTGATATTATCTCAAAATAGTATCAGCAAACCATTGTATCTATTATATAAATAACATTACCAATGAGTTTAGATAATTTTGTAATTATATAAATGTAATGAAGATTAATGAAGATTAATATTTTTAATAATTTTAGAGCTTTGGGAACACCAACATCTAGGGAATGGCAAAGTATGGATCCAAACTATACAGAACATCGCAAAGAAATAGAAGAAATTGCACCAGAAATTCGTCGTTCAGGTCTTTGGAAAGCATTGTGTTCATATTTGGAATGTGAAGAAATCTACTTTGCTAAGGTAATAATATTTTAAAATTTCTTAATAAAAATATGATATTTAATTAATCGATTCTTATTTTATCGTAAAGTTATCAAATAATGGTTTAAGGAATTTTTACGATACAATCCAAAGCTACGAATATCGATATTTGCTACATTAAACCACAAATATTTCGATGAAAATAATTTCAATAAATTAGCGTTACCAACTGGACAATGGGATGGTACTAAAGCGGTATTTATTAACTAAACTTCGATAATGCTTAATGGTACCTCGTATTTTTTCTCGGCAATATTTATTTCTTGTATTTTATATTCATTTATCAATGTTAGTACCAATCGTATCAATAGTTTTTTTTTATTGACTATTCAACGATTTTTTTTGATCGTGATTTTTGAGATAAATTTTTCGTTTTAAAGTAGCATTCAACCTAAAATTATCACGCTTTTTTTCTATATTTTAAGTCGAATTCGGTAAATTTTCATATGAATTTGAATATAAATCCTATTGATAAAAATTATGGATTAAGCGTTCACTGGAATAACATATTTCTTAAATAGTTTTTTAATACAAATATTTATGAAATATTTATGACTTTTTCAATCTTAGAAAAAATATAAATAAAAAGAAGTAATTTAATTAATTCAATTTTAACATTAATAATTGGCCGAAAAAATAAAAATTAAAGATGGATGGTTAAAAGGGTATTCAAATATTGTACTAATCTCTTAGATTCCACTGTAAATTCTTGGCGAATTCCGTTAAGACCTAGTGATGACTTCTTTTATCATCCCTAAAATCTTTTTAACCACACCAAATTTGGCTCGACATAAATTTTATATCAAAACCATCGGCTTTAAAATCCGGAGAGTTTCCGATAGAGAATTATTTGCAGGAACAATGATAAAGTTGAGATAGCTATTTATCTAATTTTCAAAAGCAGTCTTTAAAACGATCTGGTAACAATATTATCAAAAGATGAATAGAAGATTTCCATGCCCTAAAATATTTTTTGGTGGACGGATCCCCAAAAATTTTAATTCACTAAGAAATTATAGAAGAGAAAGCAAACACAAGCAAATTTTCTTAACTCTCTAAATCCTCTTAAACCCCACTAAACCCTTTCCGAATTTCCTTTACACTGTACTAACTACAAACCCTTTCATATTAGCTTAATTCTCGTATCTATTCGCCTCTTCGTGACTAATTCATTTTCATACGTCAAGTAGTTCTTCTGTGCGATAAGTTCAATTCTCAATAAGGATTGAGCGAAAAATAAAGTTCCACTGTTACCGATACCGATTTATTTTTATTGCCATGTAATTTTTTTAAAGAGTTTTTACCCCATTACTGGTTAAACTCGCTCCGCTACTTTGTTGCATTGGACAAATATGCCAGAGAATTCCTTGGCGATAGAAATATAAGTGAAGTGCCAGCATCACCCCGGATCTTTGGACAGGTTTACTCCTGCATGGAATAGAACCTCGGTGAATTGAGCAACAACCCACTAATTCATTCTATCCCATGTGTTTAAATGATAAAATTTCTAATTGTACTCAAAGGCAGCAAAATTATTCTAACAAGAAGTGGCGAGTGCTAAAGATTTACTGATTCCTCCTAATTCTTACTGTTAACTATAAACATCACACAACTAATTATGTTGGATCCAAATAATGCGTTCCATATAATTGTCCTAATATCTACTAGAGATTTATTTTCATTGCCATATGATTCCATGATATATTTACACGTTTATATGCAAAAGGATAATTATTCTCATTGAGAGATCCAAAATTTAACCAATTCAATAACTATCGAAACCGTTAAGAACAACTGAAACCCAACAAAACTAACGATGAAGAAAACGTTCAGTCTAAATCAAATAAAATTTTACAAATCTCGCTTTTCAAAAATGATTATTTTGATACCAAATTTAACGGTAGTTTGATTTTAACCAAATAGTTTGATTTTGGTTCATTATTTCAGCAAAAATGATTTATTTTATTTATCAAATAAAATACTTATAGAATATAATACAAATTAATAGGTCAAACAAGTAGTCAAAATAATAAAAATAACCGTGCAAATAGAAAATATAAATCGTTGAATTTTCTATATTTCTTTATTAACAATAATAATAATGCTAACAAAAATATGATTATATATAGAAATAAAATAAAATAAAAACAATAATAATAATAGTAATAATGGTAGCAATAATACTAATAATAATTGCAGTAACAGTTATCAAAATTCTCATTAATGTGCTTTGCAAATTAAGGGCTATAAATAATTAAAATTTTCATTGAATCCTACGAACAATAAATGTACTCAGAAATAAATGCAAAATAAATGTACTCAGTTCATGAAGAGACGAATGAAATGCATGAAACCATGTGCATTATAAAACGCCACATTAATTTGCGGATGACTGGTTAGCTGCAAGTCCGAAATGAAACGACTGAATGCCTCAGGCTGTCGTCTCCATGCGTTAAATTAGATAATATTTCGATATGTTCTAAGTCGAAAGAGAAAGTGGCAGCAGAAGAAGACTGAAAATATATGAGAAATTTCCACTCTTTACATGTGAAGTCGTGAATGAAGCCTCTATTAAGTTTATAAAAAATTAAGAGGCAACGATTCCACAGCGCCACATTTCTATGCCAAAGTTCTAATACATCACAAATTATACCATTAATATAGAAACAAAGGTTTTAATATATGCCAGGAATCCAACAAATCGTCCACGCAACTTCATTGTTTGACTGAATCGCTTTGAAAAAAAGTAAAAACGCGGTGTGTTGAAGAAAAAATTTGCAAAAAAAAATTGGTAAAAAATTCAATTTATAGCAGAAAAATCTTTGTTTCAACAATAGAATGCTGGAGATCATTTAGTGAAAAAAAATAATTCTCGCGGTAAAATGAATCGCCGAAGTGTTTAGTTTTTCACGACTAATTTTCGGGAAGAGCAGTTTTACACGAATTTTTATAAAAATAGAATTTTAAAATTATTTTCCGAAAATATAAAAATAAGAAAATTTTTCCAAATCTCGTGAATTTTTACATTTATTCTCAGAGAAGTTTCCTCTTAGAGATGGGAAAAGTAAAAAATATCTGGCGAGCATTCCGAATAGATACTCACTGGTAGTTGTTAATAGGATGGGAATGTAGCCAGAGGACACTTAAAATTAGGTGGACCTATAGTTTTACTCTTGCTAGAAACAAACAGCGAACCATAAAGCTCCAAATATTGAGCCAAATATACCAATTGGCCACAAACCATAATGTTAATTTCTCAAATTCAAAAATCGATTCAGTTTTATTTTATTTTGTTTTAAACCCAGATTCAAGACTGAATTAATTGTCATTCTCTTCAGGCAATTTATTTAAATATCCTTGCAAATTCATCGATTCTAAAAGAATGAAAAAAGAAACAATTCAAAATGTTGCAATGGAAAAGTATGAAATAATAGAAGCCATTTCCATTGTTAAGTCTTTAAAAAAAAATTTTGTTTTTTTTATTTTTTAATAAAATTTTTTCTTTATTTAATTAAATAATTTATTTAGCTATGCCAGGAGAGATTATGAAAGTTCGTCATAGGGTTTCTAATGAAATATTTTTAATGAAAAATGTCGATAGAGAATCACATTTAGCTGAACCATTTTTATGCGAACTTGAACACATACAAATGGTAAATCATCATCCAAATATTATGCGGTAAATATTTTCATTAGGTATTCAATAGAAAATAATAAAAATTAGCCAAAAAAAGAAAACTCCTCAACGATAGTAAAAAAAAGTTTTAGACAAATAATCCAATTGGAGAGAGGGAGTATGGGGGGGGGGGGGTGGGGGAGAGGTGCATTTTCAAATTTATAGAAGAACAAATATTGTTTGTTTAAAATTTATATCGTTTCAGTTTATACGAAGCATTTAACTACGATAGATGGTCATATATGGTACTCGAATATTTTCCATCGAATTTATTGGAATTTTTGAAACAAAATAAAATTCCAAAAAATCATGTACGTTTGTCAGTATTTTTCAGTATTACTAATTGCTTATATTGCTTTATTTTTTTTTAAAATCACTATTGGTTTGATAATCCAAGTGTACTTCACATAAGTTCCTAAATAAAATTTCTCTGTCCAAGAAATCATCGAAGTGAGTTCAGTTAGGAATGATGAGAAAAGCTCTTCAAAAAATGAAAATCCCACCAAGAGAGGAATCTATTTCTGGTTTCATGCGATTTTTGCAAACTCTTTTTATTTTTGTTTTTTTTTGATAAAGCAGCGAATAATCGCTGAGAAAAAACCACGGGCAGTTTTAAGATTCTATCACTACCATCCAGAATATCCAGAATAATTCTCTAACAAAAAATTCCTCACTCAGTTGTTCTATTCAGTTATTCTAAACCGAATATGAATTTATTCATACGAATTATACATACGCATATAAGTAAAACTGTCGTTCCATTTAGGTTAAATCGTTCATTTTCCAAATCTGTCGAGGTGTTTCGTATTGTCACCAAAAGAATATTTTAATTCGAAATATTGAGCTATCGAATATTTTTGTCACAAAAGATTTAACGATTAAAATAGGCAATTTCACCACTTCCAAAATCATGCAAGGTTCGGAGATATTTTCTTCGGCAAAGGTATGGGGCGAATACAAAAAAAAAAATTTTTTCTTTTTTCATTTGCACTTTTTTTAAAATTTATTAAAGGAAATCGCTAAAATGAAGATGAAATTAAAATGGGTAAAGTTTCTTTATAAACGAACTCGGAAAGCGACACAGCTAATTAGCATATCCTTTTGAAGGTTGGTTCACTAATAAATAGATGTCCAGAACTTCTGTTTGCTACCTTCATTGGAAAGACGGTTTGTAATTACACCATGGCTGTTGATATGTGGTCTATCGGAGTAACATTTCTTACCATGGCTACCAAAAAAATTTGCTTATTTGGAAAGGATGAGGAGGAAATGTTGAAATGTATAATCAGGTTTGTTAGTTATATATCCTCGTTACGTTTTAAATGTTTTATTAAGAGTATAATTCTACTTTCAGTGAATAAATTACTATTCTTTTAAAACATTTATCATTTATCATCTATCATTTTGATAAAATGAGGCCTTAAATATTTTGATCGATTATTTGCCTAGTAAATTATATTGCTTTATTTCGTGATAACTCTTCGATTTATCCTCAAAATCTATTGTATTCTCTTTAGTTTTCCAAAATTTTGTTTTCACTTGTATTATTTATGTGATTCAAAATGAGATCACAAATGAGATCAGATTAAGGCAAAAAGTGGTGAGGTCTTCGGATATTAAGAAAGTATCTGGTGAGAGTATCTGGTTTTGAAAGATTTTTGAAAGGCAAAATATTGTACGCATTAAGAGAAGTTCGCTTCTAACATAGGCCGAGATATCATAGATGGATAGATTTACAAGGTTTTATGAGGTAATACTGGGTTGCAAATTAAAGATATAAAGGATGAAAATCAGGGTGCCATTGATCTCGTCGATTTGTATAAGAAACCTGAAGATGCTTTCTATCGCGTTTAAATAATAGAATGTAATAATACACTAATGAGGTTTTAGAGGTTTCCAAATTTCCAAATGTTGCGAATAATAATATCAACAACGATTTGTAAGATTTTAAGATACTAATAAGGAAGTCGATGGTACTGCTTCATTAGCGGAGCTTTGATATAACCGGAGCAACCGGTTTCAATGATAGTATTAGTGAGGTAAAACATGGTTTAAAATCAGATCAAAAAGAATGTTATTAACAGAAAAGTGATACTTTGGAAATAGAACCATTTAGATGAAGGATCTACTGGAATAGGGCATAAAGAACACTGTTTAAAGGAATCGAGAAGGAAAAGTTTGGTCGATTTTGAAGAAAATAGACGGGTTTCTTTCTTACATGCATGGTATTAGATGTAAAATATGCAGTTTTGAGTGAATGGAGACCAAAAGCTGCTCATATAGATAAGGCAATCGCTCTAGAATCAAAATCTGGGCAGACCAATCTATGCACAGTTTGGAAAGACAGCACTGGGGCATTAATCTTAGTAGCAGAGTATCAGGTACTAAGCACCAAATTCATTGAAACACGAATTTACGACATATCTTTCATAATTATAGAGCTTTGGGAACACCATCAACGAGCGAATGGGAAAGTATCGATTCAGAATATAACGATTATCGCAATAAAATATTAGAAATTGCACCACAGAATCGTCCTCAGGCTCTGTGGTCATCTTTGCCGGAAATTTTGAATGAACAAGAAATCGATTTTGCTAAGGTAATATTAATAATATTAATTTACCATTTTTTGAATGTGATCTTTGATTACGATTCTTGTTTTATCGAAAAATTGCCAAATTATGGCCTTAAGGAATTTTTGCGATACGATCCAAAGCAGCGAATATCGGCAAGATCCGCTTTGAGGCATAAATATTTCAAAAATCTCCGTAAAACAGCATTACCAGGTGGTCAGTGGGATGGATCAAACGTGGTGTTTGAAGTGGACATCGATTAGGCTTTTTTGTACAACGATGATATCTTACATTTTTCTATTTTTTCTAAAATTTAATTGTATTCTATTCATTTTATATATTCATTTATCAGCTTTTCTTATCATTTATCACATACCTTGTCGATGTTTTTTTTTTTATTGTCAATGTATCTATCTGTTGAACGATTCATTCTTTTAATTGTGATTTTGTGACAATTCTTCTTTAAACATTGCATTTCAGTCTTAAATTATCGTTTTTTTTTTTAAGTTTTAACCAAAATTGGCCAAAATTTAGCCAAAATACGGGAATTTCTTTTACTTGAATTTAAATGTAAATTCATTTGCCTATTGATAAAAGTTATGAATTAAGCGTTCACTAAGATAACTCATTTTTTAATTAATCTTTTAATGTGAATATTTTTGCATATTTTAAAAAAAAAATGCAAGAAAAAACACATTATTTCATTCCATAGTTATTTTACTATGCACTTTACTTAAGCAAATGAGTGGAGAATGGCTCAGTGGCTTGTTATTCAATCCGGCACAATGATGCTGATCTTCAACTGGAGATCTATCGTAGAAACTTTCAAAGTAGGACGATGGAAGTCACCAATATTTCTGTAGTCATGTAATTCCCCGCCAAAATTTATCTAATCTGACTGACTAGCCAACGGGAATGGTAAGAGCTCTTGCAAAAAGAAATTATATGAATGGTGAAAACGGTATTCTGATATTAAATTAACCACCCTAGTTGCTTAGCTGCTTCATTCTCCACATAGTTCATAGAACCATAGTAATACCTTCTTCTCTTGTAGAATAGTGGCCTTGATTTGCCAATCTCATATACGGTGCCAAAACTTAGTTGCATTATTTTGTTATATTAATTTTCTCAAAAGCCCTTGTCTAAGTACAGTGATTAAAAAATCCTAACAGTTTCAAATTCTTTGATATAATATACTCTTTCATTCTTTGATAACGTACAATTTTGATGCTCAAATTTTTTTAAAGAACTTATTGCACTGGAAAATTATGCCAGGGAGTTACTTGGCGATTAAAATACAGGTGAATCACCAGCACCATCAGGATTTTTGGATAGATTTACTCCTGCGAGAAATAAAACCTCAGCATTGGCGTTCAAATTGAATAAGTCTCATCTTTTTCTTATCAGTTGATAATCATTACTACTCTCAATTTTTTGATTTTTCTCGATTATTGTATGATCTCTTTAAAAATCATAAATTATTCTCCGTTAATTTTATCTCATTTCGATGCTACTAACTGAAAAAATGGTTTCCTATTTATGAGATAAACTATGAATTGAGAATTGATTTTGATAGTTTTTCGTCATATCCTAGATAAATTATCATTATCATTATCGTTATCAATTAGTTTTCGCATTAATTCAGCAAAATTCTTGAATATGCTAAAAATCATTTGTACTATTAATATTATAATTCTATCACAAATATATTAATATTATTGATTACTGAAATTAAAAATTTATTAATTAATATATTAATTACGAATTTCAATAAAATGTACATCAAATTTTTAGTATTTTATTTAATTACTGAATGTTCATTTTTATATTTACAATAAATTTTTTTGTACAAATGTTTCTGAATATAAATTATTATTTTTTATGAAATTTTTAAGCGAAACCATAGATTCAGTAGACTTTCGAAATGCTGGATTATTTCGATAACTATGTAAGGAACGTAAGTACCAAGGAATGTAAGGAAGTACCAAATGAACAAGGTACCTTCTATACGACTGTGAAAACGTAAAGGATGGAAATGATTTTCTCTTGAATTTTTGCTATCTGCTGTTTTTTTTTTTTAAATAATGTTTTTTAGAACATTTTTATTCACCTATTTATATGTAAATACATAGATTTAATGTGTTTTAAAATTAAAAGTTAAAAAAATAAGTTAAAGAAATATATAATAGATATTTTACCTGGAATGCAAATTTATGAATTCATTATAGCGCTCATTATCAGTTTATCAGCGTATGAACTAATAACCTATCATCAGTTCGAATCGGTTCGTCCTGATGGAAGTAAAAGTGACGTTGAAAGTGAAAAAGCAAAATTAGATTAGAATCTCTAACACTTATATCTCCAAGTGAATCTCTGGCGATCGTATTCTTTAGGCAGAGGCAGTTAATCAAAAGAGAAATGATAAATGGTACTAGGAAAAGACGAAAAGAGCGAAAGAGCGAATTTTCCATTATTTTTTCAATTTTTCAATGAATATAGAAGAAATTAGCACACACTTCTAATGAGTATTTAGCATAATTTATTCTTCTCGCTTAAAGGGAAATACAGTTATAATACGATTGAAAAGCCTTGGATGCACTAAATTTGATTACGCTGTTTTCTGCGAAATTCCATTATTCCTTTATCCATATCCATATTCCATATTCGTAGCACTGAAATCTCTTTCTTTTCTTGCACCACTGAAATTGCCTTATTGACCAAAAATGAGCAGAAAATGTGGCTCTGAGAGAGAGAGAGAGGGTTTTTTTGGAAATAACAAAAAGTTGCATGAAAAATTGAAATAATCTAATAATACTTTTAATTAGAATAGAATAATCGTAAATAGATAAACGAATAACAGTGAATGTAAAGTGATTTGTTCCAGTAATATCCTCATTGGTACTAGAAGAAAACTAGTGGTTATGCTATATATAATGAACGAAGTGTCGGTAAATCTTGGCCAGGTTGTCTGCCATACTGGGTTTTATCCATTTCGTGATATACATTTTTATAAAACTTTATACAACGCGCTTCTACTATAACTATTGTTGACATAAATGACAATAGTACGATCACATGGAGCTTAATAACTGTTTCTTGAGGTATGGATTTTGCATTTGGAAGACTTTGGGAAAATTTCCTGAAATAGTAATGTCGATTTCGATAATGATTTTGCAGGAATTCAACGTAAAAAAACAAAAACTGAACCCGAACTCGAGGTGCAAGCGATCTATGCCACCTTCTGGACTAATAAAACGAAGTTCTTGAGGCGAACGAATAAAAATAGAAAATTTCATATCGAAGAAATTTCGCGGAATATTTGAGATGATAGGATGATTTGATTTTCTTAGCGTAAAATCCACCTTTATTAGCAATGCTTTTAATCTTCAATTAAAATATTCAATATCGCGTAATTTCGAGACGTATCGGCCACCATTTAGCTCAATTTGAAATCTACATTTCCAGATTAGTGATCGCTTAATCCTAATTAGACGATGGGCCGCAAAAATTCCACAATAATGAACGGACCGCAGAATATTAAAGTTTGACTGGTAGCTTTGTCAGCCTCAATTTTAATTTCGCATTTTAAGTTGGCATTTTTGTTTCCTTCTTGTCGTCGCCGTCGAGGATGGTTTGTTTGCTCGCAGTCGCTCAATTAATCGAATTTTTTAGAGAAAATTTTTTTTTTGCTTATTTTTAAAGAAAAGGAAATATTAATTAATCAACGATTTTATTTTCTCTTATTTCATTTATTTTTTGATTTTCAAATTAATTTTCATTGAAAAAAATTAAATTATTTTTCAATCATTTTTAAACTATTTTTGCGATTTTCAATTTAATTCATTTAGAAAAATTTTAAAAGAAAAAATTTAAATTTTTTAACAAAAAAATAAAATAAATTTAAATTTTGTTGAATTATTGTGATTTTATTTTTTATTTAAATTTAATTTATTTATTTTTTATTTATAAATTTTTCTTAGAAAATTTATTTAAAACGAATTTTTCAAACAAAATAATGGATTTCGTTAAGAAATCTCAAAAACTCGGCCTCCGTCGATCTTTCACTGTTAAAATTTGTATTGTTAAAACTAATTACGTCATATTTCTCGTTGTCCACGACGAGAATTTAACGTACGTCTCGCTTGCTTTCCTAAAATCTCGCTTAGACTACGAAAATCTAAAATGCGGCTGCCGTCACTTCTTCCGTTTTATATCTAACGCGGCCTCCTCTTCGTCATAGATTTGTATATGGTAAGAAAGATATTAACCAATTGTTGGATTTTCTTCAGCAATTGTAATTAAATATTTCAAAAAATATAAAGTATTTCAAAAATTTATTAGAAATGTGATTATCATTTTTTCGTCATTTAAAAATTATTACACAATGTGTTTTATATATTTAAAAAAAAACAGTTTGCAATTTCCGGAATTTGCGTTTCATTTGATTTTTTTGATCGAATGAATATTTCTTGCTTGCCGACATACTTGTCATGCATATTTTCTCGCTCGAAATTGTTTGCAAGAGCTTAGCGCTTTTATTTAAAATTGCGATTACTTGATAAAAATTTAAAAAATTAAAAATTTTTTAAAATTGAAATAGCAATTAATTCGGGCAAAATAATTCAGAGTGGTGGTTCTAAATGTTTTTAGCAGTTTACATTCTTTAGTCGTTTCGGAATTGGAATCCTGTCATGTCGAAGAAAAAAAATTTTCTTATTATAATTATTAATTGATCATTAATCACATCTGTTTTACTTGTTTCCTAATCTTTTTTTTATTTTCCGATACAGCATTTGCCATTTTCGGTTTGGTTGTCCAAAAGCCAAAATGCTGATCGCCAACATAAGACTATTTGGCCAGAGAATTATTCGGGAAGGAATAAAAGAGGGATGACGATAGAAGAATTAACGTTCTAAACTGTTTTTATAATTTAGATTTTGCAAAAATTAGGATCGTCAAACATATCGTTTATTTCTTTAACTTTATGAGAATGCTTATATAAAAACAATAGTTTTGCTTGTCGTGCTTAGTTTATTGTCTCTAAATAACGGTGATAAATGATGAATTAATTTTATCAATAGATAATTTTTGAATTAATTTTTTTGTTTGGAAATTCTTTTCTTTTTTTATAGAATTGCGCAACCATTTTACCAGATTATTATTGATATAAATGGTAAAAGAGCAACTTTAAAAGAATTGTAAGAAATTTTGCATTCCAGGGATGCATCCATCGAACGTTAAGGATCATTGATTTAAGTTGAATATATTCGAAATTTTCAAAATTGAATTGTTTATTTTAAATTTATGAACGAAAATAAAATATTATGGATGTTATAATAAGCTAAAGGTAAAGGTAGGTCGCCAGTGTCAGCCGGATTTTTAAATAAAAGGTTTGTTCTTGAAATTTCTAGATTGATGTTAAAATTGATTCTTAAAAATTTCTAAATTTTCAAAAAATTATTCCAACGATATTCAACAAATTTTTTACCGCGTCGATTTGAAAAATTAAATTTCTTTCTTTTGTTCATTTAATTTCATTTAATTTCCTCGTCTCGTCAATCATCATTTAGCATGTCTTTGTGTTTTTGGTAAGAATTTTATGTGTCGATCTTATTATATAATTTATCAGAATTCATATTTTTATCATAAGGTAATAAAAAATAAAAATCCCAATATAATTCATTATAAAATGAGATGGTTTATAATTTTATATTATTATTATATTATTTTTATTTTTTGACTTTCTTTTGCATTTATTTAAAGAAAAAAAACAATAGGAATGATATAATAGAAAAAAAACAACCGTACCCGCATTTGAAAATAGCGATATCTCAAATATTTTTGAATAAAATCGAGCAGATTTATTAAAAATTTATTCGTCTCCATTTTTATTTTAAAGATTCTCATGAAATATTTTTCCTCTTTTTTATGTAAAATCGCTCTACTTTATAAGCACAAATTTCTAAATATCATTTTATATTTCTCAAATATTTAACAAATTATTATTTCTTATAAGGCCTAATTTTGTTATTTCTAATTTTCTGTTGGTTTTTTTGTTTTGCAGTAAATTTATGAATATTTTCGAATACGCAGAATTGACAGTGTTAAGAGTATTTTTGGTTATGCAAATTCTTAATTTATTACGTGGCGACAGAATGACCGACTAATTTTCAGTTTTCACCTGGTCTTGTGTCAAGCATCACCAACATGCTTTCCTTGACGGTACAGTAGTGATTTTAATATTCAAATTGCTCGTTTAGATTTTTGGTTTGATATTTAAAAAAGTTATTTATTCGCTTGTTCGCTTAGTTAAATAGTAGCTATTTTTTATATGTGAACGTTTTATTGTTATTCATATATAAAGAGAAATAATTTTTTGTTTTGCAGTATGAATTGTAGAAAAGATGAATGTGTGACAGTATTGCTGGGTGCTCAGTGGGGTGATGAAGGGAAGGGAAAAATCATTGATTATCTGATATCTACAAATAAGGTATTCATTGTTTTCTTTTCTTTTTCACTGTATGCTTAATGAGTTTTTTGTATCTTTAAGCAGATAACAATAAAAAGCACTGAAGTATTGCAAAAAAATTTCGTGGCTTTTTTCATACATATGATAATATGCATTTGATTTAATTGGCCGCAGGGATGTAGATAGGTATCGGGGTAGATGGCCAATTTTGACAAATTTCCTTCTATCGAAGGGCAAGAATAGAACCAGTATATTTGCTGTATAACCATTGTGATTTTATTATATCATTATAACCATTTTTTATTTCATACGGAATGTGACCCTAATATAACTGATGCGTTCTCTGAACCATATGCTTGCAGCTGCGAGTCCCCGACAGAAGAAGAAATAATATCTGTTGTCCATAAGCTTAGCTAAGGCCAATAAGACTCGGGGAGAGGATGGTCTTCGGGCTGAACTTTTTAAATATTGTCCACCGTTCTTCATAACACACCTTCTTCTTATTCTAACAACTCTCACCATTACTGGATAGGCTTGCTCCACCGGCTACAAGGGTAAGGCGCTTCCAAGTGGCACGGTCCGATGCCATCGCCGACAGTAACTGAAGCCATTTCTTTTTTCCATCGTCTAACTCCATAGCTGGTCCACCTATACGTTCAAAATCTTTTCTGACCGTATCAGTCCAGATCTTGATTGGTCCACTTCGCTTTTGACGCCGTCCATCACATGGTTTAGCAAGTAGCGAAATATGCGACAGCTCTTGTGTTGGACTACGGAGAACATGCCCTAACCACTGAAGGCGATGCTCTGTAACAACATTATTAATGCACATGGTGTTTGAATGAGATGGATGCGATCATATGATATTTTATCCGTTCGACGGATCCATAAAATGAATTTTAGACAAGAGTGACAAGAGAGATAGATAACTTTTTAATATCATGCACTCGCATTGGCCATGCCTCAGAGCCATATAGCAAAATCGAACGAATCACCATAGATGCGGACTCCCGTTTTTATGGTGATTTCACGACGACTCCATAAAGATTTCGTTAAACGGAAGAACACATTTCTAGCTGCCGTGATCCAGGCTATAATATCGTCTTTTGCCTGGCCATTTGGTATTAGAGTGGACCCAAGATATTTGAAATCGGGCACTTCCTCAACCTGCAATGAATTTATAAAAAGAGGCATTTTATCAGCTTCTTGCACATAAGACGAAAAGACTTTCGTTTTATTTACATTGATCCTGAGTCCGATTCTCACTATAGTTGCTGGCTGACACATTATTTAGTATTATTTGCTTTTCATCATAACTGTCAGCAAGAAAGGGCTACATCTTCAGCGTATTCAAGATTTATGATACGATGCTCTGGACTGATTTGGACCTGTAAACTAAACGTAAAAATCGTAAACCTTCGGGTGATGCCTACGACTCACTTGCATTCCTATCGCCAAGGGACCTGGCTTATTGTCAAATACGACAAGCCAGTGGAGCGAGTCTAATCACTAATGGTGCGGACTCTTTAAAAAAAACAAATCTATTGTTGACCACTCTTGTCTAAGGTACATTTTACGGGTTCCGTTAGGCGGATAAAATATCACATGATCGCATCCATCTTCTTTCAAATACTACTTGCATTAATCATATTATGTAATATTATAATATATGTTATCCCAGAGCGTCGCCTTCGGTGGTTAGGGCACGTTCTCCGTCGTCCACCACAGGAGTTGTCGTATATTTCGTTACCTGCTAAACCGTGTGATAGATGGCGTCAAAAGCGAGATGGGCCAATCAAGACTTGGATTGATATGGTCAGGAAAGATTTTAAACGTATAGATGGGACCAGCAATATATGGACTTAGACGATAGGAGAAGGAATGACTTCTGTTACTATCGACGATGGCAGTAGATCGGCAGCTTGGAGGCATCTTACCCTTGTAGCCATTGGAGCCAGTCAAACCAATAATGGTCAGAGATGTTAGAAGAAGAAAAAGATGGAAAGTGATTTTGCTATCTATCATTGTCCTTAATTCATTTATTTTTCTTATTTTATTTTTAATGAATTAATTTATATCTGTTTGGCAGGTTGATGTGATAGCTCGTTGTCAAGGTGGAAACAATGCAGGTCATACTGTTGTAATAAAGGGACGTAAATATTTTTTCCATATTTTGCCATCGGGAATAATCGATGAGAATTGTTTTAGTATTATTGGTAAAATTTATATGAAAATTTTTTCTGTACTGGAAAAGCATCAAAAACTTTTAACTGTTATTAGCATTTTTGAAGATATTTAAACTCTTTTTATAATTTTAAATTACTTGTTCAATTATTTTATGAGTATTGGAGTGTAACAAAAAAAAAAAAATGCGGTAAAAATTTATGATTGAGAAAATAGAATTTTGCTGCAAATTTTCTTTTCTCAGGAAATGGTGTGGTGCTGAATTTGGATGCCTTTTTCGCCGAACTGGATCACAATGGCATCACTCATTTACCGGGCTGGGAAAAACGAATTATGATTAGCGAAAATTCTCATTTAATATTTGGTGTTCATATGCAAGTTGATGGGAAGCAAGAGGACTCATTAAGTACAAAGTACTTCATTCAGCCTGTGCACCTTTTCCCTTTTCAATAAGAAAATTTCTATTTAAAGGATTTGGCGTACTTATTATGTATTTATGAGCATTGATCTTCCGAAGCAAATTCGGGTATATGCCACCGTTTATAATAATTTTAAAATTAATTCTGGCATTTTAGCAAAATTGGAACAACAAATAGAGGAATCGGGCCAACATATTCGAGCAAATGTTTTCGAAATGGAATTCGTCTTGGCGAATTGCTTAGTGACTTTGATCGCTTTTCACGCCGGTAACTCCTAAGTTCATTTTTTTATTCCAGCATTTGTCAAACTTCATAAATATATTTGCTGGTGATAAATTTGTTTATACTATATATTTCGTCATTTAAAAAGTAATATGCCTCTTTATAAACTTGTATTTGCTTTCATTAGGCTTACTCTGCAGTTATTTTTTACAGTTACTTGTCTTTGGTAGAACATTTTCGTCGACAGTTTCCAAATATAATTGTCGACACTGAAGCAGAGCTAAAGAAATTCAAGGTGTTTTCTACGATATTTAATTTAAAGGAATATTATTTTATTATTGACCATATTGACCAAAATTTAACTTTATGAAACTTTTTGGGCCAGTAAAACTTGAACCACAATATTAGTATTTTGTAATTTTCTAGAACCATGCAGAAGAACTGAAAAGGCTGAATATTGTTGGGGATACAATCGCGCTTCTTGCTGAATTCCGTAAACAAAAAAAAAATGTTCTTGTCGAAGGTGCGAATGGAACTTTACTTGATATCGACTTTGGTTTGTTTAACTTTTTTTTTTAATTTTATGGATTTTTCTCTTTTTGAAGGCTTTCTATAGTTTTTAAAATGCTAACATCTCGCAAATTTTCATTGCATGAGCATTCTAGGCACTTATCCCTATGTTACTTCATCAAATGCGACAGTAGGCGGTGCGATAACTGGTCTTGGTATACCACCATTAGCAGTAAAGGATGTAATCGCAGTGGTTAAAGCGTACCAAACGCGAGTAGGATCTGGTCCATTCCCAACAGAAAGAGAGGATGACGTCGGATGTAAATTGCAGACTCTTGGCCATGAAGTAATGCTTCATAAATTTCTTTAATTTTGTTTTTTAAAGACAAGTATAATAATTTTTCGGCTTATCTTCTCAAAATTTTAATGGTTCATCTAATATTGCTTTTATATCCTTGAATTTAAGATTGGTGTCACAACAGGTCGCAAACGACGATGCGGTTTCTTGGACCTTTTTCTCTTAAAAAGAGCCCATATTATAAATGGATTTACTGCGTAAATTGATAAAAAATTTGTCTTAACATTTTAATATTATAGATTTCTTTTCCGAATAAGAAAAGCCTGACTTAGCATATTTCATTCTCTTTTTTTTATAGTGATTTATTTTTGAATTTACAGCTTAGCTTTGACGAAGCTAGATATTCTCGATGCCTTTTCAGTTATAGATGTTGCGGTCGCTTATAAGTTGGAAGGAAAAGAAATTGTATCACCTCCATGTAAGTAATTTTGTTTGAATAAAATATCCGTTGTGAAAATCTCGTTAAATTCTACCATTCTTTACTATTCGGCAATTTTGAATTTTTATAAGATTGGCGTATTTTGGATTTCACTGGGAATATCCTTTTCTCCACATCATCACAGGTTAAATTTTCTTATTTTTTAGCATGTGCAGAAGATTGGAAGGATATTGAAGTAGTTTATAAGTCACTGCCTGGATGGGCAACACCAATATTTCAAATTCGAAAATTTGACGACTTACCGAAAAATTGTCGTGATTACGTTGAATTTATCGAACAATTCATTGGAGTACCTGTTAGATGGATTGGTGTTGGTGAGGATCGCGAAGCTCTGATAGTTAGAAATTGAATGTCTGATAAGTTTCGATGAATTATGAATTAATCGCTGGTTCTATATCCGTTAATCTTTTGATAATATGAAATGAAATAAATTTGCAATTCTGATTATTCTATTCACAAGAAGGCAAGCAAAATAATTTGACGACAACATTAGAATCTGATTGAATAGTTCTCGTGTAGTTATCGTATATTATTCCTTGTTCACGAATGATTTACTTAGAATGATTTATTAACTCGAGAAGGATTCAACTGACTGAGGAGTGCTTAGTAGTTATAGATATTAATGTTTTAAAAGCATCAGTGGAACTAATAGTAATTACTTTTTTGTAGATTAAAATTTTCTTTGTAGATCAATAATATTTTAAAATTCCTATATTGATAAAAATAAAATGAATGATAAAAATTTCTTGCATAATTATAATTTTTTAGTTAATTTTCTATTCATATAAAAATTTTTCAATAAATATACATGGCATATGAAAAATAAAAAGAATGGCAAAGGCGTTTATCTTTTTTTGCTTTTTTTTTAATATGAATTATAAATAAATAAATAAATAAATAAAGTTTTTTTTTTTAATTTAATTTATTGAATTTATTTCATTTGTTTGAAAGCAATTTAAGCAGGATGCGATGCATATTTTAATAAAAGTTTTTTGAATATTTTAGTAAAAGTCATTCGAAAACTGAAATAATACGAAGTAAAAAATATAAAAAATGCAAAAGTACAAGAAAAGTAAGTGAAGTAAATTAGTCATAAAGGAAACCTAACAGCTGTCACCATCACTGGTTAGACTGACTCGGCTGACTGCAGGAGTAAGACGTTTCCAAGCTGATGGTAATGGAAGCCATTCTCGTCTAAATTGACACTGAGCTGGTCTCCCTATACGTTCCAAATCTTTCCTGACTGTATTAGTCCGGTTCTCGCTTTTAACACCACCCATCATAGGAAATTAAGGAAATCAGAAGCATATATTTGTCATTTAGCGATAGAGGTGCAGATGAGGCTCCAGTATTACCTGGATTTTTGAAATACAATTCAAATATGGACGCTCCGAAAGAAGAGCAGCAACCTACGAAACCTATTAAGTCTCCCTAGTCGGTCTAATAAATCTTTAAAATTTCCAGGAGAATATTTTGGGAATTGGGGAATTGTAGATGATGTCCTTGGCACTGTTAGGATATATAAACAGGTTAACTCTTGCTAAGGATGGAAAGGATCGAATTAACGATGCTCGACGCAAATTGAAGCAATCGATTGTACTCGAACCAGTTCTACCTATTATCAAATCTTCTGGAACTATGACTAGCCAAATTCGTTTTTAAGTCATTTTAAAATGCCTCAATGGTTTCTTAATTCGTATAAAGAACCATAACCATATCACTTATAAGAAATTAAAATTTTTCTTTTTTTATTTTCCTTTTTCTTTTCCCTTTTCCTTCTTCATTTTCCTTTTTCGTTTTTCCTTTTTCTAATAATTGAATAATTTTTTCATTCAACATTTCAACATTTTCATAATAAAATTCATAATTTTATTCATATAAAAAATTTTTTCAAAAAAATTATCACTTTCAATTTAAAAAAAAAAAAAATTCAATAAATAATAATATTTCGTTTTCATCGTTATAACTGCTTAACGCTTATATTCACTATAAATATTCCTTCAATTCTCTAATTTATATTATTTTTATTTTTCGCTATTTTATCGAAAAATTCGCAGGAATCAGCTGACTAAGCGATGATAAACAATATTAACTGAGTCGACTGACTCATTCATTCTTCATACGCTCACGTCGTTCTGTTGAAATCATTCGTTTTCGCTGCGCGTTTCGACTTGATTTGTAGAGAAATTTTGTAAAATTTTAATGATTTGATTTGAAAAAAAAATAAAAAAGCCTAAGCCTAGGCGGCCTAAATTAAATTACTACGCGCTAAGCGAAGGCTTTTTAAATTTTCCAATAAATTTCTCTATTTTCTTTGCAGAATTTGATAAAAAAAGGCAGAAAAAAAAGAGATAATGCATTATTATATTTATTATTTTATAAATATTATATTTTATTATTATTATCTATTATCATATCATTATATTGTTATTATGATAATTTTGTGTTATATAAATTTTTTAAATTCTTTTAATTTTTAGTTATTTCATAAATAAATTATTATAACGAAATATTGTGGAACAAAAGATTATGGAAGAGTAGGGCAGTGGAGAGGTCAAATGATCGTTAAGGCATCTAGAATCAACTTTCATAGACCAGTCTTCTTCATTTTCACCGAAGAATATTTTTACATAGAAAAAAAAAGTCAATGCACCAATATGACCCATACGATAACGCAGCGCTCACCAATTTTTGGGCAAATTAAATAAGGTGACACCTGTGATAAATCTCGATGAATGTGAAATGTTCATTTTATAATACGCCCTTGTCAGGTGTGCGACTGATCTTTTTTTAGTTGCGTTGCCGAATTCTTTTATTTCTATTTCGGGGAGGGGGAAGGGAGGGGGGAGGGGGAGGGGATAAATATTGAAGAGTATTTTTTCTTTCATTACAAATGGTACTTTGGTAATCGCTTTTTGTTTTTATGAGTGAAATTAAGTGAGTCAGAAAATGTTTGTGAAAGTGGTGAAAATTTTGGTAAAAAGACGATTGTTTTGATTATTATTTTTAATAAAAAATTTAAAATTATTTTATTTTTTAGAATAGAATATGACGAATTCGAATCAAGATATAAGCGTAAAACTCATAAATAAGGGAATTTTTCGAAGATTTATTCTTCGTAAAACAGCTGACTCAGATTTATTTAGTGAACTCCTCAAAAAGGTTCAAATGTTTGATCCAGAATTCAGTGGACATCTCGCCTGGCAAGGTCATAACTTTATTTGAGTTGATTTTCAGTTATCAGTCATCAAAGATCTTTATCAATTTACCACATATATAGTGCATCGATGTGATAAAATCAAATTATCATTATAAGATGGAAAATAATATAGCATAATTAGTTCGATCATGTTCTATAGGATTCTATAGGCTGGATTAAATCGACAAATTTAGCTTTGGACTTAAATTTACCAAGCAGAGCGACAAGTGTGAAGTGGAAATTGAAAAAAAAATTAGAGATATTTGTAGAAATTAGAAATTAAAAATTTATAGCCTTTTATAGATTCGGATGGTGATTTAATTCTATTCTCAAGCGAAGAAGAACTGTTGCACGCAATAAGAATTCAGTCTTGTGATGTATTCCGAATTGTTACTGTTGGTAAAAAATATTTTTCCCCTTTTTTTCTATAGTTTTAAGTGTTTCTGATCGGAGTTCTCATTATTATTGAAAACATAGTCTATAATTAGAAATGATAATTATAATTGATAATTGTTTTGAGAAAAATTTATTGGATCTTTATCGAATTCTTTAAAGGGAATCTGTTAAATAAATAAATCGGTGAGGAATCGGTGTATTTCTATGTTTCAGCTGCATAAATATTAGATAAACTATTGCCGATTAAATTTCTCTCTAAGAATATTTTAATTTAATATTTTAATTTATAAAAAAAAAAAAAATTTCCCAGATCAAAATGGCCGTATATTGGAACGTGAAAACGGTACAACGAATAAACGATCGAAAATTGGAGAAGATTATCAGAAAGATAAACGAGCGAAGACTGGAGAAGATTATCAGAAAATTAGCGAAACGGTGATTATTTTTAATATATGCATATTATATTAATTTGCATAATTGTTTCGTTAAACCAATTTTTTAAATTTTTTATCTGATAATTTATGCGTTTTTTTAGTTTTTTATTTGCTTAGGTGATAATTATTTATGATCCATTTAGTAAATATTCTAATTTTTCTAATTCATCTTTCTCCTTATGATTTTCCAGTATTTAGATGTTGGAGATCGACTAGTTTGTTGCATTGGCTAAAAAAAAAATTCGATTCGATCCGTTCCGTTCCGTTCCGCTCCGTTCCGTTCAGTCCCGTCTCTTAGTAGGGGCAAATCTATCCATTACAAATGAAATTCTATTCGTAGTGGCAAATTAGATTAATATCTAGCAAAAAGAATCTTTACTCTTATCATCATTGGAGCTAATCGAACTAGCTCGATGATAAAAAATTTAGATTTTTTTTTTTCAAGGAAGGAATAAACCTATTGATAATTTGTGATTATTGCGATCGTTCTATTGATGGAATTCTTTATGAATGCGTGATTTGCTCTGATTTTCATTTATGCGGTAATTGTGAAAAACGTGGTTCACACGGCAATCATCCATTAATACGTTATGCTAATTTGAATACGCCAGTATATTTTTATATTAATTTTATCTATAAAATTCTTTTATAATTTTTTATTCAAAATTTCATTATATTTATTTATTTTTTCTTTTCATAGAATTTAATATATTTTTTAAAAAATTAAATTTTATTTTTTTTTTAATTAAAAATTTTTTTTTACTAATTTCAGCGTATCGGAAAATTTATGAAATCATTGATAAATGAGAAAAATTATCAATGTTTAAATAATCATTCTTCGGCAATCAAATGCGTTGATATTTTTGAAAAATTTTATATCGATAAACATAAGAAAAAATCTACGCAAAAAATTAAAAAATGTCCATTAACAAAGATTTGCGCAGATGAATTCAATAAAACAATCAATAATCAAAAAAATTTGGAGAAAAAAAATAATGAAAATTCTACGGAACAAATTCGTTTAAAAATGGGTGAATGTTGGAAACGAAAACATCGACTAAATGGTTCAGTTCAAAAAACTAGCAGAAATATTAAGGCAAAAGCGAATTCAAATTCGATGAATAGCGTCGGTGTTGTTGAATCTTTAGATGGAATAAAATCAGATTTAAAGAAAATTGCTGATGAAACGGCGCAAAAACTCACTTCTGAATCAACGGATGCAATGAAACAAGCTGCATGGCAAGCCGCTTCTTCCTCTTCCGAGATTTTGAAACAGGCTGCTTCTGCAGCTGCACAACAAGCTGCTATTGCAGCCAGTGCTCTTCATCAAGTAAGAAATTTATTATTATTATTATTATTGTATAAAACTAACTGAATTGAATTGTTTGTATTGAAAATCAATATTATTTATGGTTTTCTTGTTTTTTTTTTTATAATATATTTTATATTAATGGAAATTTTTAAGGAATTGGTTAATTTAACCGAAACAAATGAGAATTTTTCCCCATTAATTAGTACAACTTTTGCTAATGGAATGGATTATTTGATGGAAGTTGGAAATCAAATTCAACAAGCTTTAATTAATTTTGGTAATTAAACAATTTTCTAAAGTTGTTTTTTTTTCGAGAATCAATTTCTATTGAATCAATTTATGAATTTTAGGAATCGATGTTGACATTGATATCGAACATAATGGTGTAACTGAGCGCATAAAGCAGTCGGAAGTAAAAGAAGGAGTGAAGAACGATAAAAATACTTGTACGGATCAAGAAGTTTTGGAAGATAATGGCGATGATGCCGTTAACGATTCGAATGGCGTGAGTCTTTTTTTTTTGAGCCGCTTTTTTGCGTTTTTCATTTCATTTAATAAAAAGTAAACGTCGATTTTGATTATAGGATCAGAAAGATTTGGAGACGCGATTGAATGATATTCATATCTCTTCGCATGATAATAGCACCGATGAACAATTGGAGAATGCTGTGGATCAAAATTCGTCTTTTGATTCTGATGAACAATGGACTGTTCTTGATCAGAAATGTATTGATGCAGATAAGGGTGATAATTTAAGTGATAATTAGGAATGGTATTTCATTTGGTGTTATCAGCTATTCTTTCAGTTTTTTTATTTATTTAGGAGAGTTGTTAAATACTTCGCAATCATTATGCTCTTTCTATCCGGATATTTCGTCGCAGAAAATTTCTGAAGATCAAAATGATTTGGTTGCTCGCGTTAATTTCTCGCAAATCCCATTTAAAGATTCTTTTGATGGGAGTAAATCGCCTATTGTTCCTTTACAAACGGATGAACAATGGATTGATATGGCCAATTCATCGGAAATGCGTATTTTTACTTCTTAAATCTTTTTTTGATGGAAGTCTTAAATCTTTATTGGTTTTATGTGATTATTAATACCCACTGATCATATAAATTTTGAAGGCAACAACTCCATGTTTGGTGTTGAATCGGTTGAAGTATGGCAAAGTGATGCCAATTCTAATGCAGTTGGAAATATATGTATGGCTGGAACGCCTTTTTTTCATCCTAGTGATCCTCATTCTTATCGTGGTGAACTTTTAATCGCAGGTTTTGATTTTTGTCACTTGATACCAAATTAGTTTTTTGTCCTATTATTTCCCATAATTCCTTTCCCAGTTAAAAGACTAATTTTTTTCATTCTATTATTAATTCACAGTTTTCAATAATTATGTTCTCTTAAGATAAAAACGTGCGAAGCTGTATTGATCAGTTGGAAGTGATGGGGTTCGACAACTGCAATGGATGGCTTACAAAATTGGCCATCGAATTTAATGGAGATATTGATAAGGTGATTGAGGAAGCCAGCAAGGATCCGATTTATGTATCCCGTATCGAATCAACTCCTAAGTGATTTGGCGTATCATTCATCTTCATTTCTTGTTAATTTTTTCATCGTTTTTTCATCCTCCTTCCCACTTCCTTCATCCTTTTTCCTCATTTTTTTTGGTTTTTTTCAATTTTATTGGGGTTTTTTTTTTTAAATCAAATATCAATTTAGCAGAATAGTCTCTATAAACAAACAAGGGAGGGGGTGTATGCTGGATCTCTATCCAAATGGTTAGCTGGCGAAGGGATCGTCTCATCCTATGTTTTAGCGTTTGATGACAGAATATTTTAGAATAAAAAAACTATCTGAAACTAATTTTTTTGTGGAAAAGTAAACCATTTTGTCAAGCGAATGATTTATGAAAATCGCTTTCTGGATAAATTGTTGGTTTTACTGTCGGTTTTATTAGATTATAAAAAATTCCTTTAGCATTTGTTTGAAAATGCGAAGTACGATTTTTTTTTTGAACCTTATTTTTTTTATTAAGTTCTGATGTGTAATATTTCGAATGACTTCGTTTGATGATCACATTTAGCTTTTATAAGTTTTCCGATATTGGCATTAAATATTTTGTTATCCATGCGATGATAGTCCATGGATCTTAAATATTTTGGAAAGCCTAAATCTCTCTCACATTTTTCTTTCATCTCTCCATTCGAATAAAATTGATTTTATTCGTGAGGAGATTTGATAATTTCTCTTTCCATTAGATTTGGAATTTCTTAAATTTTTTGTTGTATTCACTCGTTTAAATAGTAATTATAGCGAGTCGAGTATCATTTATTTTTAAGGCTGTGTTTTAATAAAATATTTTAGCATTCTGTTCAGTACAAAATGTTCAATTTACGTTCAAAATAAAATAATAATTAATGTAATATATAAAATATGAAAAATATGAATATGAATATGAGTGACAAACACTAGCAAAAAAAAGCCGACAGAAGAGCGAGGGAGAGCGCGAAGTATTTTAAAATTTTATGGGGAAGTGTAGGCTTAATTTGGTAAATTTATGGTTCCAAAATTAAGAAAAATAAATTTGGAAAAAGAATTTCACTATAATAAATTACGTTACATTGGAGATCGATAGACCGACTGCGCATTCGTATTGAACGTTCTCAGGGATAGGAAAGAGGATTAGTAAGAGGCGGGAAGGTCCGCCCACAGTGGACGCATCGAGAATTTATATCTGCCGCTTCACTTTTTTGCGAATTTATATCTGTCAAATAACTGGTGCAGGTTTTTTTTTTTGTGTTAGTGGTGATTTTTCGATGGTTTTATCAGTAAAGACGCATAGGTTATAAATTTCTCTTAGTTAAGTTGGGTTTACGCTGATATTATCAAATTCATTTTATTTGCGGCCAATTTATTTTTAAATGTAAATTGTGGATTTCGCAATGAATCAATTTTCTATTTGTAAGATTCAACTTAAAATTTAAATGATAATTTTGATAAAATATAAAACTATTCATATATTAGACGAAGCATTTCAGAAATAAATTTGGCAATGGTAATTTATAGATGCCGCTTATCAGTATTGTTTAAACGTTGAAAATAATTTATCATTTTTCTTTTTTTTTTTTTTCAATTTACAGAATATTAACAAAGAGATAGAAAGTGAAAGTTAAAAGAAGTGATGGGCGCTTTACTTGCTGTTCCAGCTTTCGCTTCATCTGTTAGTGATTTTTTTGATTATATTAAAATAAAGAAAATAAAAAATCATTTGAAGAAATATAAATTATTGCGTTATGTAATTTTAAAAAATTCAAAAAGGAGGATTAAAGAAGATAAAGAGAGGGGTAAAGAGGAGATTTCTAATTATCGAAATTTTCGCTTTAGACCTGCAAAATTTTTAAGTATTAATCGTACGTTTTCAAAGATTTATAATTGTGAATTTTTAGTTAGCATTTTTATTTATAGTTAGCGTGTTGTTTTGGAAGTGCAGCATGTTCGCTATGTTGTACTGCATGTCCGACAACACGAAGCTCATTGACGACACGTATTATGTATGCTGGAATGCTTCTCATCGGCACATTTGTCGCGTGTTTGATGCTTGCACCTGGAATACAAGCAAAACTGGCTGAAGTTGGATTTTTTTGTCTTTATTATTCGTTATTACTCATTAATTGAAATTAAATAAAGGTTTCGTTAAAGAAACAAAAAATTTTACCTAAATAAAGATATTGATAAATAATAATGACAATAATGATAAAATTGGTAAAAATTCCCGTAGAAAAAGTTTCTATTAATCATTTGTTTTTTTAGTCAAGTTGGTTCTGTCAAGGTTTATCGGGTATTGCGGGAATAAATTGTAATCGCGCAACTGGTTTTCAAGCGGTTTACAGGCTGGTTTTTCTTCCACTTATATCTTGTTATTTTATTAAGATTATTTGTTTTATTCATGCAACAAAAACAGACAGTTTTACTTTTACCTTGTCCAGTGATATCACGATTATTATGTTTAATATTTCATCTTTCAACGATTATCCTTCTTCTTTCTTATTTTAAGAAAATTGTTTCCGCCACAAAATTCCCTTGTATTGCATTTCTACACCTGCTTCCTTCATTTTTAGCATCATCTCTGGTGAGGAGTTGCAAAATTTTCATTTCATTCAGTTGATTTTTAAGATATATATCAATAATCGCGTAAACAAATACTTGTTTATGTAAGAATTTGTGATTGGTATATATCGTATTGTTTAATTAATTTTTTTTTGTAATATGTGTTTTATAATTCTCTGATTGACAACATTTGCATGTTAAAGAATGATTATTTAGTTAATCAGCTTATCAATATAAATCTGAAGTTTTATCTTTTTTAAGACAACATTATGACTCTTTTGCGAGTTTATCTGAGGTGATATTACATTTTTCCTTCATCTTTTGTGGATAATATCATTTTATGGCATTATCTTATGGCATTTTATGCTTATTTTATACTCATTTATTCTGTTATTATTTCGTTTTGGAAATACCAGTACTCAAATTATTCATATTTTTCAATTTCTACATTTAACCATTGTCCACCGTTTCATTTGCGTGTTTAATTGATCCTTAATTGGTCTCTGATAACTTTTCAAAATTACATCTATTTTTAATCTATTTTACATCTTTTTCAGCATAAAGAAGCCATTTAACGAAAGTTGCATCTTTCTAAGCTGAAAATTCTTATTTGATCTCTCGAGATTTCAGATTATGTGCTGCTATGGCTACATTTTTCTTCATTTTTATGGTCTTGATGTTTGGTGTTAAATCATCGAGTGACACTCGTTCGAAAATTCAAAACGGTTTTTGGTTTTTCAAGTATATAATTTTGATTGGTATTGCTGTTGGATTTTTTTATATTCGCTCGGAGCATTTGTCAGAACGTAAGAAATTTTATCCCTAATTTACTCCACTTCTTTCGTAAAAATAATGGATAATTAACAGCCCGTAATCTATGGGAAACAGATTACGTTTTGTTTCAAATTTTTTTAATCTAATCTTTTAATCGTTTTTAGCACTATTATGGATTGGCTTGCTCGGTGGTTTCATTTTTATATTACTGCAGTTAATACTCATCGTTGATTTTTCGCACTCACTGGCCGAAAATTGGATTAGAAAATATGAAGAAAATGAGAGTCGTGCTTGTTACTGTGGTTTGCATTCTTTCTTAAAATTTATTAAGTAGGATGACTATTTTTTTAATGATTTATAGTGATGAATTTTCAAAATTCTGCGCAAGAAAATCTGTAGAAGGAAGAAAAAGCCAACGTTTCTTTTTTGGTTTTGTATTACGAATTTCAGGGCTTTTGACGTTTATTGCTATATGCTATGGATTAAGCATTACAGCTATCATTTTAATGTTCAAATTCTATACAACTGTAAATATATTTTCTAAATCACTTGTTTTTTTCATTTAAATTTCTTCAGTTATTTCTTGAAATTGTTATGACATTTTTTCCTGAATAGTATCAAAAAGGAAATACGAAAAATAATAAGGTTGAAAGACCAAAAGTCCACTAATTATACTGAAGTTTCCTCGTTCAGGGTGGCGCATGTCATTTACCGAAATTTTTTATATCCTTCAATGTTATTCTTTGTTTCTTGGCATCAATATTCTCTATTCTTGGACGGATCCAGGAGCATATGCCACGTTCTGGCCTACTTCAGTCATCATTTATTACTCTCTATACGATGTATATTACATGGTCGGCACTAATCAATAATCCGGGTTAGTGCTGCTGATTGTTCTGTTTCGACTTTTACTCACTTTTCACTCACTTTTTTAATTTATTTTAACATTTATTGTTAAAATAGTTTCCTGATGGTTTCCTTTCTGAAGAAATTTTTTCAGATAAAAAATGCAATCCATCACTCATTAGTATATTCACAAATCGAACCAGTCCTCATGGCGAAGTTTTATTTATTTTTTGAACATTTTAAATAGAATTTTACTAATTTTATAAAAAAACACATTTAAACATAATTTGATGCTTTTATTGAATCAGTTTATTAGGATGTCTATGGAACTCCATTACCAGCCGAATCGCTTGTGTCACTTTTGATTTGGTTCATATGCATTTTATACGCTTCATTTCGAACATCATCCAGCTTTAATAAAATCGCGGGTGGAATATCTCATGGAGAAATGGAATCGTCGCTTAATGGTTCTGAACAGCATATTTTCTGTGAAGGTTTATTCGATTTTCTCTTCCTCTTGTTGCATTGTTCTATACCATTTCGGTTGCTACCTGATTCTGATCGAAGGCCCAAAAACTTATGATATATAAGTAAAGAGGTGAGGTGATTTTGTAGGAATAAAGATTAGCGATTTTGGGTTGTCATTAATGCTGTATTGCTCTACTTCTTATTATAATAGTCTTATTTAAGTCAAATCGCTAAAAATTGTTTCGGTTGCAGTGTATTAATTAAAATATTAACTTTTTACCTTTTGCATTCTTTTTTATAAGTAATTTATTTATTGTAACAAGAGGACGATGAAAATTTCTTTTCTGGCTTTTATTATCGCTGTGGTTATAATTATTTTATCAGTCTTGATGTTTCTGTTTTGCATGCATATAATTCTTAAAATTTTTTTCTATCCACTTTTTCTTATTCTTTCTGGCGCCATTTTTGGTTTGATCTGATGAGGCGTTGCCAAGTATTTTGAACCAAAGAATTCCGTTGAACCTGGCCTTTTTCTTATTTTTTTAAATGAATTAAAAAGGTTTTCGCTTTTTATCCATTTTTTCATGAAGCGGCCCTTTATGATATATATCTTTAAATTTATCTTTTCATTGGAGAAAAATCAGTTAGAGATTATTCTAGCAGTTCCTTCCATGGCAAAAATTTTCTTCCTTTTACTTCTAGATGACATTGAATGGAGTCGATTAAATTTTTCTTTAAATAATCGTCAGTTTAAATGTTCGCATGATCCTAATTCTTTTTCAACTCGATATTAAATACAATACTTTTAAGTAAGAAAGATTATTTTAAGATAATGCAGAATCGCAAGGTCGAACTTGGGATGATGAAAGAGAAGCTGTTTCCTACAGTTATTCATTCTTTCACTTCGTCTTTGGCCTCGCATCACTCTACGTGATGATGACACTCACCAGTTGGTACAAGTTGGTCTTCTTTTCTTGCTTTTTATTCGGTAAAGAGCTGTGTTAACTTCTGAAATGATATTGCAGTTTCTAAACTATTTAAAAATATCGAATTTTCGCAGAAGATTCAACTTCTATCTTTTTTTCACTTCAGACCTGACAGTGATTTACGACATTTGAACAGTAATATGGCTGCTGTCTGGGTAAAAATCGTTTCTTCGTGGCTTTGCTTAGCTTTATACACATGGACTCTGGCAGCACCAGCCTTATTTCCTGATCGGGATTTTTCGTAATAAGTGAATCCATGCTTTGCTTTAATTTGCTTGTTTTTCATTCGCTGTATCTATACTAGCTTATTGCTGTGAGAATGATTTATATCAAGTATATATCAATACTTGTTCGATAATGGTCAAAAATAACACGGCATGGCACTTCGACATTTGCATTTTATGTTTTTAAAATTTTTCATGAAAGAAGATATCAATATACTCCATTTTTTTATTTATTGCTTAAATAATTCATAAATTTAATGTAGAATAAAACTGATTTTAACCTGCATTTTTATTTATTTTCTTGGTTCTCTTCATCACCAAAGTTATATTTTATCATTTTCTGTGATTTTAGTAAAGCGCAAATTGAAGGATTTTATGCATTGAATCGTTGCCATTTTCATTTTCGTGTGGGTCACTAAGTATTCATTCGTTAAGCGGTTTATATTTTTACTTTAATTTCAACCTGCGGAGATAATCAAATTGTCTTCAGGCTTTGCTGTACCTCTTGACCTCAAAGCCCTTGATTTCTAGCTCGACATCAACAAATCTCTGTAATTCTCAAATTCCGCAAATTTGAGTTTTGTGCCGCAAGTCACAGTGGTTTTAATTTTGAAATATAACAGTTTGTAATTGCTGGAAAAATCGGTGGTAGACTTAGTAAGGCGTTAAGGCAAAGTGATGTGAATGGCATCAAGCTGGTTCGGAGAGGGTTAAAATTGACTTGTAATTGGTCACAGATGGACTATGGCTAGTAAATAAATTGGCATTTTGTGGATGACGTGAGGGTTCATGATATCAGGTTTTTCAGAAAGTTATAGGCATTAAGGAAGTGCTAGGAAATTTAAGTAGAATAGCTAACTGAGTCATTGATCAATTTGTAGCGTCGGCGCTGAAGTTCTACTCTTCGCAGGACTGTCCAAAAATCCGGGATATGCTGGTGATTCAGAGACCCCTTGGCATATTTTTTCAGTGCGACAGGCTAGTGGAGCGAATTTGGTGGGACAAGGCGTTGTAAATCTGAGGGGCTCTGGCTGTGAATAGTATGGTGGGCTGTTGAAGAGTATTATGACGAGTAAGAAAATTTTGCAGATTTCGGGTAGAATGTGTGGGTTATTTCGGAGCTTATACCTGCATATACACACCTATTAGCAATTACACGTTCAAGCGTGCAATGCATATACATACGAACGGATGTGCAGATATACACGTAACATATGCGTACGAGTACATGAGTGTGAGCATTCACAATTCATTTTTGTGTCAAGAGCTGCCATTTTTTCTTTTTGAGCTCTATTAATAGAGCCTTTTTTTTTAGTTTGGTTCCACGAAATATGGTTGTTGAACTGGAGAAAATGGAGCGTTATGCTGGGCCGGTATGTATTTTATCATATATAAATGTTTCGGGTAATTAGGGACATTTATTTTACAAAAATCTTTATATACTTTGACGCAGTTTATTTTTTGCTATAAGATTTGTAAGGGAATTATAAGAAAGAAATTTTTTGCTATTTATAAATTGTTTTTATGTAATTAGTGATTAATCCATATTATAGGTTAATCCGTCGTTATATCCGCAGATGGCTGTGGTGCTGCTCGGGATTGGTCTTTTCTTCATGGCCTGGTTCTTCGTTTATGAGGTGAACCTTATCTTTTTGTTTATTAATTGTGTTTGAAGATTAGCAAGGCTTATAAACGTTTCCCGAGTTTTGATTTAAAATTTAAGTTGATTTTTAGGTCACTTCCACAAAATATACACGGATTTTGCTGAAGGAATTGCTAATATCTGCTGTTGCAGCTCTGTTTCTGGGATTCGGTTCAGTCTTTCTAATGTTATGGGTCGGAATCTATGTATGATTAACATTAACATGATTAACATTTAACTTTGGTTCTTTATTTATTTTTTTCTATGATTTGAAGAAAGCCTTATGAATTTTTTGTGGTGTGGTGTTCTTTGTTTTCCTCTTTTAACCCATTTTGCACCAAATTCAACAACCTTTTACCTTTTTCGTTCTCGGGTGCGATATTTTTCCTCATTATTTTCCTCCACTCTTCTGTTTTATAAGCTGTGGTTAATTATTTTTTCATAAATGATTATTTTATTTTATTAGTTTTCAGCTGTTATTGTTATTAAAATTAAAACTGAATAAATAAATTGTTAACTTGATAGAATTTTTTCATTTCGTTCTTTTTAATTAATTTTTAATTACTTTTTTTTTCCAAATTTCTTCTATTTCCGATTTAGTTTTTACTAGGGAAAGTGCTAATCCAGATTTATTCAATGGAAATTCAAAATAGAATATTTTTAAAAATGTTTTTAAAAATTTATAAAATGATTTCACTGAAGCTATAATCCAAGGTAAATTTTTAAATTTTTTACGATTTTTGCTATGTTTTCATTATTGATTCGTTGTTGATTTTAGAAGTAATAAAAGAAATGAAATGCTATATGTTGAATTGTAAAATATTATAATAAAACACACTTCATAGGATGATAGGTTTTTTTTTTTGGTAATAATAATATAGAAATTTAAAGTTCTGTTAATAGAATAGAAATGGATAAATCCTTGAACGGTAGAAATTTTCTTCCTTAGTAACATTCGCTATTCCCAGTTTATTTCCCTATCCTTAAATCGTTTTGCTAGAACTTTATTTCATGAAACGCCTCAATAGCAAGCATTGCATTGTTATTTCGATGTTTTACAATTATGCTCATGATTATTCACTTATCAGTTTATCAGTTAAAATCGGATTAAAATTTTTGAATATAGGAAGTTTCCAGTATGGAAACGAGCTGATTTAATATAGTACAAAATAAAGAAACACAAACATGTACAAAAAACATTTGGCGTATATAGGTTTTTTTATTTGCGATATTCGCGATAGATCCATCATCCATCATCGTTTTCGTTGCTTACAATACAATTGACAATCAGATAATGTCTCGAAGCGGTTAGCATTTCCACCACATGATTGCGTACCAAATGGATAACACTGTTCAGTCGCCATATCAAAATAATAGCGAGTGATTAGATGTTCGATTCTATCATCAAATTGATCATTTTGCTGCATATGTAAAGAAGGGCATAAACCGGAATCTAAACGTAAGTGAAGAAACAAACTGCTTAATTTAATAATTTTCTATGAGATTACACTTAGTAGTGCTAAATGGTATAATTCGTGGTTCGCGAAATGTAAAGGTCTTTTCAAAAATTTATATTTATATTAATTAATATTTATATTTATATTAATATTTATATTTATAAATTAGGTTTTTTATATTTTATTAGATAATATCCACTAAATTTATCGCTATTTACTGTATTAATATTATAAATATAAATATTAATTATTATTTATAATATTAATTAATAATGTTATAAAAGTTTTTTTTCGTCCTACTATGGGTGGTGAGAATCATCTTCAACCTCATCTCCTCTACCAGATTGAGGGTTTCGTTCCTAATAGTACGCCTTTTTGGATAGAGATCTCTAATGTTGCTCTCGGAATCTGCTAAAGCTAGTTTAGGAGTCAAAATTCCAACTACTCCAATTATCAATGTGATTATTTTGGCCTTTATTTTTCACATCTTCTCTTGTTCTTTATTATTTATATAAGAATGATATTTACAATATTATTTATTTAGGAAATTTTATTTAAAATAAATTTTATTTTTTTACGAAAATTTGGATTTTTTGTCAGAAAGAATTCATCGCTATAATTTATAGAACTGAATTCGATTTTGGATTTACAAATCAGGTTTTATAATTCCAAAGAATTTGAATTAAAATTGTTACATTTAATTAAAAATTGGCTCTTTTTTTGTATTGTAATTATCTATGCAATTAATAAAACGAAGAATTTGAAAAGAACTGAATTTGGAAAAATTAATAAATATAATAACCGATTGTAAAGCCATTAATAGCTATGGAACTATATCATATTTAAGCAGGAAGCGGTAATTTATACTCTTTGAAAAAAAGCTAAACTGGTTGTTTTATAAATCATCGAACACTGCTGGCGTAATTCATCTATACTTCTATTGCTAAATGACTTCCTAGCAAAATATACGTTGTCCGGAAAAGCTAACTGAGGAAATGGTAAGCGTTCTTAGAAGAAAAAAAAAAAGAAAAATCCATATGATTCACAAATTTAGGAAAAGAGTTGTCAAAAAAATTTATCGAGGAATTAGTTACTTATTAAAAAAATAAAGATAAGAAATAAATTTAGCGCATTTAAGAAATAATTTTTTATAAGAAAATTACCTGGAGGTAAATAGCAAAGACATGGATAATGCTGTTGTACGTCAAAAACAGGTGGTTCGGGAATACGCAAACCATTAATCAATTTAGAGATTAAAAATACAAAAAATATTTTCGCTATCATCGGTTTCTCTTAGAATCTTTTAACGTTAGCGTCCAATGTTCTTCTGATAATTTCAGGACGAATTTTTACCGCATATCCCCCTTTTGACTGATATTCTTATAGTTTTTCGATTCTTTAGTATAAATCTGAATTATTTTTAAATTGAAAAAAAAACTCTACAAGAATTTGAAATTCACAAAAAATATTAGTAGAGATCATATCACGATTCAATTGTTAATAAAATTTTTCTGGCTTAATCAATTAGATAGATGAAAATCAGAAAACAGCGATAATTATCGATATAGTGGTACCAAATGACTGGAATAACGGAAAAGAGTACGAAGAGCTAGAAAAAATAGCAAGATATTTAAAAAGAAAAGGGATAATTTGGAAAGGTGAAGGCCAAAATGATTCCAGTAGCGCTAGAAGCACTCGGGTTTGCAAGCTCTAAAAATCGTAGGGTACCAGGAAAAAAAAGTATTAGGAATAGCTAAGATAATGCGCGGAGCTCTCAGACTCATAGGGGCATCGAATAAAAGACGGATTTTTATCTAAATATATATATATATATATAGATTTTTCACATGAATCGAAAATAGTTTTTTTGTTCTAAAAAGCCCTCACCATTACTGGTTTAGACTCGCTCCGCTTGCTTATTGCACTAGACAAATGCACCAGAGATTCCCTTGGCGAATAGTACAAGTGAGTCGCCAGCATTAACCAGATTTTTGAGCAGGTTTACTCTTGCGAGGCCTCCAACCCGCTGAGCCATTCTATTCCCATTTTGAAATAGTATTTCGAAAAAAATGAAAAATTTGATTTCATACAATTTCTAAAATTTCCGCTAAAAAACCTCATTAAACTAATAAAATTAATTAATAATGAATTTCTTTTTTTCTTTTTTTTTTTTAGACATTTAATTCAATTAATCAACTGTTTGAGCTGTTGAATGGCACTTATTTTATTTTTTAGCACTAATTCTGGAATTCTGGAATTCTCGCATTTCAGAAAATTAACCTATAAGATCCACGTTTTAGCGATTCATCTATATTGTTTAGTGATAACCAAGTGATTATTGCATTGCTTGGCAAAATTTGCCCGATACGATAAGCCAATGCAATAAACCGAAACCGGAAATATGGTTTAAAAAAAAAAAGAAAAAAAGATATTACAATGGTTGAAAAAATAAATACTAAAAACGATGAACACGAAAAATTTATTATGAAGACGAGCAATGAGTCTTAAAAATTCAAACAAATCTTGAGATACATCGAGAAAACTCTTTGTATTCCACAAACTAGTTTTAACAAATTTCATCTAAGTGCAACCAACTATTTTGCCATATTTTTATTTTCGTATAGGAAACATAACAATAATAATTATACAATTTTTTATTTGTTTCGTCGTTGTTTTTTGTTTACTATTGGGCTATTAAAAATATTATGGCTCTATAACGAAAGAGAATAGGATAATCAAGTGGTGTGATGATATTTCAACAAGTACCATAGCCAGTATCAATCCATTCTCTGACGCCAATCAACCTGTCATAAAAAAGAAATTCAGGTAGTGGTGGTTGATTGACCTATTATCACGCTTTCATTGGTATCTTAATAGCCACTTTAGCCAACCAAATTAAAAATGTTATTGGAAGACTCTCCAATGAAATGGTCTCATCATAGTGTCGTCAGTGCAATAGCCAAACCGAATCGCTGAAACTCATCACAGCACCTACTACTATCTGGGCAAATATTTTAAATCCGTACTTTTTGGACCCTTTCACTGCAATTTCTGTTTAAAGCCCATTATCACCCATTATCACTTGCGATAGTATAAACTGATTAAATCAATTTAAAATGATTTTCTCCTAATAAAACTGCGAATAAGCCTATTTACGCTATTTTTAATATATTAAAGAATCCTTATGAAAAGTAAAAATGATGAAATCAAATAAACATTGATAAAATTCATTCATTACAGTATGATTTATGATTGATACTTTAAATACAACTAATACGTCATTGATAATTACGTGTGAATTTTCCAAAATTTGGTGAAAAAGCCTTATGAAAATTTATGAATGCATTTGGAATAACAATAAGCGCTTATCAATATTATCAATATATAAAGTTTTATTTCGAAATAAGAAAAATCAACTTTCTTAAAGAAAATTTCAAATAGAATGGAATAGCATGTAATTTATAGAGAATTTTTATTGAAGTACCATCGATTCCCAATAAAGAACACAAAAATTTAAACAATAAATTGAAACGAAAGAAATGATAACTCAACAGTAAAAAAAATTTCCCATTTCACGCTTATTACTTCATTCTCGTCGATTACACAAAAAATTATCAAATGGTCATTAATTACAACCGAATTTAAAATATCACCGCAAGCAAATGGCTTATATTAGATAATATCGCCTTATCTTATCAGAATCTTATCATATGGCAAATAAACAACAATGATTGGCAATGACTGTTTGAGGATATATTAGCGATTTTATTCACAAATGACTCTCTGATGAAAGGATATTCCTGAAATTCACGCGAAAATCCATATAATGCTACACTTTCAAGTTCATTTGAATTGAAACAACAAAAAAAAAAAATATTAAAGCAAATAAAAATTTAATCAAAAAAGAAAGATAAAATGAAATTTTAATAAAACATCTTTAAGTAATTTAAAGATTTTTCTGTATTTCTTAAAAGCGCTTTTAAGAATTTAATTAAAAATTTTTAATTTCAATCAATTAAATTTTTTTAATTAATTTTTTTTTTTAAATAAATAAATAATTCTTAGATTATATTTTTTTTTTTAAATTTTCATTACTAACTGAATTTTTTAATCGGTTTGAATTATTATAGAAAATCGACTAATTCTCAACTAAAAGATGAAATGTACCATCAATTAATATTATTATGTAATTGTTATGGCAATCGATGCGCAAAATTGTCCTAAATTAAATTTCTGACCTACTTGGCTTAAATAAACAGAATTTCTATAGAAGAAATGTGATAACTAACACGAAACGATCCATCTATATTCGCATCACTGCATTCTTCCTACATAAATATATATATATATATATTTATATATATATATATATATATTTATATATATTTATATATTTATAAATAATCTTTCTTTTCCAATGAATTAATCTACGCTCAGCTGAATTTTTACGATTTTTATAATAAATATTTATAAAAATACAATAAATAGAACCGATAAAATAAAATAAAATAAAATAATGAAACTATTAAAATAAAATATTAAAAAGAGAATTAGCGAAATTGGTTAGTTAATTTATTCAATTTTAAAGAAAATCTCAAAATCTCATTTTATAATAAAAATTATAAAAATTTGCAAAATTTGACTAATTTTTCTTTTTTTTGGCATTTTTCTATTGGATTTTAGCAATATGAAGAGATGATATTTTACAGAATCGTATAATGTATAAGATTTCCAATAGTTACGATTGGCTATAATGAATGCTGATACTCTTTGGCGAAAGAGATAATTTAAAATAGGAAGATCAATGGAGCCTCAATAGCCATTAGATAGCAATTTTATCAGCATATAAATAATATTGCTTCTTCTTGCGCTTATCCGAAGCAGCAGCACAACTACCACATTTGCCCAATTAAGATTCCTATAATATAAAAAATCTGGTGAAATCCACTTTTATCATTTTATCATTAATGAAGTCCAAATTAAAATAATAAATTTTGTAAACTAGCGATATTTACTCATCCGACGGTGATTGACATATTGAAAGAGATGAAAAATGCTTTTGGTTTAAAAAAATTAAAATGTCAAAAAAGCACTATTTTTGAAACATTTTTGCCCTAAAAAAATTCATTTAGACTGATATCCTAATTGATACAGCGGGTATCCCAGCCACTTTTCTTTTTTTTGAAAGTCCTCACCATTACTAATTAGACTCGCTACGCTACCTTGTCGCACAAGACAAATATGCCATGGAGTCGCTCGGCGATAGAAGTACGGTTAAGTCGCCAGCGCACCACCCAATTATTTTCCCAGCAGTAATTTTCTATCAAATAAAATTGATAACAGAAATATATCCCAGAAAGTTCCACATTAAATCAGAAATATTTCTTAATCATATTCAATCCGATCTGTAATCACTTATCAATCTCATCTATGAAATTTGTACCTATGCATTCAATGCATGCTGTATGAATTTAGAGAGATGCCAATAGCCAATAGTACGATTCCAAATATTTTTCTAGTTGATCTATCCATTTACAAAAGGCGGTCAAGATAGCACTCAATTTTACTCCATTATCTAATATATTACATCGCCAAACCTAGTTTTGAAACAGATTGCACTTAACACCATTAACTCTGGACGTTCACAACAAAACCCATGACAATCTCTCAATGCCTTTTCGAAATTTCTTATGTTCTCGCAGCTTCCTCTCGATGCCCCTTTAATATATCAAATTGTTTTCTCTGCTTTTTATTTTTTGTATAATTTATTATTTATTCCTTAATAAAAAATTTTTATCACATTACTCTACTCCACGTTTGAAGGGCTTATTTGTCAACACTAACGTTAAAACAACAAATAAGATGAGGCATATGAAAATGACTAGAAATTGATGCATAATTAAATTTTTAACTGATCGCACAATAAATATGGTTATTGAGATACCTAATTCTTCCCACAAAAAGAATGAAAAATTAATAACGATGCTCAACAACCATATTTTAAAAAATTACAATGTACAAAACATTTACAGGTGATTATTCCTACCATAAATTATCGTATAATATTTTATTTGAAATTAGCTAATGTAATAACTGATTTAAATTATAAATTTAAAGTACAAATACATAATTTAATGAAATAAAATAGCTACGGCACTAATCTGAGATGGAACATGCAGCGAGGCGATCAGCTGTACTCAACCACTCCGCATTTTGTTCGCACATAATTGATGATAAATGAGATTCTATCTTTTTAAAAGCACGTTTGAATTCCAAGCCATCTCCCCGTGATCGACGAAAATCCAAAAGTAACTTAAAAAGCAAAAAGATTTTTAAATATTCGCTAATTCAATAATTTCTGATATATTGATATTCTGATAAACTAATCTCATTGCCAAAATAAATTATATTAAATTGCCAAATTTACTTATCGATGAAAAAATCTTGAAAATAATACAGAACATTAATTAACCAGTGGTTTACTAAACTCTGGAACATCGACAAATGCGACAATAAAAGATGATTCACGAGAAATAGACACACTTAACTAAAAAATTCTGAGGTGAATTAGAAAATTTTCTCATTTCTTGCAAAAAACTTTAAAAAAAATTTCAAAGATTTTTTGAATTTTTATAGAATTTTCTCAAAGTGGTTGAAACGATGCTATAAAATTAAATAAGTAATGAATAATTTTAAAAATTAGAAAACAAACTTCAGAATCACAACGTGATATACAAACATAATTTTGTACAGCACACGCTTCTAATACCTTGTCAATAGCATTTGATGTTGTTGCATTAACAAAAATACGTGTTGAACGTCTAACGAATAGAGTAGCTGGGTTCTAAGCTTTATTCGATTTTCGAAGAAAAAAAAACCAGTTTGTAGAATTTTAAATCAGAAGGATTTAATAAAAATAGAAAAGTAAAAAAAAAAACAAAAATTCATGAAAATGAATTAAACAACAAATTCAACAATCTTTAAATTCTTTTTTATTTTATTCTACGAAAAATGATGCTAAGAATGTTAAAATTTACGATATGCTGTGATTGATGCGAATCCAGTTGTGACATCCTAGAGAATAAAGCCTCGGAGAATGCATAAGCTGGTTGCGAAAATGAATATTTTTTCAATGAATGCAAGGTACCTCGTCTAAATGTCAAAAATCATAATCAAATCATAATGTAAGAAGAAATGTTTTAATAAAAAAAATTATCAATTTTAAAATTTCAAAAATTTAAAGATTCTTTTAAAATACAAAAAACTCTACAAAATTATGATAACAAATCATGTTTGCAAAATTATGACAGAAGAAATTTTAAAGTCTTATTTAAAAGAATGGTGCAATCGAAGAAAAATAAAAATAGCGAAAACGGAAATCTGACAACTCAAAATTTGAAACTACCACTTAACAATGTTGAAACATAATTGAATTTTCAAACCTTCTGTCGATTGCAAGCAAATCAGTTGAACCAGATGGTTGAGATACCATGCCAGACAAGGATGAACATCTGCAAACTTTAATTTTTAGAAATTTACCATATCCCCTTCAATAATGTTTAAATAAAACTGAATACCAGCTATTCATCTGATTTTTTTCGAGCAGTATAACAAAAGAATTTAGAAGAATTAAACAAGGCTCAATCTTTACCTACAAAGTTTTATAGCTAAGCTAAAATTGATTATATATTTATACTTCGTAAATTTAAAAGAAAACCGAACAGATTGAAATTATGGAAGCCTATTTGAACCAAGATTCAATTGAGAGCATCAGTGAAAATTCCTTTATCAAAAAGATTAAAAAAATATTAGTATTCATTATAGAAATAATTTTTCTAACACCATGATACATGCTCCATCAATAAATAGTTTCAGACCACTAATGACATTTTTTATAAAATCCTTTAAGCTGATTGCAAATTCCATTCCAACTGGTCTATATTTTTACATATGCATCTATTGTTACTTATTACTAGTATCTCTTTTTTACGTTTTCTATTTTCATATCACTCTAGTCACTGATGTCTGAATACTTTTCTGCTACATGAAACATTCCTTATTCCTATACTTTTTATGTAACGATATTTCTGTGATTTATTATTCTGTAAACATATCAGTAATGTAGACAAGGCGTTATACCCTGGTTGTTTCATTGCGTTTCACTGCACAAATAGCTAAATTTAACTATTCAATTTAGTATAGTAAAACAAAAAAGTATGACAAAAATCGAAAAAAAGGATCCAAAATAAAAAAACTTTTGTTTTAATAAATCTAACCTTTTAGAACTGGAACATTCATTCACTGCATCAGTGATATTGGTTCTCGTAATAGGACCTAAAGATAAATGCCATAATCAATTATTTATTATAATGAAATAATGGTCGACTATAAAAATTTCCTGTTGCAGGGAAAAACTTATCTACAGCCTTCAAAATCTACCATTTTTTATTAAATCACTCCAGTCAGTGATGTCTTAATACTTTTCTGTATCCTATTATTCCTTTTTTAAAACCTATCCACCAATGTTTTCTTTTGCGCTAAATTTCTTAGACTTCCATGACCACAGCTTCTGCTCTATTATGTTGTCTGAAATTCCTCGAAACCTTGCTATAATTTTCCATGCCATAATCAATTATTGATATTATTATAAACCATTTCATACTATTTTAACTTCTCTAGACATCATTATAGGCCATCAATAATTTCCTCAATACCTAAAATAACCATTCAAGACTTCAAAATTCCTTCTAATTTTAAACCTTCTTTGACAAACCCTAGCAAATCTACCGTATCGAAACCACATAACAACATTACCTTAGACTCTCTTATAGTGCGCCCTCTCCCTTATACCTCATCATGGTTCTTTAATATACAGCTAAATTCCGTTTCTTACAATCTACTAACATTCTAAAACTCGGAAATCCCAAGTACTTGTGAAATTAAGAAAGTGGATGGTAGTGGGAATTTGAGGACATCAAGACAGAACTTATAAGGACTTGACAAGTATCAAAACAATGTATACGAGAGGAAAACAACGGAATGTTTCCTTAGAATCAAATATCAAGAGAAATATCAAACATTTTTGCACGTAATTTAGGTTTTCATTAGTAAATAAAATTATAAATTTGAAGAATCAGTGAAAGCATTGAAAAATTGCGAAATGAAACGAAAGAACCTTTTTTATACCACGAGCAATCTTGAACCTCATTTATAGTGGCTCGATGACTTTCATTATGAATTAACATCCAAACTATAAGATCTAAAACAAAAAACACCTGAAATAAAATGGTATAACGATAGAAAAAACAAACTATAGCAATTCAGATATCTAATATGTAAAATAAATAAAAGCAAGAAAAGCAAAAAAAAGGAAAAAGTCTAAAAAAATCTAATGAAGCTGAACTATAACAGACCATAAATACAACTAGATAGATTTTAAAAAATAAAAATTCCAATAATCAATACTCCAAATAAATTATGAAAGAAAAAGTAGTGGAAGCAGCAGAATAGACTAACATTTCGAAAAAAATTCATTTGAAAAAAGTGAACTGATTAGAACGATTTAAAAAAAGATTTACACGCGATTTCACAGCAAATACACTCACCTCTTACATCCTTAGTCAAATTGCTCCAAGGTGATTTTTCTAAACACGTCGCATCCGAAGTCCAAAGTTCGTAATCTGAGCTGTAATGATAAACTTTGAAGAGATGAACTAAATATTACCGAAAGTAGTTGAGTAAAATAAAATCAAATTTCACGATTTATGCAGTAAATTATTTTTTCTAACAGAAGGAAAGAAAATTTATATATAGATATGCATAAGGGAAATGCATGTATTATGGACTAAAAAAAAGAGTAAAATTGAATTAAAAATAAAAAGAAACAAATGAAAGAAGCAGGAAGCCAAGAACATTTTTGTAAAATATATACGAAAAAAAGAAAAGTAAAAAAAATGGAAAAAATCTAATGAACTATAGCAGACCATAAATAATTTTATTTAATAATTTATTTTACAATTACATAAATTTTATAAAAATTCCATTAGTCAATATCTCAAATAATAATAAACTGCATGAATATCGAAAAAGCAGAAAATACCTTAAAACCGTTGTCCAAGGAAAAGTGCCTGTAAGCAAAATGAAAAGTACTATACCACATGCCCATATATCATTCGGTTCTCCTCTTAAATAATAAAAAATAACACCTTTTTCCAGTTTTTGATTAAATGAACTGAAGGATTTTCATTTTATTAACTTAAACTTATTATGAATTAAAGAAGAAATAATCAATCAATAATTTAAAAAATAATTTTCAATCGATTTCTACTTTTATATACTTTAAAAATTGAGATTAAACTGAATGAAATGAAAGAAAAGACAGCAAATTTCTTTTAAGAACTAACAACTCATAATCCAATGTAGCGATAATAAATCTCAAAGATAAATTACGGATCTTCATAACCCACTTTTTAATAAACAGAATTATGTTAAGATCTGCCGTCAAAGCACAGATATAAATAACATATCACGATTATATCGGTTATACCTGTAATATCCAGCAATGAGCTGTGGGGACGAGTAGTGTTCAGATCCACAACGAGTATTCAGATAACGTTCTTTTCCATCTCTAATATAAAGGGTTGCTAGACCGAAATCGGCGATTTTGAGGCAATCTAAATATATAACCAAATTAGTCAAAAATTTTTAGTCTTAGTAGAAAATTGAGCCAAGCTACAAATAGCATAAATGCTATTTAAATTATTCATAAAAAAAGAAATGAATCTTGAGAATGGTTTCCATTAATTAAAGGTTTTGCCATTAAAAATTAGGGCAAAAATAAATAAAATAAAATCTTACTTTAAAGCAAATATCTAATGGTAATACTATTAAATATTATTGATAAAATATTAATCACAAAGTATTAAAATATTATTGATAAAATTATTATGGTAAGATCTACAAAAAAAGCATAAAAAATTATAAAAAATACTTTTCCAGTTTAGCAGAAGATTTTCTGGTTTAATATCTCTATGTGCAAAGCCATGTCTATGTATCGCTTTCATTCCCTCCATAAGTTGTCGAAAATAAAAATGAGCATCGGTTTCCGCCATACCAATATCGGGTTCTATAATCAACAGTATTAAACATTTTTAATTTATTTACCTACTTAGGAAATAACGAGAAAAAATATGAAACGCCATATTTTTATAATAAAACAATAATATAAAAATAAAATAACATTAATTAAATAAAACAAAAATAAAAAATAAGAAATGATAAAGGAGAGAATAATCTAGAATTTTTTTAAAAAATTCCATTTTATATAAAAATGATATAAGTTAAAAAATATAAGTTAAAAAACAACTATAAAAAAATTAAAAAACTATTTAATTATTCTTAAAAATAGATTATATATTATACGATTAATAAAATAATTGAAAAGTTACCGATTCTATCAAAAAGTTCTCCACCATCTAAAAATTCTAAAAAAATTTTTGTTTCCAAATCACTATGATGAAATCCGTAACATTTGACGATTTCATTTTCTTCTCGCAGTGATTTTTGAATAGCAACCTATAATATAAAAATAATAATAATAATATTAATAATACAAAAAAGAATTTTATAAATTTAAGATTGTTTTAAATTAATTTTCGCCTCACTGAAATTCGCTTTTTGATAAACGAATCATTAGAAAAATCAACTGAAACAGATGAATAAAATGATGTTGAAGGAAGAAAAAGAAGAGGAAATCATTACTCTCTTCATTGTTCAAAAAGAAAAATTCGACAACAACAAAACTATGCTAATAACCACCTCATTACGAATTCGCCAGTTATGCCCACCTTGTCCATTTGCGATACATTTCACTGCCACTGGCAAATATGAATGCTTTCGATCCAGAAAAAGTTTAACCGAACCAAAAGTCCCTGAAAAAGAGAAAAATAATTTTATTCTAAAAATTGAATTATTATTAAAGAAAAAAAAATTCTTAATATTCCTACGGCTAACAACTAAAATTTCTCATTTTCGATTTAATATTGCTCTATTTTATTTTAATAAATTTCTGAAAAATACTAAAATATTCGTTAATAATTGCCAAATAAATTTATAAAATATTTATTAATAAAATAAAATAAAAAGAAACCTTCGCCGAGAATTTTAACAAATGCAAGCGAATATTCGTCGATATTATCAAAAATATTCGATAACATTTTCAGTTATATTTCCATTTCTCCATAAAATCAAATTATTTGTCATGTAAAAAAAAAAAAAGAAATTTTTCTAAAAATGAAAAAAAGGAATAAATTTTCCTTGAATTAAATTAAAAGAATAAATGAATTATTAAAGTGAAAAAAGAATGAGTTTTTCAATAAAAACAAATTCATTCAACAAAGCAAACGCCATTATTCCTCTCAGTTTCCTTCCTCCATACATAACGAATATATTCCTTTTTTTGAAAAGTGAAAATCCCGCAAAATCGACAAAGATTTGGTCTTAAAGCGTTTTTCAGATTACGGTAGAAGGTTGGTTAGCTCGGGTTTATTGTGCTGAGAGGGTGGTTGAATTCGTGGTTTTCCATGATTACCGAAGAATTTTAAAGGTTTTGCGAGATGAGCTTTTTTCCAGAATAGCTAAGGATGGAGCGAAGTTGGTCAAGAAGGCTTAGGCTTAGGAAATGGGAACGGATATGGGGTCGCAAAATGGTTTTTCTTCATGGCGGAGACTTTTAGAATGCGGCAATTTTGCTCGAAAATGATTTTAAGGACATATTTGACGGGATTTAAACAGTTTTTTTTTGAAGGTTTTGTGGAACAACTAAGCGCTCTACGTCAAACCCAGTGGATCCCACTATTTCTTCGACTTCGTGACGGATCTTCGATATTAATTAGTTGTAACAGAAGTGCACAATTCGATTTTAACGTATAGTATTGCAGGCTTCCGTGATGATATTAATATGATATAAAACTATTTAAGGAAAATTACTGTATGGTTTTTAAATAGAATACAATTCTTTTTAATAGAATATTGAAGAGGACTTTAAGGATTTATTTTGGAATGTAAAAATTCTAGCGAACTTGTTTTAATGGTTTATGGCAATTTATAACCTATAAGAATGTAATATAAGTAGGTTTATAGTAATATATTAATGAGATGTGCTAAGAGATTTGATGGGGCATTGAGGAAATAGTGGGGCTTCGAAATTTTTAGAAAGGGTATGATTGATAGGAATTTCGAACCAGAATAAAGCGATGCTTCGGAAATGTTGAGGATTCCTTATAGAATAATTAATTTTGGAGGTTAGGAAGTGTTATTTAATGCAGTTTGAAAGGAATTGCTGCGAAATTTTGGCGAATTTTGGATTTTAAAGGGAACAGAAAGGAAAGGAAATGAATTTTTTTTGAATATACTAGAATATGATAGCGAATTTTTCTTATTAAATTTTTGAAATAAGTTTTTTTATTTTTAATTATTCAAATGGAAAAATTAGAGTTTTCAAAGATATTCGTAACGAATTGCTCTTTAGTCAAAGCAGATGGATTTTCTTAAACTTTGCAAATTTTTATGAAAGGATGAAAGTAAAATAAAAATTGAATAAAAATTGTATTTTTGAGATTATTGAAGAAGATAATTAGTTCTTTGATTTTAAAAAGCACAAAGGGAAAAGAATTGGAGTTTTAATAGAAATTTTTCTTCTTCGAAATTTTCAGCTATATTTATAGAACCTTTTTTTTAAATTTAAGATTTCTTCTTTTATTAATAAATTGTATTTGAAAAATTAGCGAATATTTATGCCTTTAAGAAAGTATTAAATATATATGTGAAGTATAATTTTCCAGCAGTTAGCATTCATTTGTAAGTTGAGTTCAGTGCTCACCATTTCTCGTTCGATTTGATTCAGTTTTAATAAGATGAGATTTTGATCATGCAGTTAGTTTGGCAATTGAAGTAGAGGCTCTCCCATTCTCATTTTGCTTTGAATGAGTTTATTCTGCTTGAGGAAGGAGTTCCAGCCACAGTACTAGAATGAGGCCATCATGCCTTTACAACATTTTAATTAAACGTCTTGACGACTTGAAAAAATCAAAAACAATATTGAATCGTCCATCAGTTGAGACAGATCGCTATCTCAAGATCAGCAAATACATTTTAAATTTTTAAAATATCCATAAATATTGCGAAGTTTTAAGTTTATTACGAGGAAGAATAATCTGAAAATTCGTTATTTTCCTAGTTGAAATTCATCTAAGTTTTATTCCGTTTAAATATTTTGAATATTTCATATACAATTTAATATATTTCGTTTAACAATTAAATAATTAAATAAGTTAAATAATTTTAGTCTGAATTTTATAGCGCTATAATAACTTTATTTATCAACAGCATTTATTTAAAAAATCTAAATATGAAGTACTCACCCAGCAGTTGCATGTATCGAAATGCCAATTGCTGTGTTGATCTTATAAATTGCTGCGTTCTGAACAAACGAACGAAGAATAATGTGATACGTAACAAGGAAAACGAGGAAACCACCGAAGCCAAATGTCTTAATTAGTTTATATAAAGGCAATAAAGCAGGAATACTTTTTTTTCGAATCATGGACCGATTTTCTGATAGAGTGCAGTTTTCATTAAAGCTAACGATTTCTTCGAACTAAGTTTTTTAAGCCTAAGTAAATGAAACAGTACAATGGAGAAGTAATAAGAGAATATGATGTGAAAAAATCTATTATTTTTATCGCTGATTTAGCCAATCATATATTTATCCACAATCACTGAAGGAAACACTAAATTTCTGGTATCCAGTGAAGATAAAGGTGCGGATCGTTTCAGAGGGTTGTTACTCAATTCGGAACGCCGATACTGGGGTTTTACTCACCTCAGAAGTGAACTTGCCCAAAAATCCGGTGGCGACTCACGTTTACTTCTATCGCCAAAGGACTACCTGGCTGTATAGTACGGTCATCCAGAGAAGCGAATCTAACCAGTAATGTTGAATGCTCTCAAGAAAAAAAAAACACAATGGAAATAAAGGTGTGGATTATTTCGATTCGAAATCACGGATTATTAAGAACCGCAGAAAAACTATATTATGAAACTATCACCCAATAAATATTTCAATGAATCGTTGCAAATATTTTGTTATAAATAATCCACAATTCCAATTAATGACTGTAGTTCTCCTAACAACTCTCACCATTACTGGTTAGGCTGGCTCCACTGGCTACAAGGGTAAGACGTCTCTCAAAGCTGCTCGGTCCGACGCTATCGCTAGTAGTAATAGAAGCCATTCCTTTTTCCATCGTCCATGTATCTCTGGTCCCCCTAAACATTCAATCTTTCCTGACCAGGTCTTGACTGGCCCTCCTCGTTTTGACCCATCCATCACAAAGTTTAGCAAGTAATGAAATATGCGTCAACTCCTGTGGTAGACGACAGAGAATGTGCCCTAACTACCGAAGGCGGCGCTCTCTGAGATAATATTATTAAGGCAAGTGGTATTTGATTGCAGTGTTAGAAAAAAAAAAAAAAAACTCATGAAGTATTGCGAAGTATTGGGAAATGGGCAAATTTGTATTAATAAAATCAACAATGTACTTGAATATAGAAAGAACTTTCTATTCTTCGTCTTGCTGTCGTATGGCCAATTTGTTGTATTTGCTGAAAAATCTTTTCTAAATTTCTATTTTATTGTTACTATTTTATTAATAAATTATCAGTTATTATTATTATTAATTGCCGTTATTAATTTTATTATTATTAATCATTATTATTATTGTTAATTATTATTACTATTATTATTAGTTATTATTATTAACTGTTATTATTATTGTGTTATTATTGCTATTATTATTAATTATTATTCTTATTATTAATTATTTATTGTTAATTATTATTAATTATTAATTAATTATTATTAATTTTTATTAATTATTATTCTTAATTATTTTTATTGCTATCATTATTACTATTATTATTATCATCAATTATTATTACTATTACTATTGTTACTAATTATTGTTATTATTATTGATGAATTGTTTATTGTTCAAAGTTAGGGAACAGAAAATTTATTAAAAATGAAAGTATTAAATAAAATATTAATAATTATTTTATATAAAATTATTAATATTTTGGGTGATCAAGAAAGAGGAATTTAATTCAGTGCTACTTAATCTTTTTACACTTAGAAATAATTATTCATTTGCTATCGCTTACTTTAACTTAAACTTCGCGAAACATTTCGCGATTCGTTATTTTCAAATTTAATGCATTTTGCTGAAATAAACTAAAATGAATAATTAATAATATTGGTATTTGTCGGATTCGAGAAAAAATATTCTCTTAAGATAGATTAGCTTTTAAACGGTCAACTTGAGACGAATTCAATTTTTTATCGAAAAATAATAAAATCGAACTTTATTGAATCGATGTAATTTCATAAAAATAACGAAGTCGATAATTATTTTAATAAATAGAATTAAGAGTGGATAAAAAAATAGAAACGTTGACCATAAAATATTTGCGCAGATATTTTCTTCATACGTATATTTATAATATTCGACGTTATAATAAATCAAGCATCCATCTAAATGAATGGAACCAATGCAGTATAATATTTAAAGATCGTGAGAAGGTTTAAAAAAAGGCTTACTGAAATTAAGAAGTTGTCTTTAGAGCTCGTTAATAAAGAAATCACTTCAGGGTGCTAGTGTATATTATGGATCCTATTATAATATTCCATCAACACTAAAAGCTTTACACTGTTTCCATAAGCTCACTTCATTATCTCTTCTTACTCACCCTCCAATCCTTAATATCCTACAATTCTTGTAATCCTTCAAGCCTTCAAGCAAATAATGTTGAGAGACTACAGCTGAATTTAAAGAGGCTCAAAAAAAATTTTCAAAGGGGTTGGGAATAACAAATACAGAAAGATGTCTTGTTAAGAAAATAATGTTAAGAAAATATGAACGCATTCGCAGCCACCGTATGATTTTTGTTAAGAAGTTTCAATGCGAAGATTATAATGGGTACTGGTGATTTATGGGCACAACGAGCTTTCTCAGTTATCATAGGGGAATTTGATAAATGTCACTGCCATTCTTTTTAAGAAAGTTACCACTTGATTTTAATGAATACGGTTCCGAGGGATTTGCCAAAAGAGTATATTTGTGTTTAAGAGATTATGATAGTACGAGGAGATTTGTGG